CCCGCAGGAGAGGGGGACCGGCGGAGCTGCACGCCGCAGAGTCTCGCAGGCTTGGCGCGGTGCGCACTGGCCCCAGCCCCCGGGAGCAAGCCCAACTCCAGAGCCTTTGTCTGGCTCAGCGCTCCGGCCGCCCGGTCCCGCGGCGCCCTTCGCACGCCCTACTCTCTCTATCCATGCCCAGGGCCCCGGCGCTGCCCAGAGCGCGCGCCTCCCGCCGGTGACTCCTCTGGCCGCCGCGCCCAATGCGGCCTGGATCTCCAAGCAGTCCCCCGAGGTACGCAGGGAACCGGCCAGAGGGAGCAACGAGCCCGCCAGCCGGCTAGCCAGCGCCCCGCGTCCCCCGCGAGTTTGGCTCCGCAGCCCTACTCCCAGTGCGCGGCGGGAGCAGCCGCTCTTAAAGGGCCAGTGCGCTCCCTGTGCGCAAACCTAGGCGGAGGCTGGGGGCGGTTCCTAACCCGAGGCTTCTAAGAAGCAGGTGCGGGCTGTGTTGCCCAGCAAGTGGCTGACCCTTCTCATCTTTCCTGATGGCAGCAAACCTCCCCTAGCCTGCTTTGCTCCCATCTCTGCTTCTGGTGAGCAGGGTTGATCCCCATAACTTGACTCCATTCTGAGTCAGGGCGCAAGGAAGGCGTGGTCTCCCTTTGAGGAGCCACTTGGAAGAAGGCGTTAGGACATTCAGATAGAGGTAGGCCAGAACAGGACTGGGGTAAGGACCTAAAGTCCTGTTTTAAACTTTAAGAGATAACAATAAAACTCCAAAACAAAGAAGTTGGAGGGATAGGTAAGATGGCTTAGTGGGTAAAGGCTCTGGCCACCACCAAGTTTGTCAAATGTGGCATCAAGAGTTCGATCCCCAGGACCCGCTTGGTGGACCTATAGAACCCATGTCACTGTGATGCACGTGCAAACACACACGCACACACTAATGTAGTTTTAGAAACAAGCCCAAAGTGTCTTAGGCTCTTTAGTAAATTTTCTAAGTCACGAAGTCTTGGGTTGGGGCGTAACTGAGAGTTCAGGCTTACAAGGAATCTGCATCCCCATTCCCTTGCTGCGTGAGTATGAACAAATTACTAGTTCTGAGTCTCCATGGTGAGGTGACGGTTAGGGTTCCTAGGTTGCACATTTTGTTTCCCGGCTCTACTTGGTCTCTATTATGTGAAAGTCAGTGTGTGGATGAGGTTCACCAGAACGCTGGGTAGAAGAGCAAACCTTCCGGTGAAGTTTGAGCTAGACTTTAACTTTGGCTCCAGCATGAATGCTAAGGGGGTCCAAGGTCCATGAAAACATTGCACAGCCCAAGGTCAGCCCTAGTGTAGTGAACTGGAGCAACTGGGATGTCACTTGAGGACCACAGAGACCAGGGCCGAGGGCAGCAAACGTCCACCACCTCCCTCCAGACAAATGGGAGCTTACCTTACCCTAGGGTAGGTCTTTCCTAAAATAGGCTCTCTGGGTGCCTCTGCCTCTCCCATCTCCCTGGCAAAGGACCTTAGAAATAGCTGGTTCGAACTCACCCACTGGGTGAAGGAAGACAAAACATGCCAGTGCCTGGCCTAACGTCTCATGGGAAGAAAATTGGAGTTTGGAGAAAAGGTAGAGGTAGTGTTTCCCCTTTCCTTCCACTGATGGACTTCTCTGTGGGGTCCCTCACTTGGCAAACTGGCTTCTGAATTCTCTAATTTGGAATTCGATTTTGAGAAAAGCCCAGTGTCCAGCACACAGCATCCCGTTTAAGTCAGGGATACTTTAATTGTTTGCAAAATTTATTCCTGACCATTTTTTAAAACTGAGTTTATGGGGTTACCTAGTGATAAATAAAATCTCAGGTATGCAGGCAAGGTTTGAGAGACCGTGGTCAATCAGGTATGGTGTTTTCTTCCATTTTCGGTTGTTATGGTGGGAACTTCTGGCTCAAGGAAACGGCTTTTTACGTGAGAAATTCTACAGAAAACTCTGGATTCGAAGCCAGGTCTCTGGGTTCCTGCCCGGTCTACTTTACTGGAATTTGGAAGAACTATCTCCTATTTAGGTTTACCTTCTTATTTGTAAGCAGGGGGGGGGGGGATAGATTCAGATCCAGCCAACAGTTGAATAAGCCGGTTCTCTTCCTCACTAAAGGTGCTGTGGGCTAGAACTGGGCCTGGATAACGATGCCCTGGCTACCCAGTTATAGGGGTTCCTCAGGCAGCGTCCTCACAAAGGTGAGGCTGAAGCTGAGGGAAACCTGACCAACTGTGCTGTTCTGCTTGCGTTTATTACCTGATTTTTCCTACCAGTTTTAGAAGTACATGGCTATGAGCTACACTCCCAACAGCTTTGCTGTTAGTAACCCCTCTGATGAGAGAGAGGGTCATGGAAGAATAGCTTGCCGGCTTTTTAGTGCTTGGAGGCCGCTCAGAAGGGCCAGAATGGGCAGGACTCAGTGGTTAAGAACATTTGCCTACCTCTCCAAAGATACGTTAGGTTCCCAGTGCCTACACCAGATAGGTCAGAACTGCCTGTGACTCCAGCTCTGAGGGGGACCTGGCCCCTTTTCTGGCCTCAGTAGGCGCCCACACATTCATGTGTATATACACACGCCAGCCCACCTCTGGTGGGGCTCGAAAGTGCAGACCATGTTCTGTCTCTTTTCCTGACCTCCAATCACATTCTCCACGCCCCAGACCACCGTCTCTTTACCCCACAAACACCTCTAAAGCCTGCGGCTGGTAAGGCTTTAGATAAAGCTCTTGCTGCCTCACACTCGGCCACTATTGCTTCATGACTGTGCCAGGCTGGCAAAACAGGACCCTTTCGGCAACAGAACAGTCTTTTGGACTCTGGGTGCCAAGCGAAGGAATAAACACACTCACACACAAAATACTTTCCCCCTCTCTTGGAACTAGAGCTGGGGAGGTCTAAAGAGGCAATGGAGGAGGTCTTGTTACCAGGTGGAAATCAGCAGTGAGCCCTTGAGATGGGGGAACATCTGAGGATGCTAGAGCCAGATGTGCTGATTCTGTCCTCTCCCAGGCATGACGAAATAGTCACTGAGAGCAGTTTCTGCCCGCACACGGCGCACCTAGCGGTGGAGAGGCTTGCCCTGGCCTTCCATCTCCAGCTGTCTCCTGGGTTTCTGGAACACGTCTCCTCTTTTGGAAGGAAGCGCCCCAGCTGCTTCTGCACTGTCAGCGGAGTGCTTGCTGAAGGCACTCCACTCTGGAAGCACACTGCCTGTCTGGGTGCCCGCCAAGCGAAGGCTGCCAGCATCCCCAGGTCCGGCTTACGTGCCCATCCCCCTCAGCAAAGCTCAGGCTTCCTTCCTCCATTGCCACCTCCACTCTGTGTTGAAGAGCTGCTTAGTGATCTTGGCCCATTTCTCAAAGTGGCTGCACGCGTAACTCCACTCTCAGCACAGCCAACCTGCAGAGCCACATCCTCTTCTGGGGGTGTGGGGAGCAGGCCCCCAGTACTTTGGACAAGTACGAGGTTAGGGATGGGCATTCGAATCAGCACACCTTGCCAATTTTCCCTTGGCACCACAGGGCCGGCCCGGATTGGTCCATCCAAGGGTGCAGTCACACGGAGCAGGTGTCAGGAACGTGACCTGTGAAGCTAGGGTTACCATGTTGCCTGCGGGCCAGAACACATGCCTAGCTTCTTCTCCATTGTGGCTTCAGATGCCACTAACAGCAAGCAGCAGGTCAGCTGAAGCCAGGAGACTGGCGCAGTGGCACTGGGGGAACAAGGCACGATTGTGCTCTCTACGCTGGGGAAAGACAGGACTGTGAGGGCATGAATCACGAAGTTGGGTGCAGAGCCTGAGCAGGGGGCAAGTGTAGGGATGGACTAGGCTGTGTCATGGCAGAAGCTGAGGCCAGGGTTGAGTCAGGCCCTGACAAGTTCTCAAGTCCCCAGGCAAGTCATGTAACTGTTCTTCCTCTACCCAGTTTGCATTCCTTAGCTTGGCTGTAGGGAGAAATGGCCAAGAAGGCCCTAGAGAAACCTTAATATCTGTGTTTGAGGGACGGGGATGGCAATTCCTTGGGACATGGCAATCCCTGGGTTCCATGTATTGCATGCTGTTTCACTTCATGAAGTCCTTTTCTTTTTCATGTGCAGGGGGGATGTGTGTGTATGTGTGCACAAAGGTAGACAAGCATGTGTGTATGGGTGTGCACACAGGCATAAACCAGAGATCAATCCTGGGTGTTTACTGTTCCTCAGAAGCTAGCCACTTGTTTTCTGAGAGTCTCTCCTTGGCTTAGAACTTGACAACTAGGTGAGGCTGGCTGGCGAGTGAGCTCAGGGATCCTTTAGTCTCTGTTTCCCTGGTGCAGAGGTTACAAGTACCGCCACAGCTTTTTGAAGGTGGGGTTCTGAGGACTGAACTCGGGTCCTTATGCCTGCAAAGCAAGAGTATTACTGACTGAGCTAGCTCTCCAGCTCCCATTATCCTTTTTTTTTTAATTAAAATTTTATGAGTATGGGTGTTTTGCCTGCATGTATGTGCGCCACGTACATTCCCGGTGCCTGAGGGGCCAGAAGGATTGGAGTCACGAATGGTTATGAGATGCCACATGGGTGTGGCATCAAATCTATGCCCTCTGAAAGAGCAGCTACCTCTCCAGCATCCCCAAACCCAACATTTTTTTTTCTTGAGTCACAGTTACCACAGAGGGACAGTGAGATGGCTCACCGGCTAGAAGTACATTTTCAGAATAACCATGGAGCCTACAAAGTGGCAGGAAAGAATTGACTCTTGAGAGCCGTTCGTGGAACTCATGTGCCTGTACACACACATGCTACGCTAAGACAAATAAATACATAAAAATCTCTAATCATAACAGAGCCTCGCAAGAACCCCCTGGACCGTGCAGCACGGCTGGAGGGGAGGCAGCGGCACCGCTCACCTTAAAAGTGTAAAAGAAGACACCACATTAAAAAGGCAGATTTTATTTGTTGAACATAATTTAAAACTGTAAAAAAATATTTCTTCATCCATTACTAGAAATCCCCATGACAACTGGAGAGGATTGGTTCTTTGCCCCGAGAAGAGTTTGGTGGAAAATAAAATCCCCTGTGCCTCCCTGGCCCTCTCCACCTCCCACCCCACCCCACCCCTGAAGAATGCTCAGGGGTGGGAGGAAGGAATGAAGAAAACTGCTGCTGACCACAAATTAGCACCCCGTGCCCTGGCCCTGAAATGACCTCTTCTGGCACAGGATGGGATGAAGGGAAAAAGTGATAAATAAAGGAGATTAAAGGGGGGATGACAGACTCACTGAAGCCCCCAGTTTGACAGAGGTGAGTCCGGGCACACTGAGTTTAAAAACTATGTGTTGGCCAATGGCATCGATGCAGATCACTGCAGGGGGAGACCTGCAGGGCTCATTTTCTTTTCCTAGACTGACAGAAGAATTAGCGGTCCGGGCTGCCCTCTACTGGTGATTTCTGGAAATGACCACACCACAGCAGCAACCTACCCACCTACCACCCTAAAGGACCAGGAGAGAGGAACCCACTACAACAGCGCTAAGTGTGTGATTTGGGCTTTTTGCTGGGGGTACACCAGAGATGGCAGCAAGCTCCTCCATCTCAGTTGGCCTAGAGAGAGGCATGGGGCAAAGTTCACTTCAAAGGCATCGAGAAGAATTTGTTCCCGGACTTGCAGCGGACCTGCTCAGCCAGCACACGCAGCAGCATCTCAGAGTCTTCAAACTCATCCACGATTTCCTTCAGCCAGCAGGGAGATGGACAGCCACGTTAAGAGGAATTGGACCCTGAGGCACCACAAACAACGCCAGTCCAATAGGCTGGGCAATACCAGTCACCTTACAATCTTATGAGCTAGGGCCTGTCACCTCCACTTCCGCTGACAGTAAGGACACACGGAGCCCTCTGGTTTAGTTTGGGGCTGGGCTCTCCTGGAGTTCTTGCTGCCTTCCACATGACCAGGCCAAGAGGAAGGTGCCAACAGAGATCATAGCCCAAGGCCAGTACAGATTTTGACTTGCAAAGTACTTTTTAAAAATCCAAACCAGGCATTGAGGACAGTCTGGTCTACTAAAAGAGGCCATGTCTTGAAAAACCAAACAAAAGTAAAATAGAATAAAAAAAATAAGATCCGAATCAGTTGCCAACACCAGAAAATCAGAAGACTGCACATAAAAATCTGAATTTCTGGCTTCTCTTGAGAAAAACAGGAGAGCTATCGACTCGTGCACTGCCAGGCACTGTGCACGGGCACGCAGGGAAGGTCACCTGTTTCACTGGCTATCAAAATGTAGCCAGACCTGGAGGCACAGGCCTGCAATCTCAGAATCTGAGGTAGGAGGAACACGGCAAGTTTGAGGCTTGCCTGCTCCACAGTGAACTCCAGGCCCAGCAAGGAGACCTTGTGAGACCTGACTCAAAAGTAAAACCCGTGATGTAACAGGCACTGAGGGCTGGAGGTTCCTGGTACCTGGCATTCTTTCTCTATTTACAACTGCCAGACCCAAACCTCTGACCTCAGATAAATGGCTGGGCCAGGGTGGGGGAGGTCACCCTTATCCCGTGTCAGGTGTAAGGCGGGACACACAAAGTCCTAGAGGTTTTGTCACAGTGCAGTTCTGTTGCCCTGAGTGCCACTTAGATCCCAGCTGCTGGCTCAGGGGCGACACTCAGAGAGGAAGGCGGGGTTGAGGGCCTCTTCTATGCCACTCAGTTTCCTACAGATTTAGGTTCCAGTGTCCAGTCCTTCCCTTTCTGTCACTGGTTCATCATCACTCTGGAGCTCAGAGCTCTGCGCCCTGCCCTGGAAACTCACCTGTAGTTCCCGCAGGCACTGTCCCTCCAGCTGGAGCCGTGCGTCACCCACACACCAGGCCAGACTGACATGAAATGAAGGGTCCTAGGGAAGAGAAGCAGGGACTCAGGCTACCACGGGATGCCATGGCAGGCCCATCCATCACAGCAGGTCTATGACAGTCCCGTCAGGTCTCCCTGTAGGATCCCTGGCCAGTGCCGAGGGCTGAAGTCCTGCCCCGTCCCCTGCCCACAAAGTGGCTTGAGCTGGTCCCCACTACAGACTGAATTGTACTCCTCCCCAACTGCAAACAGTGAAAGCCTAACCCCAGTGTGATGGTGTCTGGAGGTGATCAGGGTTAGATGAGGGCACAGGGTGGAGAACTCAGCAAGAGATGTGCATGGGCAACGGCTCGGCAGTTAAGAACACGGGCAGCTTTTCCAGAGGACAAAGGTTTGATCCTCAGTGCCCACTTGATGGTAACCAGACTCTGTAAGGAATGTCTGGAATACTAGTCCCAGGGGGATCCGACGCCCTCTTATGGCCTCCAAGGGCACTGCACACACATGGTGCGTGTGTGCGTAGCCGGAAAGGAAAGCAAAGCAAAGCATCCATAGCACAAAAATAATTAAAAACTAAGGGAGGGGGGTGTAGAGAGCAATGTGCTCCTTTTCCTCCATGAGGGAAGGGCACAGTGAGGGATGCCTCTTACAAGCCACAGCCCTCATCATATGAAACCAATCATATAGGTGCCTTAATCTTGGACTTCCAGCTTCAGGGTTAAAGGCATACACTATCATGCCTGGCTCTGACTCTATTTTCTGATCCAGAACCTCCCAGCAGAGGCCATACTTTTCAAATTAAAAGAATAAAACTCAAAAATGTCAACAATTTTGGAGAAACAATAATTATCTCTATTTAAAAATAACTACACGCCTGGCATGGTTTTGAAAACACAAAGAATAAAACCAATGGCCTTTTGAAGCTGTGCCACTCAAGCTGGACTCTGAGCCCCCACAGGATAGAGGGAGGGACAGTGAGGATGTGAAGCTACAGCTCTTCCAGAAGGGCCATTTTACTAAGTGCTGGAGATGCCTAAGAACAAGGGAAAGCTGGACACCTCACAGAGCTGAAAGCACAAATCTCAAGATGCACAAACAGTGTTCTGATGTTGGGCTTTGGGCAGACTACAACTTGTGACAGATCCCAATCCTGTGTGCTGGCTCAGGGGTCCACCTGGGGAGGTTCTGGAGGCTTCTTTAGTTTGCCTCTGATGGGGCTTCTCTGAGGATGCTCTGTTCTAGACGGGCCAGCGGGCAGCAGCCCCGTGACACACAGTAATCATCTCTGTTCATTTTCCTCAACCGCGTGCATTACCTGGTAGAAGGTGGTGAGGTCAAATTCCTCCATGACTCTGTCTACCTCTGAAACCAGGTCCAGGAACTGGGCATGCCCTGAGCTGACCTCGAGTCCGATGAAAGTCCTAGGAAGAGGCAGTGGAGTCAACAGGGGCACAAATGCAGCCTGCGAGAGCACAACCTCACAAGCAGGAGGAGGCATCCAACGGGAAGCCAGGGATCTGGCCCGTGGCTCAGCCATCTTCCAGTGCATCCCTGCTGCTCCGTGGACCACCTTCCACCCCCTTCCTCCCTCACTTAGAAACCTGCCCTCACTGGACGCCTCCTCTCCTGTCTAAGGAGCCCTGCAGGGCAGCCTTCATCTACCACTGCACACCTCGCCCCCTTGCCCGCTCCACTCTCGGGCGGACTCCTAGGCTCATTACCCTCTCCAGGTTCTGCTCTCTGGTACCCGCTTTCCCCTGCAGGTGAGAACTGCTGTCCTCAGCAATTAAATCCTCCCGTGAACCTGCATCTTCAGCCAGCCCTCATCCCATTCTCAACAAAACACCGTAAAACAACAACAACAACAAAATGGTGGCCTGTTGTCTTCCTCTAAAGTATCTGGTCTCCCACTTTTCCGCCCTTAGAAATGCTCTTGTCAAAGCGGCCAATGAGTATAGTGATCTCTATGTTATCAGAGTCACGGATTTTGTCCTCACTTGCTTGGTAGTATCTGACACAGTTGGCTTCCCACTCCTGGAAACCCTTCAGCTTATATTATAAAGTTCTGTAGCCTAGACTGAAGGGAGAATTGAGCCCTCTCAGAGTAGCTGGGAGGGGTGGCTCGGTGAATGAACTAGACAGGAGGCCCTGCAGATAAAAATGCCCTCTTTTTTGGGGATGGGGGAGGGGAAAGTTTGAGACAGGGTGATGGGGAATCTTTGTCAACCAATTATCTTTAAGAGGTGGGACCAAGTTAGGGTGTGGCTTTCTGAGAGCCAGAGAAAAATGTGGCTTGTGTGCTCTCTGTGGTTCCCTCGCAGCACAGCTGAGCTTGAACTTCTCGTTCCTGTTTCATGAGTTTGCCCCTTATAATTAATAAAAATATACTTGTTTTATCTTTTAGTTAGCCTGATTATTTCTTGACCTGAGGTAATTCAACAACAGGGTTTCTCTGTGTAGTCCTAGCTGTCCTGGAACTAGCTCTATACCAGGCTGGCCTTGAACCCACAGAGATCTGCCTGCTTCTACCTCCCAAGTGCTGGGATCAAAGGTGTGTGCCATCACTGCCAGGCTAAAAATGCCTGCTTATGTTCACTTAATGCTTTAGGACTTCTACGTTTTCAAACCTCATTGGCTCCTTTGGCAATGGGCAAGAAAGGGGAAGTGAGAAATGGTGCGGAAGGGAAGGCAATGGGAGCTCATCACAATGGCAGGGAGGGGGCTAGACAGGAACCGGCTCCACCTCCTCAGGCTGCTCTTTACTGAGATGGCTCTCCTGCACCTGCACTGCTCCCCAAACTCCCTCAGTGCTCCTGAATAAGCCTGAGTTTTGTTTATTTTTAATATTTATTTATTAATTAATTAATTTTATTTTGGAAAACAGATGCCCCATAATATATGTGAAAGCGAAGTGTATCCCTTCAATCTTTGCAATACAGTCAGGGACCCACCTGGTTTTCTCTTGGTTGGTATAAATCTTTACCTGGTTGACAGTAAAGAAGAACCTGAAATTTAAAAGAAGAAAGATATTTCAAGAAAAAAAAGAAAGATGTAAAGAATAGTTCATGTTTAAAAACAAAACAAAAAAAAAATCCTAGCCTTTTATTTCAGCAGGGGATGGTGATGGGTGCTACAGTCTGTGCTCTGGAGACCGAGGCAGAAGATCTCAATTTACAGTAGCAGTCTATCTCAACAAACAAACTAGCAACATCAGTCCCTCTAAATACCTCCCCTAAACAGCAATTTAAAATATAATTAACTCATTTTTACAAGCAATATTGTTATTCCATGATTGAACTAAAAGTATCTTATAGTTAGACAAGACCCTAAATTACCCCTGTAGAAGCAAAAAAGTTTGCTTTGCAAAGAACAGTCCATCCCAATAGGCAACTTGAAACCATCTATGTACTGAGAAAATCATTCATTGTGTGGGTGGAAACAGTTGATATGACCCTATGAGGCAGGCCCTATAATTACAGACAAGAAACTGGACCTGTGAGGCTGACTTTGGTGAGGCAGGAGATGAGGCTCAGTCCATTTGGTTGCAAAGCCCTTGGTCTCGCCTAAAAAGTGAGTCTCTGTTGAAGCGGGTCTGGCGGTGGAAAGTAGGGCAGAAACCCCACTCACCCAGAACCTGTATTAGTTACTGAAGTGTCCAGGTTTGGTCATCTCAACTCAATGCACCGAGGGTTTGCGCCTGCTCTAGCTTCACTGAGGACACAGGGCAGTAAATGGAGCAAAGACAACATCAAGTCCACTTCCTCAAAGACACAAACCAACGCTCCAGGGGCCGCTCTCTGGTCCTCAGGTAAGCAGGGCAACAAGCCACACACATGCCCCACAGAGAATGATATTCCTCGATGACTCTTGGGTCATTTCAGAGGTTCCAGCTTGCTCTGATAAGGAACTAGTGCCCACTAGGATGCCGGGGAAGTGGCTTCCCACCAGACCTTGTTCATGGACTCTCATGCACTGGCTTCTCACCTTCATGCAGCATGCAGTACACCTGTCAGTCTTGTTACCATGACAATGTTGCTGATCACCCAGCCTGAATGCTAGTTTGTCCAGGAAGAAAAGGGCAGCGTCCTCTAGAATAAGGGAAAGGGCATTTCTACTCTTTACTTAAGGGGAGAATATGAGCAGAGTCAGACTAACCAAAGTCATTCCCATGACGTCTGCTGAAATCACATGGAAATATATGAAAGACTGGAATTCTGATGCCAGGACCCAACTAACAAGCTGGGCATCCTTTATACACCTGTAACCTCAGCTATAAGCTGGACAGAGAGGATTGCTGGGGCTCGCAGGTTCCAAGCCTAGCCAAGAAAACACAAGCTCCAGGTTTGAGAAAGGCCCTGTCTCAAAGGAACAGGCAGAGAATGACAAGGACAGCTGATGTCTGCTTTTGGCCTCCACATGCAGAGGCACAGACCCCACACACATATGCATGGGCATGTCACGCCCACACCCACGAACACTTTAAATTTTCCTTTTCTTTTTGAGTGTTTTATCTGCATGTAGTCTGTGCACATGTACGGAGTGCCTATGGCGGCCAGAAGAAGCCATCAGAGCCTCTGGAGCTAGAGTTACAGACATCTTGAGCTGCCAATTGGACCTGGGAACTGAATCTAGGTCCTCTGCAACAACAGCCAGTGCTCTTACTGCCAAAGCACCATCCCTCAAGCCTAATAAACACATTTTAAAAGGAGCCTGCAGGGTAGGGGATATAGTGCAGTGGGTAAAAGTTGTAGCTGGACAAGTGTGAGGATGTGAGTTCAAAACTCTGGAGCCCATGTAAAAGCTGGACACAGAAGTGTGAGCATCTGCACTTCCAGTGCTCCCATCGGGAGGTGTGACAGGTGGGAGAATCCTGGACGCTCAGGGGCTATGCAGCCTGAGACACATGGCAGAAAAACAATAAAGAGATCCTATCTCAAGCAACGTGGAAGGTAAGGACCAACACCTGACTTCAACATGCATGTACCTGTACTCACAAGAAGACACACACATACACACTGGTGGGTTCCCTTGTCACTGAGAGAAGGAAGTCAAATCTCATGGGACAGAGCTGAGACAACACAGCTCAGGTAACATCTCTGGCTACGTCCATCTCCTCATGCATGAAACTAGGGCCATCTCTGAACCCATCTGTAATTCCAGTTGGGTGAAGTCAATTTAGGTTGGGTTCTGGCACCTGGGACAGACTTGCTAGTATACAGCTGGCTTACTAAATCTGGTAGTGGCGATCACAGTGGACGAGACTGAGCAGTGCTATAGTCCTGGTTTTCTCACCAACTGACTGCAATGGAGCAAATTCCTTCCTCAGGCCCCCTGAGCAGTGGGGTGGGATCTTAGCTCTGATCCATAACAAAATCAGAATTCTTGGCTGACCTAGGGACCTAACGTGAGCGAGCTGGCGTCTACTGTTGAGGGCAGCTGGTGGGACAAAGCCCTTGGGCTGTGAGGTTGCCCTCTGGAGCACTGGTGTCAGAACTGAACTGTAGGATACTCAGTCAGTCTCTGGAGAGTTGCAGACTCGGTATGAGAGCTGCTCTCGCATATTTGGAAGCCCTAGGTACGAGCACAGAGACAGACAGCAGGGTTTTTGCATACAACAGAGGGAGAGCAGCTGAGCAGTTCATGTGAGGTGCCCGCATCACACAGGAGGGGACACAGCAGCCTCAGGTCTGGTCTTCTTGCTTGGCACCATTTCTATCTCCAAGCACAAGGGGCAGGGGGAGACACATATGACGGACACAACAGACAGAAGAGGGAAGTGCTCACCTTTGGAAAGAGGCCATGTGATCTTTGAGCACCTGCACGAAGGGAAGGATCCAGTGGTGACGGAGAACCACGCTCTGAGACAGGCTGAGGTGGAACTCCTCCATCTGCACCAGTCGGGGCACGAACGTCTGAGCTCGGTGCAGCAGCATGTCAAGCAGCTCCAGGAACTCTTCCTTCGCTTCGTCTAGAGAAGAGAAGAGTGAGGAGAGTAGACTGGCCTCAGCCAAGCTGTCACAGAGGAATAAGGAGCCCGGAGAAGCCGGGTGGTGGTGGCGCACACCTTTAATCCCAGCACTCGGGAGGCAGAGGCAGGCGGATCTCTGTGAGTTCGAGGCCAGCCTGGTCTACAAGAGCAAGTTCCAGGACAGACCATAAAGCTACAGAGAAACCGTCTCGAAAAAAAAAAAAGCCAAAAAAAAAGCCCGGAGAGCAGAGAAGCCCTTATTAACTGAGTTTCAGGTGTAGCCTATATCTGACAACCTGCCAATATTTTAATGAGAATGTCTTAAAATAAATGTACATGATATGTGTATATGTGTGTATGATACATATGGGCACACACGATAGTACTTTCCAATATTTTAATGAGAATGTCTTAAAATAAATGTATATGATATGTGTATATGTGTGTATGATACATATGGGCACACACGATAGTACTTTCCAGTCCCTCGAAGGGCCACATTCAGACCTCTGTATTGTTCATTAGCTATCAGAATCAATAAGATCAACTTCATTACACTTTAAAATGTCTGCACTGAACAGACACTGCCAAGGGGTTTTGGGGGTCAGACTGAGAAACACCTAATGAGGAGTACAGAAAACAAAGAACCTCTAACTCACAGAGATCTGCCTGCCCCTGCTTCCTGAGTGCTGAGATTAAAGACGTGAGCCACCACCATCTAGCATATATTTTATTTTACTTTATTTTATTTTTTTGAGACAGGGTCTTACTATGTAGCTCTGGCTGGCCTAGAACTCAAACTCAACTTGGGGGTTGCTTCTACCCCCAGGTGCTGAGATTAAAGTCATGCCCACCTAAAGCATCTTTAGGCATATCTGTTCAAAGTAAGGAACAACCAAAATGTCCTTTAGTAGGTGAACATGCAGCCAGAGAGTGGAATATTAACACTAAGAAGAAATGAACTATCAAGTGTGCCAAGGCACAGAGGAACCTTAAATGTACACTACTAAGCCAAAGCAGCCAATCTGAAAGGCTAAATACTAAACGATCCCAATTCTGTGACGGTTTGGAGAAGGCAGATTTGTGGAAACGCGTTGCTGGAGGGCAGGGATGGCTAAGTTGAGCATGACAATTCATATTGCAGTGGTATCACTCTCCACAATAGTGTAGATGCACATCTTTTTAGGTTTGTGTAAACTCACAGAATATACAACACCAAGATTTACCCATTATACAAACTGTGAAGTCTGGTGATTATAATATGGGCTCAAGCCGGGTGGTAGTGGCACACACCTTTAACTCCAGCCCTGGGGAGACAAAGACAGGCAGATCTCGGAGTCCTAGGGCAGCCAGGGCTACACAGAGAGATCTTTTCTCCAAAAAGCCAAAATAATAATAATAATAAGCAGGTTCATCTATTATGAGGAATGCAGCACTCTGGAGCTGATAATGGGAGACTCTACACTAGGTTAGAACTGCCACCTTGTCTGCTGTGCTAAGAAGCTGATTACCCGACTTAACCTTCCCAAGAGATAGATATTATCAGCTCACTTTAGGGAAACAGAGCCCCTAAGAAGCCGGTAACTTCCAGAACACCCAGTGCGGCCAGGTCTGATCAGCCTGTCACCTCCTCAGGGCTGGGGTGGGATGAGTCCAGCACACAGGGCCCTGGTTTCGTCCTCCTAGCCACAGCTAAGAGGTACCTGTTTCTGGCCATTTGCCATTAGTAAGGGACTCACATGGTATGTAGATGTGGGTGGCCCAGTTGCCCCGCTCATGGGGAAAGGAGCGAATGCGCCCCCCGTGTTTTGTACTGTCATCCTCGGGCCCCTCCTCCACGCCAGAGAACATGCTCAGCACACTGTCAGGTACCGGGAACCTCTGAGTGGGAAGGGGGTTCTGGCCACTGCAAAAGAAGAAAGAACAGGCATGGTCTCCCTTTGCACACACAACAAAAGTTCTAAGTCCTTATGCACAGTGATTCTACAGCAGTCTTGTCGAGTAGTATAGGCTGGCATCAAATCGGATCCCCCTTCCTCAGCCAAGCGGCTGAGTGTGGATCTCCAGACGGGTGTTTGAGCTTCTAGAGAGCCACAGCGCTCTAGAATTACCGAAGCCTCCCAGTTATTCTGGGAGGCAGATCTCAGCGGGGCTCTTGGTCCCCAGGGGAAACACTAGAGCAGGCAGCAGTGTGGCTTGGAGGTCCTTATTACCTAGCAGAACAGGCCTGAACTGAAGTAGCTCTGTGATCTTGTACACTCATTTCCTTGTGTGTAAAGCATATTTCTATTTGCTAGAGCTCTTGTGTAATGAACTGACGACATACTGCGCTCAGCAAAGACCGGTATTTAAGGACCTAAGGTCCTTGAAGTCTAAGATCTCCATGGATTTTGCATCAGTCTGGAGAGTCCAGTCTCCAGTGTGGCTCCCAGTGGCTGTTCACTGAGCATTTATAGACGAGTGAAAAGCTTTGATTGTTGCATTGTGTTCAAATGGAGAAACAGATCTTGAAAGGAACATGCTTGCACACCAAGGGAGAAAAATGCACCGGTTAGAGCTGGTCTGGAACCCATGACCTCACTCCCAACTTTGCCTTAGCCAAGGCGGTGGTGGTGCCATTTTGGGGCTTTGTCCAGGGTGTGCTCTGAATTCTTCTTTCCCTCGTCGTCCCTTTTTTTCCTTCCCGGGGAACCGACCCACCCTCCCGGGTATCCCGGAGGCTCGGATCCCACCAGGGTTTCCAAAGAATCGCGCCCTCACGATAGAAACTTCCTCGCTCCTCACCAACGGCGGCCCCCCGACCCGGGTTTGCTCCGCCCCACAGCGGCGGCCTCCGCTTCATCCTCCGAACCGCTGCTGCTGTAGCCCACCAGGGGCGCCTCGCTCATGGGGCCTTGACCACAGGCGGAATCCGCTGGCACCTTAAGCCGTCGCCCCGAGTTCCGATGAGCCGGAAGTGCTCTATAGGGGGCGGGACCTAGAGTAGCTCCACCTCGGGGCGGGGCCTTGCGACGGAGGGGGCGGGGCCCAGAGGACTACCGCAAACTGCGCCCGCCGGCTACGCGGTAAGTGCTGCGGGCGGCCTTCTTGGCGCGTTCAGCTGTCCTAGTGCCCCAGCGCGGCTCCGCTCGTCAGCCCTGCACAAAGTCAGAGCCCCAGGGTCCCTCTTGAGAGCAAGCCGAGCGGCACGTCCGCTGCAGAAGACCGGAGAGGCGGAGGGACGGGCTGTGGCCAGCGGGGAGAGGGCTGGGGCTGGACCCCCGGGCGCCTCCGTTCCGTAGGCTTCGGGGAGCTGATCCCGAGGCTCCGGCCCCGCCCCTCCGTACCTACAGGCTCGAGCCGGCCGGGCCGCGGGTTCCCGATAGGGGGCGGCCTCTCACCGTGCCCCTGGTTCCTCCGCAGCCGCCGCCCGGGCCGCGGCTCCTCCCCCGACCCCGCCTCCCCGGCCTCGCGCCGCCCGCCCGTCCGCCGGTCTCTGCTAGACCGTCTGTCTGTCCGCTCGCTCGTCCGTCCGCTGCCCGGGTCCCGCTAGCCCGAGTGCGCGAGTCGATTCGTCTGTCCCGGCCACCACAAACCCGTCTCCCGCCCCGAAGCGGTCCGCCTCTGCTACGCGAGGCCGGGGATTGGCAGGGCGCGTAGGCCGCACCGCGGCGGATGGAGCCGGAATAAAGAGGCAGCCGAGAAAGCAGCTGGTCTCTGCTCGCCCCGCGCCTGACCCCGCAGGCGGCCTGGAGCAGGTGAGCGCCAGGGCACCCGGGGCTGCATCGGGGGATCACTCCAGTGCCCACCGCACCTCGGGAGAGCCCCCCTGAGCTCTCGGACGGCCCAGGCCAGGCCTGGAAGCACAGACGCTTCCCGGGCACGGTTTGAGGCTCTGGGGCCTTCTTCGGCCCGAGCCACCCTTTCTCGGGACGCAGTTGCTGGGCCATCCGGAGCAAGAGCTGACAGGAGGTAGCCCAGCTGGGCCTAATTGGAGGTGACCAGCTTTCATTCAGTTACCCAGAGAGGAAGAAGGGCTGGGGTGGGGCGCAGGTGGGGGCTTCTCCTTGCTTTTCCAATCCCTCCCCTACTCTCCCCTGCCCTTTGCAGAGTGATCTGAGAGTGTTCCTGGCTTCACCTTTCTGGAGAAGGGTCGGGGTAGGCAGTGGGGTTGCTCCTGAAGGTGGAGAGTGGGGTGGCTGCTGGAATTGACAGCCATTCATACCAGGAAAAATAACACACAGTTGGATTGATACAGCTAGACTGGACAGCGTTCAGAGCAATGCCCCCTCCTCTCTACCTTAGGAATGCTGTGGCGGCTTTTCATACTCCTTAGAATAAAGGCGCAGCAGCATCTTTATTCCCTCCTTTCCCAGAAGATGCTGAGGATGACAACTTTCAGCTTGATTCTTAAGTTTCTTTAGCGGGACAGTTAGAAGCTGGGCTGGCTTGTGAGGTCATTCTCCACCTTTCTTCCTTTCTCTTAGAGAATACTTAACACACTTTTAAATTTAAGCGGCAGATGAGCCGAGAACCTGGAAAGGGGTTGCCTTTGGTTCCAAAAGTTCCTCCCTCTCTGGGATTGCCTTGGGCTTCCTCAAAGAGGAGAAGCAGAGATTTGGGGTTGGGTGGGCTTTATCTTGCATTGATTATTGTGAATGTTTTGAGCCTGGAAGAAAAGCACCCTGTGTCATGCTTTATCCTGTCTAACTCCGGCATCCTCTGGGAGATGGTTAGAGTACAGAAGTTCAGCTTGGGTGGATCTATGAACCTGTCATTTAACTCTCCCTGCAAGGCCATTCATCCTGTTGTAACTAGAGATGCACGTGCCCTGGGAAAGGCCTGGGGTGCAGGTGAGGAAGAGCGTGGACCAGTCCCATGAAGAAGAGGGTTTTGAGACGGTCCTTAATACCCTTGTGTTAATATTAGCTTCCAGAGTCCGTTTGCCTTAGGACTGGTGCCTTGTGGGTGTGGTTTCCTTCTGCCAGCAGACTTCTCTGATCTTTTATAACAGTGGTGTCCTCATGTTAATGTGAGAGGGGCTGGCTGGCCTTAGGGACAGGTCACCCCAGACCCTGTGAGGCACCTGACTGAATAAGGTCGTATGGAAACTAGAGGGGATTTGTGGGGGCTGAGATGCCCTGCCCAAGGACGGGGAGTTGAAGAAAATGGGCACAGAAGTGGCTCCCTTCCCCTTTGCGTGGAGGAGTGGAGCTGCCACCAGACTTCCTCAATAGCACGTGAGGGGAGCAGCTTTCCAGCCCGGAGCATCTCCCTCTCCTGAGGTAGTTTGTATCTGTGCTGTGAGTGTGGGCAGTATAGGAAAAGATAAGGGGAAGGCCACTTGTTCCTGCCTCAAGTTCACTGTGTCTCTCTTCCCTACAGAACCGATTACTGGGGAAGGCAGAGCCTTCTCGACATTGCTGGGACCCTGTCCCGAAGAGCCCCCTGCCCTGTAAGCACTGCCTTGTAGGCTGTCTTCTTGGCTCATGATAGGGCTATCTGACTGGCCCTCCTCTGTGCCTTGTGTGAGGTCCTTGTCCGGCCCCGACATCCAGTAGCTTCTCTCAGGGTTGGGTTCACCTTGAGCGGGAAACTGAAGCCATTACTGTCCAAACCCAGTTTCATCTTCCCAAGTATGTCCGAAAGTTGGCAGCAGCCACCACAGACGCAGCCACAACAGCCACAGCCCCCACAGCCTCAGCATCATGCAGAGCCACCCCCAGCCCTGGCTGAACATACGCTGCCCCCGGGCACGGCTGAGAACCCGCTAGGCTGTGCTGTCTATGGCATACTGCTGCAACCTGACCCAGGCCTGCAGCCCCCACAGCATGCACCTCTGCAAGCAGGGGAGCCCAGCCCCAAATGTGGTGTGTGTGGCCATGACCTTGCACACCTCTCCAGCCCTCACGAGCACCAGTGCCTGGCAGGCCACGACCGCTCCTTCCAGTGCACACAGTGTCTGAAGATATTCCATCAGGCCACTGATCTGCTGGAACACCAGTGTGTGCAGGCTGAGCAGAAACCTTTTGTCTGCGGTGTCTGCAAAATGGGCTTCTCACTGCTCACCTCACTGGCTCAGCACCACAGCTCCCACACTGGCATGGTGAAGTGCTCCATCTGTGATAAGACCTATAAGCCAGCGGAGGCTGCCGAACCGGCCACCACTACTACCCCATCGCTGCCCTCGGCACCTCCACCCGCTAATGTTGCCCCTGCGGAACAGCCTGAGAAGCCCTACAGCTGCCCTATCTGCCAGAAACCCTTCAAGCACCTGTCGGAGCTCTCCCGGCACGAGCGGATCCACACTGGAGAGAAGCCGTACAAGTGCACGCTGTGTGACAAGAGCTTCAGCCAGTCCTCCCACCTGGTGCACCACAAGCGCACGCACAGCTCCGAGAGGCCCTACAAGTGCGCAGTCTGCGAGAAGACCTTCAAGCATCGCTCCCACCTGGTGCGCCACATGTACGCGCACTCGGGAGAGCACCACCTGTTCCGCTGCAACGTGTGCGAGCTGCACTTCAAAGAGTCGTCGGAGTTGCTGCAGCACCCTTGCACCCCAAGCGGTGAGCGGCCCTTTCGCTGCGGCGAATGCCAGAAGGCCTTCAAGAGGCCATCAGACCTGCGGCAGCATGAGCGCACTCACAGTGCCGAGCGGCCCTTCAAGTGTGACCTGTGCCCCATGGGCTTTAAGCAGCAGTATGCGCTGATGCGGCACCGGCGCACACACAAGACGGAGGAGCCCTTCAAGTGCGGCCTGTGTGAGAAGGGCTTTGGGCAGCCGAGCCACCTGCTCTACCACCAGCACGTGCACACCCTGGAGACTCTCTTCAAGTGTCCCGTGTGCCAGAAGGGCTTCGACCAGTCTGCTGAGCTGCTGAGGCACAAGTGCTTGCCGACCTCCACAGAGCGGCCCTTCAAGTGCCCGGTGTGCAACAAGGCCTACAAGCGGGCGTCTGCCCTGCAGAAGCACCAGCTGTCACATTGCGCAGCCGCAGAGAAGCCTCTGCGCTGCACCCTGTGTGAGCGCCGCTTTTTCTCTTCCTCGGAGTTCGTGCAGCACCGCTGTGACCCGGCCCGGGAGAAACCGCTCAAATGCCCGGACTGTGAGAAGCGCTTCAAGTACGCTTCAGACCTGCAGCGTCACCGGCGGGTGCACACGGGTGAGAAGCCCTACAAGTGCCCCAACTGCGATAAAGCCTTCAAGCAGCGGGAGCATCTCAACAAGCACCAGGGCGTGCACGCCCGCGAGCAGCAGTTCAAGTGTGTGTGGTGTGGCGAACGCTTCCTGGATGTGGCGCTGCTCCAGGAGCACAGTGCCCAGCACAGCGCTGCCGCTGCAGCTGCAGAGGGCGCCTACCAGGTGGCGGCCTGCCTGCCTTGAGGCCTCGGGGCCACTACCTGCCCTGTCCAGTCTCGCCTACTTGCAGCTGCATGGCAGCAAGCCTGTCAACCAGCTCCCTCCTCAGGAGTGAGGACCAAAGGGTTCTGGGCAGGTGGAGGGTATGCATGTTCAGTTCTCCTAGAACCAGACCAGCCATGGGAGGAGCCAAACTGCTGGGGCCAGACCAGATTCCATTAACCTCTACCCCACGACAGAACTTGCTTTCTGAGATCCTGCTCCCCCCCCCCCCCCATCTATAGGGAACTTGAATCCCACCTGTAGTCAGGTGCCTCTGCCCTAGGTGTGAGGGATGTCAACCCAGCCTTCCCAAATTGTTCGGCCTAGTTAGAAGTCAGGTGCCTCGGGAAGAAGGAAGTAGGGTTTCTCCTCAGATTGATTTTTTTTTAGAGGGGGGGAGGCCAGCTTTGTGACAGTTCTGGAGACTTAGAGTATGGACCATGAGCTACAGTCTCAGATTGCCCAGCTAGGATGAATGTGCCCAAACCCCAAGTTTCTGATAGTTGAGATAAGTAGGATAGGAGTCTTTGGGCAGGGGGTGCTTGAAGCCTAGGGCCAGGGTGGGGGAAGCAGAGACATCCCATGACACCCTCGGGTCAGCCAGTGCTGTCCACAGGGAAAGGGACACAAGCCTGTGTGCCAAGGGCAGTCCTGAGTCTGTGGAAGCCCCTCCTGCCTGTGAGTGGTTCTGAGCATCAGGGCAGTGAGTGTGCCCTTGGCAGAGCTGCAGCTATAGAAGGGGGAGGCTGTTAGTCCCCTCACACCAACCTCATTCCTGGGTGGGGAGGAAGGAGGACCAAGCCCATGATTTCCCCAGCAGTCATAACCAGGCCCCTTCTTCCCAAATTGTAAGAACCAAAGTGTCTGAGGCTCAGAGTCATGACTTCACCTTGTCCCAGCCCTGCCAAATGGAGTTCTGGGCATCCAGGGTGGGGAATGGCTTCTCACCCCACAGAGCCCTTCTGACCCATGGATACCATGAGCCAGCAGTCTGGTCATGGGCTTGGGCACTGTTGCCAAAACAACCTGCTCTCTGTTGAGTCCTAGCATCCCCTTAGGCCTTTGGCTACTCACAGCCTGCCTCCTAGAGCAGACTTGGGGACACAAGGATAAAGGAGCCTATTGGGCAGCATTCTTAGCAGGTACATGGTCGGCCACCATCACTGGATGGCCAGAGCCACCTCAAGAACCTGTGAAGGATCTTTGTTGTCAAAGTCATCATTCTCAACCCAGCCCTGCCCATGCCCTCCTCAGCCCCCTCCCCCCCACCCCCGTCCATGAGTCTTGAAAGAAGACTCACTGGCACCCAAGCCAAGGGCCAGACGGTAGGAGGACACCACCACACCTCTCATCTCCAAAAGTCCAGCTGGCCGCATGCACCTGCTCTGTCTGCCCAGGCTCTGGCCTGTGGCCGCAGAGACATATTAACACTCCTCTTGACCTGACTCTTGTCACAAAGCCTCAACAGACTGGAACTCAGGCTACAACAGTCCAGTCCTACCTGCTCATTTCCCCTTTGATTTTGCATTCTAAAAGAAGTTTGTTATACTATTCATAACATTGTATAGCTTACTTTCATGTCATTTTGGATCATATATAAATATGAGAGTTTGGAATTTTTAAAAGAATGACTCCATTTTAGGCAGCCACTTTTGATGTTAATATCCAGTGAGTGTGACATATGCTCTAGAAGTAAAGACATTTGACCGGTGCGGCCCACAGCTCTGCCACTGTTCTTTCTGAAGGGAATGATGGGAGGTGCAGAGGCTGAAAGCCGCACAGACCAGAGAGGCAGGTGGGGGCTAGGCTTCAATCCTGAGCTTTGAGGCTTCCGGCTGTGTGACCTTTGACTGGTCACTTAACCTCTTTGACATAGTTGCCTCATCTGGCCACCAAAAACCAAACTGGGAGGCTAACTTGCCTCTGTTGTGAGAATAGCATGAAGTTGTTGAGACTGAGGGGAAGCTATGGACAAGCTGACAGGTACCAGGTGCAGTGTTCCACACCCCACCTGACTTTAAGGTTTAACCATAGCCCTTGAGGAGGGAGCTAGACTGTGAGAAACCAGCAGCTCATGAAAAGTCAGAAGCTGGAGATGGCAAAAAATGTATTCAGGTGCTCCCTGGAACAGCAGTGGATCCACCAAGCCCGGCCAGCCCACTCTCACCGTTTGGTCTGCCCTACAGTGGCTTGGTGAGCCGAGCCCAGTGCCTTTACCTCCGACCTTACACACATTTCTCCTGTGCTCCATTCTTGCCTACAGCAGTCTGTCTGCAACTCACATAGGCCAGAGTGGAACTGGAGAGAGGGAGAGATAGCCCTCAGCCTGGCATCTGAGAGCCAAGGGCACCCTGTCCTAGGTAAAAGGTGGAAAGTTAAAGGGCACGGAGCTACCCATACCACGCGTGTTCTAAGAGTGACCCATTCCTCGTGTCTGTGCCAGGCTCCAGGCCCCGCTTATTTTCTACTTGTGTGGTAGGACAGGCCTGAACGCTCCTCTGTCCAGACCATTTGGAGGCTCGGGGATTGTTCAAGCCGCACAGTGGTAAGTGCCCTGGAGTTCCATCTGCACACATGTGGAAGACAGGCAATGTGGCCAGGACATCCCTGGCATTCTGGCTCCAGGTCACTTTTCTGACCAGGACTGTCCCTGACACCCAGTCCGGCCAGGGGATCAAGGCAACAAAATGTTCCTCCTGCCCCAGCTGGTGCTCAGCTCCTTGACAAACTCCAACTACTGTTGTCTGCCTTCCTGTGCAGGCAGAGGGGTAGGTCCTTAAAGGGCCTGCTCTCGTGGTACTGCCACAGAAGGTCACCTCCAACCTGCACCTCCTTCCTGGCCCATAACCCTGTTCTCCCTACAGAGCTGACTGACGACGTCCCACCCAGGACTACTCGCCCTGTGACAGTCCAGAAGGCCCCCAGCCAGGCTCTGGTGATGAGGTCTGCATCCCACCCTCAAGCAAGCATTTTGGTCCCTAGAGGTCACAACCCCAGGAAGAGCCTTGGCTGCTGTCAGTCTGCATCTCCAGAGGCTTCTGCTGCAGTATCCTGTAAACAGCAGTCTGTGGGGACAGGGTTGTGGGGTCTTCCCCTTCTCTATGTCCCCACCCAACCCTGGCTCCGCATTCCTGCCTTTGTTTCCTCCACGACCATAACTGAGCACCGCTGTTTGCCAGGCACAAGACAAGAACTTCAGTCGAGTTTAAATGAGTCAGAAGTAGAGGGGTGGAAGAGAAGGTCCAGTTAGCGCAGTACCTGCTGCTCGAGCATGGGGACCTGAGTTTGAATACCCAACACCTACATGGTTGTATCCGTAGGCTGGGAGCACAGGTGGGGGAATGACAGGACATATGGGCCTTCCTGGAGCTCCTACCAGTCAGTCTAGCCATTTGGTGAATACTGGATTCAGTGAGAGACCCTGTTTCAAAAAATTAGGTGGGGAATGATTGAGGACACCCATGTTGACCTCCAGCCTCCACATGTATGTGCAGCCACAGGCAAACATAGTAAAACCGGCCACTGCCATCCGGGAACAGTCCCACATCTTCACCACGCCCCATCTCAGCTTGAGCATTATTTCTGAGCCCGCCCCAGCCCCTGGGCTATGATGCATTTCCCCCATGCTTCTCTGTAATAAACACTACTGTTTCTTTATAGTAGGAATTTCATTGAGTTCAAATTTGCTTGCATTGGTTCTGGAGACCCCAGATCCCATTCCTGAACCTCTTAATAGAGGTAAAAGGAGCTGGCAACTAATACTACTGGCCAGATATGTGGGTCCCCTGAAACAGCCAAGGCTCCTGTGCTGTGGTCTTCGGGAAGAAAGAGAAGGGAACATGTGAGGCTCTTTAAGGCTGGGCTGTAAGGAGTGGGGAAAGCATTTCTAGTGGAAGGGTGGCTTTGAACAAAGTTTGGGACACTTGATCCTAAGAGTAGGACAGAGCAGCGAGGAAGCGTGGTGGAGTCTGGAAACGCCAGGGAACTGATTGTGTTCAGGTCCAAAGGGCCTAGAGATGAGGTCATGCTGGCTGCACTATCCCCAAGGTTACAACTGCAGTAAAGATTTCCTATGGGATCTGTTTATAATGAGCCATGAACCCCTGAAGGTAAAGAGGTGGTCAAGGCAGTGAGGTAGTGACCACCACTAGTACTTCTGAGAGCATTCCTATGTCTGTTTCTCAGGCTAGTCCCAAACTACTGGGCTGTCTATTAAGCCTCAGCCTCCAGATTGCCTGGGACTATATACCACCAATCTTGGCTTCTTAGTTTTCTAATGGGACATCCCTTCTAAGCCCATCTTTAGTCCCCAATTCCAGGAAGCACCCCTGCTTTCGTCCCCGCTCTTGGCTTGTTTCTCAGAGCAGGAAAGAAGCAGAATGAAGTGGTCACGGTCACAATTCCTCTGCTTTCAATTCCCAGCTTTGCTAGTCACGGGCTATGTGGTCTTGGACCAATCATCGCTTCCTCAAGCCCATTTATTTAGACTTCTGTGAATGAGTGTTTTGCCCGTGTGCGTATATGTGCACCACCTGTGTGCCTGGTGCCCCTTGGAGGTCAGAAGAGGGTTATATCCCCAGGAATTAGAGTTAAGATGGTTCTGAGCCTCCATGTGGGTGCTAAGACCTGAACCTGGGTTCTCTAGAAGAGCAGCCAGCACTCAACCTCTGAGCCATCTCTTCAGCCCCAAGTCCATTTAATTAACCAGCTAGTAAATGGATTTAAAACGACTTACCTCATGGGGCCTGGGAAGCACTTAAAAACTTAATAAAAAGTATATGCTCAATTGTTTTTGCTTATGCTTTCTACTCCCTTTATTGTTAGACACAGTTTCTATTTCTTGTATATATAAAGTTGGTATTAAACGTACAGCCAGTGGACAAGAGCCTTAATTACTGCTATGGGTTGTCCCTTGCGGAATCCTGGACTAGGGGAATGTGGTTTGGGGTTTAAAGTGGCTTGGCCTGCAAACCTGTTTTTCTCACTGGGTTCAAAGCACCAATTAAGCAGGACCGACTGCTTGTCTGTGTCACCTGAGCGCTCCGTAGAGCACCGGCCCAGGCAAAGGCCCCAAAGCTGGGCCACATGTGGTGAACTGTCTTAGTCATTCTGGGTCAAGGAAGCAGGCCCAGAAAAAATAAAATCCGGTCACTCAGTTCCTTCTTGCTCCATCAAAGCTTCAAGTGTTCCTTCCAAATGACAGAGAAGAAATGGGCCTGCCGGAGATTACCCGCAGGGATGCTGAAGTCCTGCCTTGGGTGACCATTTCTCTGACACCTCAGGGGCTCTGCCATTGGCTTCCCAATGCTGTTCACTGGATTTGCATGGAGGAGGCAAATCCTCCCCAGGTTCCTGCCCGGTTGTCTGCAGAACAGCAGATACTAGATTCTGACCAGTGAGGCCATTTTCCTTTCAATTCCTTCCTCCTGAGACATTAGCCTTGGCACGCAAGAGCTGTGCAAAGGATTTGGGAAGGAAGGAGCGAGTGATGAATAAGAAAACAAGGGGTCGGGGCTGGAGAGATGGCTCAGAGGTTAAGAGCATTGCCTGATCTTCCAAAGGTCCTGAGTTCAATTCCCAGCAACCACATGGTGGCTCACAACCATCTGTAATGAGGTCTGGTGCCCTCTTCTGGCCTGCAGACATACACACAGACAGAATATTGTATACATAATAAATCAATAAATATTTAAAAAAAAAAGAAAACAAGGGTCTATCCTTGGAATACACAACAGCATGTGGACACGTGACTTGACACGTGATTTCAGGTTTGCGGGTACCTGAGGCTCCAGGGAAACTCCAGGAACAGGAACATACTGAGTTCTTGAGCTTAGTGGCTATTTGTCCCAGCTGGGACCTCTCCCTGCAGTCTGCCCTCTGGCAGGGTGAGACACGGAAGACCCAGGAGTATGTACGAATGTCAACTGCCCTAACATAGCACCAGGCTGTGAGACTCTCTTCCCTGAGGGTTCTCCACACCTAGGTCATCATGTTCACGATTACAGGAGGGGCTCAGGACGAGGGTGTATGTTGAGGGACAGATGAGGGCCAGTCGCACTGCTGAAGAGGAAAGCAGATGACCTTCTATTTAGGTGATAAATTCCTTAGTGCCTTGAAGAGACCGGAATGCTCTCACCTCATCCAGGTTTATATTTGAAACTTACTGCTTCATAGGGACTAGATGGCACAAGCTACCAGGAAACCCATTCCAGAGAGGTGTCACGGATCCCTCTCATCCCATCCTTTCCACTTAGTGCTCAAACTCAGGTGAAGGTTGCAAATTCAGGATCTTGGTTAGGGGTTGCAGGTAAGGGAAAAAAGGACAAGGGAGAGCCAGATCCCAGCCTGCCCAAGTGCCTCAGCCCCAGCTAGACTTGAGCCTCAGGCCTGATATTCTATGCAAGGCCACAAAACATCCATCACTAGCCCCTACACACTCTCTTCCCATTCCCTAGGTGTTGGCAAAGAGCAGACAAGGGTAATAATACACGACCAACTGTTCTTGACCCAGACCACCCCCCATGCCACACATATATACATACACATAGAGGCCTAGGGCCTCTCTAAAGAAGCAATAGATTTATTTCTTGAACTGAACTCCTAGGGAGATGGATGGTGCCACCATATGCCCTCTGTCCTGCTAGGGGACCTGGAGGTGACACAGTCCAGCCATAGAGGGATCAGCCTTCCCCACCCACAGATTAATGCCAGGGAGTCAGGTAGCTGGTACGACTGTAGAGAGAAAGAGGAGTGAAATGGGAACTCCAGGGTGCTCTCAAGAAAAAACAAGCTTTTCTTCCCACGCTCCACCACCACCCCAAAGCCCACCTCTCTGTCCTCAGGGATCTAAAAATAGTTTCCATCCCAGCTATGTGCCCAAGAGCCTTCAATAGCCCCCTATTTCCTGTCGTATCTTTTTGACTAGTTTCTTCATCTCGAATCTACCTCATACTATTTCCCAATGACTCCTCAACGTCAACTGCTTCATGGCTTTTCAGTCATGTATGAACCTACTCTAGTGTCACACAGTAACAACACCCAAAGTTTTCCTCCGTGTGAGCTGGGGAAGGCAGTTTTCGGGAATAGGAAAGGGCACTCCGGATGCTACAAGCTACAAGAGGTGAAGAAGAGTGTGTGCTGTAGGGAGAGACAGAGTGCATGGTTGTGCCAGTGTGTGTGTGTGTGTGTGTGTGTGTGTGTGTGTGTGTGTAGGGGATGGGGTCGCATCACGGAGTCTGCCGCACAGGGTGTGGCTGGAGAGATGAGTTTCTCAGCACTTCCACTTAGTACCTAGCCTTTAACTAAAGGTGACCCTGCTGGGGACGCTATCACGCAGCAGGAAGCAGATGGCAGTTCCTTCCTTCTCCATCCTCCCAGGCCCGCTCCTTCCGACCTCCACCGGGCCAATCCTGGTGAGAAATGCACCCCTAGCCCAGGCCCACTAAGCAGTAGGTTGATAGCTGGCTGAGCATCTTCAAGTCCCCCTTCCCAGGGGGCGTGGCAGACTGCGACCAGGGCGGGGCCATTCACTACCTGTAGTGGGAGCCAAAGCGTCGAAATGCGTTCCTGAGAAAGAACCGAGAAAAACCCTGCTGAACACGGCTCCCAGAGCTTGGAGGTGCCAGGCACCCGCCGACAGGTGCCGGTTCGGTAGGAATTCAGTATCTGTCCTACAGTAACAATCCCCACTTCCCAGCTCGGGTATCGGGGTCCCGTAGGGGTCCCGCGTGTTCTCACTTACAGCGAGTCGAAAGGCATGGGCTTCTGTCCATAGCGGTCCAGGCTGGGGTTCTGGTTGAGGCAGTACTGGGGCAGGCCACAGGAATGGGGATCTGTAAGCCCTCAGGGCGCGGACCCCAGCAGCCGCTTCCCTCCCAAGCACCCGGGTCGGGTCTACGTGCATCGTGCATCTTTCCCTACCCGCCAGTTCTGGGTCACGTCAGGCTTCAAGTACCGCACCGCGTAGCCACTGAAACTCTCCACTGTGAAAAGAACCCACCTTGGGGACCTAGATCCGAACAAACCTGGCCCGCCCTCATTTAAGCTCCTCCCCGCCGGAGCCCTGCTAGCTCTCAGGCCCAGCCCCAGTGGCTTCCCTGACCTGGAATTGTCCCAGCCATTCTCCAACCCCAACCTGGTCCCTGTGCTTGCGTTGCTGGTCCTTGGGCCCATGGTCCTTATTCCTTCATTCCTTGCTTTAGAATGTCATCAACCTGCGGGAGATCTCCCCCCTCTCTAGGGAGCCCTTTGTGAATGGTAGACTGACCCCTCTTGTTGATGCAAGGTAGCTTGAACTCCCCGGACCTGGACACGAATTTAGACCAGTCTTCAATGGCACGCGTGTAGCAGGGCCAGTCGACCCGGTTGATGCCTGGTGCGATGGGCACCATTTTTCCTTCGCGGTACTTATGACAGAGCTTCTGGCCGGTCCCTGTGAAGTCCTACGGAACGATGGATCATAATGGCAGATGCAAGATCCTGGGGGCTTCCTGAGCTGACATTAGGCCCATTGGACTGGGGGAGGGGAGATACAGTAAACCAGGGCCTGGATTGCATGGGGGTGAAGTCTCTGGTAGGCGGCTGGGCATATGCTCAGGAAGTAGAGCCCTGGACCAGAAGTGCCTAGGCATCAGTACAGACTGGTGCCACTCATCCACGGCTGAGGACAAAGTACACTCACCAGGCATTGCAGGGGTTTGTTGGGGACTCCCAGGAGTGTGAAGTGGGCCTTGTTAAAGTCATCTGTTGAAAGATGATAAAGGTGTCCCTTTCAGGAGCTCTTACAGGTCCACCCTAGAGGCCTGACCCACACTAGGCACCTTATGAGAGAAAAAAATGTCCCAGCTATCAGGAGGCAAAGACAGACAGATCTCTGGGAGTTCAAGGTCAACCTGATCTACATCTCAAGTTCTAGGCCAACCAAGATTACATAGTGAGATTCTGTCTCAAAGAAAAAAAGTTAGGGTTTTTTTTGGGGGGGGGGGTTCGAGACAGGGTTTCTCTGTAGCTTTGGAGCCTGTCTGGAACTAGCTCTTGTAGACCAGGCTGGTCTCGAACTCACAAAGATCCGCCTGCCTCTGCCTCCCAAGTGCTGGGAAACATGGATAAATGGCTTGGTTAAGTAGTTCATATACAAATACTAGAAATTCATTTGACTTCATGGTCCCTAAACACATAAAAAGACACCCTGTTTTTATAAGATGAATGTACATTTAATTTACATTAATATTTCAATTTCCTCCACTTATTAGGCCAGACTGGGAACAATGCAAATGTTGTATAGCTTTAAGAAATAGGCCCCTCAGGGGCTGGAGAGATGGCTCAGAAGTTAAGAGCACTGACTGCTCTTCTAGAGTACCAGGGTTCAATTCCCAGCACCCATATGGGAGCTTACAACTGTCTGTAACACCAGGATCCAGCACCCTCACACAAATATATACAGGCTAAAACGCCAATAAAATAATTAAAAAAAAGAAATAGGCCCCTCAGCATATATTTACTGGAGGCTGTGTGAATTGATTAGAGCCTACAGACAGCAGTCCAGGAAAATTTAAAATAAAAAGAATTGCAAATATGCACACATCCTTTGCCTCCACAAATGATGTCAAAAGAAGGGGACCCATTTTCATGTTTTTAACAGCAAAAGAACGTAGCATTGGTTATTAAACTAAATAAACCCAATCATACCTGCGCTAGGGAACTGTGGAGAGTAATCTGAGTCAGGTGTGGTGGTACATACCTGCAATTCTAGCACTTGAAGAAGGATTGTGGGTCTGAGATCGGTGTGGGCTATCTCATGAGACTTGGTCTCAAAAATCTAAGGGCTAGGGTACACCTCAATGGTAAAGAACCTGCCTAGCTTGTGTAGACCCTGTCTTCAATCCCCAGAAGAACAACAAAAAGTATTCATTTGAGTTCATGTAGGTCTAGGATCTTTAAGTCTTGAGACTGTAATGGTCCATCCTGTCCCTTTAAGAGACAAACCCTGCCCACTCCCACCCTCCACCACTGAGGCCAGCAAATCTCCCTTCTTTCCTGCAGCCTGAGCTCTCTTCTTTTCCATCTCTCTCCCAAAGAGGTAGCTGCTGCTGTGGCTCCTCTCCTCCCCATCTCTCTTTCTCCCCTTACCCTCTTTTCCCCTCCATAAGCCACTAAATAAATATCCAACCTCACTCTGCATGGCGTACCTATTAGTCTCGGTCCCTCACCTGCCACTCAGGGGCTCCCTGCTGCCTGCTGCAGCCACTTGGGGACCTGCAACATTTTACTTTTACCATTACAGAGACTATTGCAGACCAAGAAGAGCTGATACTCAGGTCACCACTTTAACCAAATCGCCAAAGGTAGCAACATAAACAATGAAGAATTTAGTGACCTTCTTACATTGTCAGGTCACCTATGAAATGCTGAAGGTGGATAATCAAGCCTTTAGATCCATCTTTCATGTAACAAATTTAAGAATACCCTGGAAACAATTGCTGAAACTCACCGTGGAGGATTGTCTACAATGCTGTTGTTTTGACTCCCTTAAAAAGTCAATAATAGTCCGGCAGTGGTGGCGCAAGTCTTTAATCTCAGCACTTCAGAAGCAGAAGCAGGCGGATCTTTGTGAGTTCAAGGCCAGCCTAGTCTGCAGAGTGAGTTTCAGGACAGCCAGGGCTGCACAGAGAAACCTTGTCTTGAAGAACAAAATGAAACAAAACACAATAGGACAACATCCTTCTCCAGGGCCTGGTTAGATAGACAGAACTAGAAAAGATCATGTTGAATAAAGTAACCAAGACCCAGGAAGATAAATGTTATAATTCTCTCTCATCTGAGATTTCTAGTCTGAAGTCTTTGGATGTGAGTGCATAACCTGGAGTAACTGCAGAAACCAGGAAAATAAAAAGAGAACACAGGTGGAAGGAAATAGCAGAGTACAAGTGATGTGAAGGAGGAAGTGGGAAAAATAGAGGGACATTATTTAGGGAAGAGAGATAAATAGGGAAAGAGAAGGGAAGGAATAACATAACAATAAGGATATCATACTATTATTTAACTACATAAAAATACCTATAATACAATACACACATATTTTAAATGAAAATTTCCATCTGGGCTGACAATGCCCCTTCCAAGTGCCATAGACCACCTTAAAAAAGCAAAACAAATAAGCAAACAAAACTAACACTGGGCATAAGAAGCTCTCTTCTGAATTCCTGGTCAAGGTTGTCCAAGAGACTCCCAAAACATTATACATTATTGGTGTTTCACTTGGTTGCCTCCCAGCGGTGGCTATGGCTAAAGATTCTGTGCACTTTGACCAGGATCCAGAGCACCCAAGTTGGATCTGCCCCAAAAGCCTCTTCTCTGAGGACTAGCTTTTGTGGTCCCTTCTGGTAAACTTTACAAAGGAGGAAAGCCCCACCCAGCTATGATACTATGAACCAGGACAATGGCCAGCATGCCATGATAACCCTAAGGGTGTAATAGTAGCAATAGTAGCAATAGTAACAATAGTAACAATAGTAACAATAGTAGCAATAGTAGCAAGCATAACTTGGCAGTGACCATCAGCTCTCTAATTAGGCTTAAGACCTACTCAACAAGAGGGAGGTCATGCCTGGGTGGAAACCTAACCAACTACTTGGGGTTAGAGAAGTCATTGATCTTGGAGAACCCACACCTGCCACTTTGCTAAACCAGCATAATCCCTTAGTGGTAAATATTCATCCTTATATCCAAGGTAAATGCAATTTTCCTCCTCTCATCGAGGAAACTTTTCTTTGTAGTAGATGGAGACTGTTGCTGGAGGCTGCTCATTGGTTCCTGGATGCCTAGGCCAGAAATAATCACTCAGAAACTATATTAATTAAATCATGGCTTGGCCAATCACTTAAGTGTATTGCTAGCTAGTTTTTATACCTTAAATTAACCCATTTCCATCATCTTATATTTTACCACAAGGTTCGTGGTTTACTGGCAAGGTTCCAGTGTGTCTGTTTCCTGTGGTGGCTACATGGCGTCCCCTTGACTCTGCCTACTTTCTCCCAGCATTCAATTTAGTTTTCCCCGCCCATCTCTATTCTGCCCTATCACAGGCCAGAGTAGCTTCTTTATTCATTAATCAATAAAAGCAACACATATACAGGAGACCATTACAGAAAACCACAGTTGATCAAAATGGGGACTTGCGGTGTCTCGTTCCAAGTGATACGTCTATAACACAACTCTTGCAAGGCTCAGGAATCATCCTGGAAGAGGGAGCAGAAAGAGCCAGAAGAGCAGGAATTTTGCTGTGAGATTATATCTCCTAGAAATGTCAGTGAAGCTACACCTGTGAAATCTCACTAACATGGCTGCACATATATGACCTGAACAAGGATGGCACCAATTGACACCTAACATGGAAGCAGGGAAGGTCACAAAGTCTCAAGCATAGACGAAGAACTACAGCAGTATCTAAGGAGGGTGGAGAGTGGGAGATATAGTCTTTCCCAGGGAAGAGCGCACCAATCGGCTTTCTGATACCAAGTAGTCAGGCCTGAAAACACACATACATTATACAGACTGAGCATGTTATATTTGGGACTATGTACATATGTATGCATGTATGTATGTATGTGATGGCAAGTAAAGAAAAGGAGGCATGATTTTGAGGGAGAGCCCAGGGAAGTATATAGGAGGCTTTGGAGAGCGGAAAGTGAAGGGTGGGGGGGACATGATTTAATCTTAATCTTAAATACAAAAAAATTATAATAAAAATCCAATAGTCCAAGGAAAAAATAGAAACGATGGAAAATCGTTTTAGGCTAAGGCTAAAGACTTACCTGATGCATAATCCTCAATTCAACCCCATTCCCATTTTAAACTATAATATACATATTTGTAGACTCCAGGGGAGATTTTAAGGGTGCTGGTTAAGGGCTATTGTGGAATTATTGTTAACTTTCCTAGGTATGATAATGGTATCGTGTCATGAAGGGGGCTGGGAACCAACTCCCTGGCAAAATTTGGCATGCACATGTGTGTGTGTGAATGTGAGAGAAAGAGGGAGAAAAGAGAGAGAAAGGAAAAGAGGAGGAGGGAGAAGAAAGGAGGATACAGGAGAGAAAACAGAGAGAGTGAGAGAGAGAGAAATGGAGAAAAGAAAGAAAGCAAGAGATAGCGTGTGAATACAAACTGCAACAGACCTCGGGCGGGCAGAGGGAAAGGAGCTCAGAACACTGCCGTTTCAACATTTTTCTGTTTGAAAAATCTTATAAAGTCAGGGAACAAAAGACTTTCTGTATCAAGTGTGGTGGTGTAGACCGCCAATCCCTGCTGAAATGGAGGTTGAACAAGGACAGCTTGAGTTCAGGAGTTCAAGGTCAGCCAGGACAGCGTACAAGTCACAGTCTCAAAGACTGGAGGCGCAGGGGAGATAGCTCAGTTAGTAAGGTGCTTGCTATATAAACATGAGGACCCAAGGTCTGGCCCTGGCACACTCATGAAAAACTGAGTGTGGTGGGGGACACTTGTCATCTTAGTGTGCAGAGAGGACAGGAGGATCCCAGCATTTGCTGGTCAGCTAGTCCAGCCTGTCTAGGAACAAACCCACGTCTCAAACCCACGGTGAACAGCAAACCAAGGAACGACGCCCGAGGCTTTTCCTCTGACCTCTTTGTGCGAGCGCAGCTTAAGCCCTCCTCCTCCGCATGACAGTCCAGTAAGAAGATCAGGTTTGGGGCTACAGATCTGAGACAGGAGGAGCAGAGTGTAAGGCCAGCCTGGGCTACGTGTTGCGATGCAGTGGGGATGTTGCCTTCAAATTTCCAAGCCGAAGAAACCTTATTTTGTTAAGACCTAAAGGAAGTAAAAGAACACCGCCCCCCACAACAGCAGCAGCAGGGTTCTCTGCTCATCAGTCGTGCAGTAGCAGGTAACCCGCCCTTCACCCTTAGTTCACGCTGCCTCACAAAGTCCCGGGAGTGGGGAGGCAGGCTCTGTACCGGTCCCCATTTTTCTGCTCGGGAAGTAGTGGGTGGATCTTGGAGGAACCTTCTGGAAGGGAGTAGAAAGCTGGACTGGCCTCCATCATTTTTTCATCTACCACTTGCCCCCAGCCGTTTCCTCCAAGATCCCCATCTTGAGAGCCACCCTTGCTCCAAAGGCAAACAGGAGACCCTTGAGCTGCTGGTGGCGACGTGGCCTGACCTTTGGAGCAGTAGGTGGAAGATTGGGAGTGCTCATCCGATAGGCAGCCCTTGACAGTGTCCATGTCCATGCGCCGCAGCGTGGGCAGGGCTGGGTGATAGAGCTGGTGCTTCACACCGGCGAGTGGGTTGCGCACGCGCTCCAGCGGGAGGAGGATGGCTGGGGAAGCATATACATGGGCGGAGCCATCTTCCCAGGGCACCACGTCGATGATTTGGGCCATTGCTGGAGAGCAGAGGGGTTGAGTTAGACATCCTTACATATAGGCACACGTTCTTGGTCTACAGGTTGATTTAAGTTTTTGTCAAGCATTTATTGCGAATCTTCTGTAGGCCCAGTGATTTTTCAGGAACTCCACTTGGGTGGCAGGGATATACAAAAAACAGATGTATGTGTGTGTGTGTGTGTGTGTGTGTGTGTGCGCATGCGCGCGCGTACACACACACACACACACACACACACACACACACACTGCACCCAGGGCTATATGAGGGAAGTCAGCACGGTGGGGGGGGGGGGGTCTGAGAGGCCTGAAGTTGGGGCACTCCAGGAACTGTCTGAGATTTAAATATTGAACAGTATGTCTTATGACACTAGGTAGCCAACTCTGGATTTGCCTTTGTTATATCTAGCATTTGCCCCAAATGGTACAGATAGATAACGAGACTGTTTTTTTTTGTTTGTTTTTGTTTTGTTTTGTTATTTTTTGAGACAGGGTTTCTCTGTAGCTTTGAAACCTGTCCTGGAACTTGCTCTGTAGACCAGGCTGGCCTCAAATTTACGGAGATCCGCCTGCCTCTGCCTCCCGAGTGCTGGGATTAAAGGCGCGCTCCACCACCGCCCAGCTGAGACTGTTTTTAAAGGGGGAGAAATACGGCAGATCAGAATTAGAAAAAGATGGGTGGTTACCTAGTGCCTCTCTTTTAAAAAGCAGATATGCCCTGGAGGCCCCCTTTTAGTCTTTTGCACCTTAGTGAGAATTTGTTGACTCTACTTCCTGACCCCCGAGTTAGAGGTGAATAATGGAGATGGGGGCTAGGTAGGAAGGAGGGGAGAAGAACTTGACCATGGAGGACCAGGAAGGGGCATGGCGAGAAAGTATGGGAAGCTGTCACAGAGATGCCAGCACATGAGGACAGACAGGATGGTAGAACAGAAAGGAAGGAAGAGAGCTCCCTGCTGCCGTGGACCCACACCCACTACCTCGTCTGCAGGGCACGGGCCAGATGCACAGGCAGAAGAACCTTCTCTTCTGCTGCTCAGGGAGCAGAGGAAGGGAGGAGGGTGGGCCTTATGGGCAGCTGCAGGATAAGGAGACAATGCCCAACCGCAGCCTGATTGTGAGGGCGCAGCTCCCAGGTAACCCTGGCAACACAGGCTACCCAGAGATCCCTTTCCCTGAAAGCTTGGGGATCTCCATGGCTGCTACACAAGCCAAGCATCTTGGGATGCAATAACTGGGGCTCTATGAAGGTGACCTGGCCACACAAGGGCAAGCATAGCTGCTGGGCCCACTCAAGACTGTGCTATTGTGCTTGCTCATTCAACTTGACAGAGCTATCGTCATCTGAGAGGAGGGAACCCTAACTGAGAGAATGCCTTCATAAGATTGGGCTGTAGGCTAGCCTATAGAGCATTTTCTTAATTAGTGATTGATGGGGGAGGGCCCAGCCCATGGTGGGTGGTGCTGTCCCTGGGTTGGTGGTCCTGGGTTCTATAAGGAAGGAGGCTGAGCAAGCCATGGAGAGCAAGCCAGTATAAGCAGAACCTCTCCGTGGCCTCTGCATCAGCTCCTGCCTCCAGGTTCCTGTCCTGTTTGCATTCCTATCCTGGTTTCCTTCAATGATGAATAGGGATTTGGAAATATAAGCCAAGTAAACACTTTACAAGTTGCTGTGGTCCTGGTGTTTCATCACAGTAATCGTAGCCCTAAATAGGACAGTGACACTAGTTACTACTGCCTCTCTCTGGCCCCAAGAGCACTATTTGTTTTAGGCAGGGACCCTAGACTCTGCAACAGGGCTGCTTGGGAGCCTGGAGGACCCCTGATCCCCATGAATCTCAGGGAAGGGGATGCCTTTGGTCTTTGGGGGGTGGAGATTAGCCAGGCTCCAGGGTCAGGGCAGGGATCAGGAAGAGTGGTGGCCTCAGCAGGCTAGGGATTAGCAGGTGATACTTCACCCCACCCCCACCCCACTCCACCTCACTACCTGGGGACCTGCAGCCTCCTTTCCCCCAGGAAAGCCAGGCTGTGGGTATCCTCCCCACAGCTTGATGCTCTGGGTTTAGAACAAGACTTCCCGAGGTTTGAAATCCTGGGGCTGCCTATTCTTTTGCGTATATTAGCATATGATCTGCATACACTTACAGGAGCGCTAAACCTGCCATTCAGTATCTCCTGCTGTTTCACTGCCGTAGGATTGGGGGCTGCTCCTCTGTAGCGACCCAGAACCTAAGCAAGACCTCCTCGTACAGAAACTTGCCCAGTGCTGACTCTGATTAGCACCTCCAACCTAAAGCACAACTTTTTGTTGTTTTGTTTTGTTTCAAGATGGGATTTCTCTGTGTGGCCTTGGCTGTCCTGGAACTGGCTCTGTAGACCAGGCTGGCCTTAAACGCAGAGATTCGCCTACCGCTGCCTCTGGCTTTAAAGGCATGCACCACCAATGCTCTGAAAAGTCCAACTCTTTTAATGTTAGAAAATAGCTGGGCATAGTGGCACCCACCTTTAATTCTTACTCAGGAGGCAGAGGCAAGTCTATCTCTATGAGTTCAGGAGCAGCCTGATCTACATAGTGAGTTTCAGGCCAACCAGAGAGACATAGAGTTATCCTGTTTCAAAAAAAAAAAAAAATAAAATAAAATAAAAAAATAAAAATAAAAATAAAAAAATACAGAAAGCATATAAATATATAATTTAGTGTTTTATAAATTGTGACATATCCTCCACCCCTGACACTGGTAACTGCTACTCAAGTCCAGACACAGGGTACTAACTTTACAAAAGAGTTTAGTGGTATATTAAAAAGTGGAATATGAACTAAGCATGCTGGCATACAGCTATAATCTCAGCACCCCAGAGGTTGAGTTCACACCGAACCATGGCTACAGGGTGTGTGGCCCTGCGTTGTACAGGACTGCCCTCCCAGCTAAACAGCTGCCGTCTTGGGGAATTCTGCTGTGCCAATTTGCAAGAGATTATCTCCGCTGGGCTTGTTGACAATTGACATCCTCAGCGGGTAGGGCAGGGAATCACAATTCTCACCTGTGTGTACCCTGCTGCTCCCGACCACCTGTCACAGGCGACTCTGACCTAACTGCTCCTGACCTCAGAGGGGCTAGAGAATTTAGGTGAGGGAAGACCCTCCCAGGGCAGAGCAGCAAAGGTGCTTGTCTATGCAGCTGTAAGAAAGTCTTGGACGTCGGTGGCAGAGGCCTTATGAGGCACAGGCAGGTGGATCTCTGTGAGTTCAAGGTCAACCTGGTCTACAGAGAGTGGGTTCCAGGACAGCTACAGAGAGAAACCCTGTCTCAAAACAAACAAACAAACAAACAAACAAACAAAAGTCTTCAACCCTGCTGGGAAAAGACTTTCTGGTGTAGACTCTTGGCGGAGGAACACCCACACTCCAGAAATAACCAGTCGCCCACACTCTCTCTTTTTTTTTATTTTGGTTTTTCGAGACAGGGTTTCTCTGTGGCTGTCCTGGAACTAGCTCTGTAGACCAGGCTGGTCTCGAACTCACAGAGATCCGCCTGCCTCTGCCTCCCAAGTGCTGGGATTAAAGGCGTGCGCCACCACCGCCCGGCTGCTCGCCCACACTTTCTAAGGAAGTCTGATAAATGCTTTGGCTCCCCATAGTGAACTCTGGTGGAACTGTGCTGGGTTTGTCATTGGGACCATGGGAGAGAAGATGTAGAAATTGCTTATGCTTCCTCCAGGGAAGGAATTTTAGCAACATCCTGTCTCTGAAACACCCAAACAACAAGAAAGATAAGTTTACAATATGATTGCTTCGTCTGGAAGAGCCTACCCTAGAAACGGTCTGAGAGAAGGGACCCAGTGCCGTGAAGACTTACATGCAGAGCTTGGTGCCCTTGGCCGGAGTCATAAACAAGCATCACGCGCTGCTTCCCAGATTCCACCTCTTCTATTGCTTTGATCTTCTGTAGCAGCTGTAGCAGCAGGGAACAGTACCCTTCTGTTCCTTGTAAATGATTTGGTTTAAGGGGTTGTGTTACAGTAACAGAGGCGACAGGACAATGGGCTTCAGAGGAAGTCCTAAACCAGTCTCATTCAGCAGGCTTATGGCTGACTCCCAGGCACACAGGATCCTCAGGTTAAGTGACCCTAGAACCAACTCGGGTGCTACCACCTCACAGAGCCCCTCTCCCCTGGACCACTGCCCTTTGCACCCCCTCCTCCTGGATCTGTATTTCTTCTGAGAGTCTAGCCTCAGTTCCCCAATTTGGTCAGTTATCAGACAGGCCTTGGAACCTGCGATGATCAAGACTGTTAATTTTGGGCTTTAACTGGGCTGATTAGGAATGCCCAGAAATTGGTAAAGCGTGACTTCTGGGTGTGCCTGGGAGGATGCTTCCAGGCAAGACTGGCATGCAGGTCAGCAAACTGAGGTCACCCCCTTATGTGGTTGGAATTAATCTGCTTGGTTAGTGTCTGGGAGGGAGCAGAATAGAGGAAAAAGGAGAAACTGTCTCTGATTCTTCTTCCTTAGTTGGGTGTGGTTCTTCCTGCTGCTGCTGGCCTTGGAGCTCAGCCTCGGTCCTTTGGCCACCTTGGATGCTGTGTCTTGAACTCACTACCCTTCAGGGAGTCTGAGGCTAGAGATGTCTAACTGGGGCATATCCTAGGCCTTCTGGTCCTGAGACTTTATACTGTCTTGGTTCTGTTTCTCGGGAAATGCTGCTAAGTACAGATTTTGGCTAAAGGTCCTGTCCTGGTTCTTGTGGTAAAGCTCGAGCTATTAAAGACTCTGCCGCAGAGAGCCTGCTCAGGTCCAGCGTTGGTGCTGGAGAGTAAGGACACACTCCTGTCCCCCTGGCTGAGCCGATGAGCTCCTGTCACCTTGAGGGGTCCCCCAGAACCACACAGACATCCATTCCTGGTTTTGTAGTCTCTCTCTGGCTTTGCCGGGGTGTGGGAAGTCTGGCTCCAGCACTGGGGCAGGTGCCCTAGCAATTTATAGGGCCCTAAACCCTGTTGGACACACTTGGGGGTTGTTGCTGGCTCCCCTGGCACGAGCCCTGCCCCCCTTTCTGCACATGTTAATCCTTTGCGCTCGGCCCATCTAGCGCCAATTAATCCTGGCTGTGTCTGAGGGGCCAGCTTCAGGGGCACCTAGACTGCAATACCTGCTAGCAGCTGACATCTGAACAGGTAACTCAGAATGAAGTGGGGGCTCAGTAGGACTCCTTGGTGGGGGGGTCCCCATGCTCAGCTTCTAGCAGGGCATTGAGGAGATGAAGTAGACCAGATGGGAGAGCTGTAATGCCACCTCCCGTGATTTAGACTTTGGTAGCTTCAGGGCAGCCTGAGAAATGAAGACTTAAGGTCCCACTATGGTTTGGGGGAGCCTAGGAATCTGTGTTTTCTCTAGCTCCTCAGAAGATTCTCAGAATGCTGGCGGTTCGACAGAAGCCTGGGTGGCTAGCCCTAGGTCATCTTCCTGCCTCAGCCTCGCTCTTTAAAGTTGGAGGGCAGCAAGATGGGCCTCCAAATTCCCATCCAGAAAATTGGCCTAGGAGGCCTCTTCTCGAGTAATTTCCAGACAGTTCAGAAATGCAAGCCAGGATTGTTGCCCACTGGTCCTCCAGCAGAGGACAAAAGAAAGCAGTCAGGGTCCAAGCAGATTTGAGAGTAAACGTGTCTTGACCAGAGTCAACCTTAGACAATTTTATTAGTCTGAGGATGGCTATCCTCCTTACAGGGAGTAGGGGAGGGCAAGATGGTAGGAAGAATGAGTGTTGTCAGAGGGGTGTGGTAGCCAGGCTTTGAGGAGGGCTTTCCTCAGGTCTGGTTCCCCGGCTGCTGATAGTTAGCTGGGGTCTGTGCTTTCTACCATCCCACACTTGTGACCTCGGGAGGAAGTCGCTGTGTCCACACCCTCGAACCAGCAGGGAACTAGAACCCAGGGGTTGTATCTGGCCCCCACCACTTTACCGTAGGCTGAGCTGACTCTGCAGCTTAAGCTCTGTTCCATAGAGGCCAGCTTTTTTTTTTTTATATTAAATTATCCCATCTATCTTTGGCCTCTGGGCTTTTCTCTTTCTCTATTCCTGTATACGTCACTTTACTTCTTTCTTGGCAACTTGCTATGTAGCTGGATGGCTGGCCCCTGATGTCCTCCTCTCCTTGTTCTACCTTGCTCCTTCCATATTTCTCCTATTTATTCTCTCTGCCTGCCAGCCCTGCCTATCCTTTCTCCTGCCTTGCTCTTGGCTGTTCAGCGCTTCATTAGCTCATCAGGTGTTTTAGACAGGCAAACAATCACAGTGTCATAGAGTTAAACAAAAGCAACATGAAAGAATGCAACACATCTTTGCATCATTAAAACAAATGTTCCACAGCATAAACAAAAGTAACACAGCTTAAAATAATTTTCCACAACATCAATTTGTTAGTGTTTCAAGACAGGGTTTCTCTATGTAGTCTTGGTTGTCCTGGAACTCACTCTTAATAGACTTTATTCTCACACTCTGCTCACAAGGTAGGGACTATCAAGGTCACTTGGTTTTATTCAGGCTGACCTTGAACTGCTGATCCTTCTGCCTTCCCCGGCTCAAGTACTGGAGTCTAAGTACCACCATGCCTGGCTGCAGTGCCCCCACTTTACAGACAGGCACACAGAGGTGAGAGGAGTTGAACTGATCTGCTCATGACAATGTTAGAGCATTCACATCTTCTGTTCAAATGAATGCGCTTCTTCCTTTCCAGCGTTTCCACACCCCCGCTATCGGCGGCATTACTACTTAATGCAGGCTCACATGATGAGCGCTCAGATTCTTTCTAATAGCTAGCCTCTGATAACATTGCAGAAATATTTTTAATTTTTGAATGCTTTATTTGAACCATTATTCCCGCAGCTTGGAAATGGATAAGTAAAGTGTGCAAAATCCATACCACAGAATACTACTCCATAATAGAAATAAATGAATTAGTGCCTATTGTTCTTAATTTCTGCGGGTTAGACAGTAGAGACGGTTACGCGAGGAAAAGACACAGACACGCGGCGGTCCCACGTGGGTGCACTTTAATGGAGGAGGGGCAACAAACAGGAAGGGGGGCGTGCAGACACGGTAGGGAAGGCGGGGAAGAGAAGGGAAGAAAGGAGGAGAGAGAGAGAAAGAGAGAGGGGGCTCGTGGTGGCCCCCGCTTTTTAACGGGGAATGCAAAAGCTTCTGGGAAATGTGTCCCCAGGGGAACGCTGGGAGTTGTAGTGTCGCAAGAGAACAACAGTGCCAGTAACACTTACACAGAAGAATCTCAGATGTGTATGTTAAATGAAAGAAATCATGCTCAAAGGCAACATATGATATAGAAATTCTGGGATTTCTATATCCGGAATTCTATATTCTGGAATTCAGACTGCAGGGGCAAGAAGCAGATAAGCATTTCTGGGGCTGGGGTGGAAAGAGGGCTGCTCATAAAAGAAACTCTTTTGAAGATTTATTTTTAATGTGTACGTGTGTACATATTTCATGTATGCGTGGATGCTCACAGAGGCCAGAAGAAAATATTGGATCTCCCGTAACTGAGGTTACAGGTGTCTGTGAGTTGCCTGCTGTGGATGCTGGGAACTAAATGTGGGTCCTCTGGGACTCTTAACCATGGCACCATCTCTCCAGCCATACTGCAGAAATATTTTCATTTATTTATTTATTTTTACTTTTTAAATATATATTTATTTATTTATTATGTATACTATATTCTGTTGTGTGTATGCCTGCAGGCCAGAAGAGGGCACCAGACTTCTTTACAGATGGTTGTGAGCCACCATGTGGTTGCTAGGAATTGAACTCAGGACCTTTGGAAGAGCAGGCAATGCTCTTAACCGCTGAGCCATCTCTCCAGCCCTGCAGAAATATTTTTAAAGATAAGCTGTGGTAAAGGGCATATGCGACCCACAAAGTGGCCGTCTTACAGCCCGTGGTTACCCGCCCACTAGGGCGTGGCCTCTTACACTATACATGCTGATGTAGAGCGTGTGTCTGCTCTCTTTCTGGTTGTGGGATTCGGTTTCTATTCTCCGTTCAAGCAGAGGATTCTGATTTGTGAGTTTACCCCTTCCACATCTGGCGCCCAACGTGGATTCGGACTTTACACCTACTGGGTGGACGCCATGGCCCAGTCTCCCCACCTTGCCTGCTTGCCTTGCTTTTAAAAAACTAAGCAGTTTTTTTGTCCATTGCAGGCACCAGTATGTTGGGCTGGGTCCAGAAGGTGCTGCCTCAGCCTCCAGAGACCCCTCAGAAGACTAAGGAGGAAGCAGAACCAGAGCCAGAAGAGCTGGAGCCTGAGGCAAAGCCAGAACCTGAACCAGAGCCTCAGCTGGAGCAGGAACCAGAGCCAGAACCCGAAATAGCCCCTGAAGAGGATGTGCCAGAGACCCCGACCCTGGTGAGGGGAGAGGGGGCAAGGGCAGGCTGGTCTTGCTGCTCAGGGACTCACAGCCTGGACCACCTGATCCCCATGGGCTGCTCAAGAAAGAAAGCGGGAGGGCTGGAGAGATGGAGAGATGGCTCAGTGGTTAAGAGCATTGCCTGCTCTTCCAAAGGTCCTGAGTTCAATTCCCAGCAACCACATGGTGGCTCAATCATCTGTAATGAGGTCTGGTGCCCTCTTCTGGCCTGCAGGCATACACACAGACAGAATATTGTATACATAATAAATAAATAAATATTAAAAGAAAAGAAAAGAAAGAAAGCAGGAGCCAGCAGGCCTTGTGGTCACTGGCTCAGTGCACATCTCAATGAGGCTACTCAGGCCACAGAGAGTGGATAAGTTTGCTCACAGCTGTTTCTGTGAAAGGTGTCTTAGGCGGCTCAGCCCTGCCAGCTACAGTATGAACACAGCTGGGCAGAATAGGTAACGAGTTGTGAGCTGCCAATGTGGGTGCTGGGAATTGAACCCGGGTCCTCTAGAAGAGCAGTCAGTGCTCTTAGTTAGTAAGTAAGTTAGTTATTGGTTTTTGAGACAAGGATTCTCTGTGTAGCCTTGGCTATCCTGGAACTCACTTTTAGCGACACAAGCATGGCTGTATGCTGATACACTTTACTTGTGAGACTGGAGAAATGGCTCAGAGGGCAAAAGCATTTACCATGAGGACCTGAGTTCAAATCCCCAGAACCTAGGTGAAATCTGGGTGCAGTTGAATGAACATATGTTGTCCCAGCACTTCCCCAGAGAGTTGGGAGCAGAGAGGAGAATCCTCGGAGGCCCATGTCCCAGCTAATCTGGCTAACACATCTCAAAGCAAGGCGAAAGGCAAGGACTGACACCCAAAGTTGTTCTCTAAATATGTACATGGTACATACATCATATACACATACATTCTCTATTTACAAAAACAAGCAATAGGCTATAAATGTCCTGCGGCTGTGGCTGTCAGTCTCTGGAGTTTGAAGTAGACTGAGACACTCTAGACTCTGGTCTGTTTATTACCAGTTCCTAAGGAGATCCAGAAATAGCTCCAGAATAGAATCACATCACTTCCTTCAGCTGCTATTTATTTTGTAGGAAGACTTTCTCAGTTTAGGAAGTAGGAAATTAATATAGGTTTTTAAAAACAGCATTTAAAAAAAAAAAGAAAAAAGAAAAAAAACAAAAAAACCCAGCATTTTTAAAGATTTGTTTTAAATATTATATATAACTGTGTGTGTGTGTGTGTGTGTGTGTGTGTGCTCTCATGAGTGCAGTGACCAAAGAGGCCAGAAGAGGGCATCAGATTCCTTGAGGATAGTAGTGACTGCCTAACAGGTGGGAAAACGAGTCCTCTGCAAGCAGCAAGTATTCTTAACCACTGAGCTATCTCTCTGGCCTCTTAAACAGTATTTTATTTTCCAAGTACCTTTTAACATTAGTGTTCCAAGGATAACAGCAATGGATATGCTAAAGTAGGCAACACAAGAACTACAGGTAACGAAAGCAGAAGAAATAGTCTCCCCCAGCGAAGAACATCAATTGAGTATCCAATACCAAATGGCCAGCCCTGAAAACATACATACAAGTAACATTTACAGATTGAGCAGGTTGCATTTATGTATTTAGAAATATATTTGTATACACACTATGTATATAACAACAATTAATAAATAAAGAGGCTATAGATTTGAAAAAGAGAAAGGAGGGGTTTATGGGAGAGTTTAAAGGGAGGAAAAAGAAGGGACAAGTGTAGTAATTATATTATCTTAAAAAATAAATGATTAGGGGGCTGGAGAGATGGTTCAGAGGTTAAGAGCATTGCCTGCTTATCCAAAGGTCCTGAGTTCAATTTTCAGCAACCACATGGTGGCTCACAACCATCTGTAATGAGGTCTGGTGCCCTCTTCGGGCCTTCAGGCATATACACAGACAGAATATTGTATACATAATAAATAAATAAATATTTTTAAGAAATAAATAATTAAAAAAATTAAAGAGCTGAGCAGTGGTGGCATATACCTTTAATCCCAGCACTTGGGAGGCAGAGTGAGGCAATTCTCTGAGTTCTAGGCCAGCCTGGTCTACACAGAGAAACTTTGTCTCGTAAAATCAATAGTTAACTAACAAACCAATCAATTCACTAACTAACTAACTAATTTTAAACAAGATTAGTGTTCCACTGAGTACATACACTTTGGGACTTGACACAGATTTTCAAAAAAAAAATTTTTTTTTTCAAGACAGGGTTTCTCTGTGTAGCCCAGGCTGTCCTGGAACTAGTTCTTATAGAACAGGCTGGCCTCAAGCTCATAGAGATCTGCCTGCCTCTGCCTCCTGACTGCTGGGATTAAAGGTGTGTGCCACCACTGCCTGGCCGATTTTTAAAAATTTATTCCATTTATGTGCAGAGTCAGAGGACAACTCTTTGAGGGACGTGTCCTCAGCAGACAGCAAGCACCCTTACCCATAAAAGCATCTCAACCAGCCCTTCATTTTTAATTCCAACTGTTCAACCACCATGGACCAGTTAGCAGTTTGCACCGGCACTGGCCCATATACCACATATTGAGAAACATTTTTCTAGCATGTTCCTTCAAGCGTATCAAAAACTTGCCAGTTCGGCATCTCATCCCTTCAGGGGCCTGATGACAATTAATTCAGCAGCTTAATGAAGCAAATTTCATTTAGCTTCTAATTGATGTGAGATCCTGTGCTTAGAGCAAAAGGCATAAAGAATCAAACAGGCATTGTCCCTGGGAGTCTATAGACAAGTACCTATGAGCTCCTTCTACTAGGAGAAAGGGCTACTAAGGGAGCGAGCTCCAACACTGCTCTTAGAGTTTACGGGAACTCATAGACAACGGTCATTTAACCTCCAAAATTGGAGGCTGGTGGGGCGTGTTTAGGCACAGAGACTGGTGGGGGAGTTTTAACTGGGGAGATGCTGAGGCAAGGTATTTCTGGAAGAAGAAAGGTTGCCCGTGGGAGAGTGCAGAGTGTGTTTAGGAACCGGCAATAGAGTGTGTATGTGTGTACGTGTGTATGTGCTTATGGTTTATTCATGATGGCATTCTGTGGGCACACTTGGGTATTTCAGATTTGGGTCTGCATGCCTATGTGTGTATATTTGTATGCATATTCATGCATGGTTTTTTCTGTGCACACGATTCCATGTGTATGTGCATATTTCTGAGTATGAGCTTATATGTTTGTGCATACACATTTCTGTGTCTGTTCTTTGTTTTTGTTTCTTTTTCTTTTTTGTTTTTTTTTGAGGTAGAGTTTTTCTGTAGCTTTGAAGCCTGTCTTGGAACTCCCTCTGTAGACCAGGCTGGCCTTGAACTCACAGATATCCAGCTGTCTCTGCCCTCCCAGTACTGGAATTAAAGGCTTGTGCCACCACCACCTGGCACGTGTCTGTTCTTACATTTGCACATCCCTGTATACAAACATATTTTATATGCCACGTGTATACGCGTGTATATTTCAGATGTGTGTATATTTGTATATGTATACACGTGTATATACGCATGCTTCCATAATTGTACAAATGCCTGTTTATGTGATTGAGCACATACATGTATGTGTATATGCAAATTTCTGTATTTATACACATGCAAATGTGTCTGCATGTGCATGTGTTAATGTGTATGTACTCCGACATGTCTATGTACAAGTGTGTATGCATATGTGTATATGAATATAGTTGTATTGCTGACATGTCTACATGTAGGTAGATACAAGTGTGTTAGTATGGATACACTTGTTTTGTATATGTATGCATGCATACATATCACCGTTATATGCACAACAATGTGATATGCATGATCATGTCTATATGTACATAGACATAAATGTGACTTTAGAGAGGAATGGGCCTCTTGGGAGACCAGGTATGGAGTATGGGACTCTTTTCCAGAGGCCCAGAAGTGTGTCTCTTTGCTGCCCACTGTCCTCCGGGCTCAGGTATGGGTATACAGCTGTGGCTGTCTGCATGGATGCCCATGCAGGGCTGTCTATAGCTGCACACGGTGTGCAGGAGTAGAGGAGGCTGCAGGAACAGGAGGGAGGTGAATAGCAGTGGCAAGAAGGAAAGTTTGGGCACTGGGAGGAAGAGGCCTGACGGGGGAGCACATCTGACCCCTGTTCTCCAAGTCTGTCCTATGGTTCCTCCCTCTTCTCAGGCCACTGAGTGGGGGATATGAGGCTGGGAGATAAGGCCCCAGCCTGGGTGCTGAGCCCCTGTGGTGTGAGGAAGGAAGGGTCCTGGGTAGGGGAGAGGCCAGCAGGACTTACAGAGATGATCCTGAAATGAGTCATTCAACTTTGGGGGCTGCAGGTCCCTGGGGTGAACCAGAGGCTGTGCTTTCTGCACCAGGCAGCCTCATCAAGACTTACAGGTCCTGTTTGAACCCCACAGCCACCTGAGGAGCCAATGGAAGAGGAAGGTGTGGCTGAGGCTGGTCCTAGCCTTCAAGGTGAGTGCTGGGACCCAGGCTGGCTGAGCAGGGGGTTGGGGTTTCCTCTCAGAGCCTATCAGTAGCTCTCCGATGGAGTGAAGGCTCCGTGAAACCTTGGAGTTGGCTCCTGGGTGCTTTTCAGCTCTAATTCCTTTGTGGCCTCTTTCTGTCCTGCCTCTGACTTGATCTCCCCAGCAAGGAAAAGATAGGCCTCTCTCGGGTCCACATTTGAAATATGAGACATTCTTTTTTTTTTTTTTTTTTTTTTGCCAGAGGTCCAGGAAACTGACCCTTCTCAGTCTACCCCTCAGGCCCAGGTGGCTGTTGCCAAGGTGAACAGGTACCATATCACCCTCTCTCCTCCCAACTGCCCCTTCAGGGAGCCACTGGCATGCAAGAGTCCCTGGCCATTCAATAGAGGCCCAGAGCATCAGGGACTGACTGGGGGAGCTTTCATGGAAGCTGGGGGTGCTCTGAGTACAATAGGGATGGCGGGCAAGAGAGGGAAGGCCACAGTAATATTGGGGGGCCAGAATGATTTCAGTGCTGGGGTGACTTCAGGCAACTGGAGCTGCCGATTTCCCAGTGAAGCCCACGTTCCTGACGCTTAGCCATTTTAGTCCAGATTGTTCAACAAAACACATATTGGGCTGGGGCTAACGAAAGGCAGTGACTCGGGATCCTCACATGATCAGATTAGCCTCAGCCTCTGCCTCCAGAGAGAGGACCAGATGTGAGGATGCTGGCAGCAGCAAGCTAGTTGGGGTATGGAGAGAGGCTGGGCTGTTTGAAGCAACTGGAGGGCAGGCTCCGAAATTCTCCCTCACCTGCTTGGCTAGGGACTGGAGGGTACCCTGTGCTTTCCAGAGAGGAAGCGAGGTTTGAAAGACTCACCATGTGGGGATAGTAGCTTGATTTATGTCAAGTCCTTTGGGATATATGGACTGCCACTCAGATGGTGTGGGAATTGATAGCGGTGGTGTTTCTATCCCTTGGCAGCCCCAGCTCTTGGGTGCTGACCTGGTTCTGGAAGGGCCTGGAGAAGGTCGTTCCACAGCCTGTCTACAGCAGCAAGAACCTGATTGCTGGAGTGGAAGACCCAGATCAGGTACAAGGGCCGGTGACCTGCGGGTGGAGGAGGGGTCAGCAGAGGGTTGTGGGGCCGGGGAAGCTGTTCCTTGTACTCCCTGTAATGTCTGTCTGTCTCAGCAGGCTGGAGTACAGATTCCGGGGCCCTGTGGCACCGGGGAATCAGGTGAGACCAAAAGGTAGAATGCCCTTCCAAAGGTGGGAGCCCTAGGAGGGTACCGGGATAGGGAGTAGGGAGAATTGCATGGTCCATGGGAGCAGCCCATCCACTGGCATTGAGTGGCCTGATTTGAGCGGTTTCAGTGCTGCTTCGGGCTGACGTGGGGTTTCAGGCAGTGTTTGCTCTTGATGAAATTATGGTTGCTCTCTCTTTTCCCCTCTTCCCCTCCCCCTTCTTCATCTTTTTTCTTCGTCTCCTCTCACTCTCTTCTCTTTCCCTCTCTCTCCTCTCCCTTTTTTTCCTTCCTTCCTTCCTCTTTCTCCATCGGCTTCATGGATGTTTTCAATTTGTTAATTTATTGTTTTAACTGAGATGTAAAACACAACCTCGTGCATTTTAATGGCTGCTGGCACTGTTTGGTTCCCCACGTGATCCCTTCTGTAGATTTTGAGATATTGTCTGTATCGGCCCCCTGCGCAGCCAGGACTCCTGACAATGCTGTCTGGAGTGCAGCTTTGTACCCACTGATCAATCTTTTCTCATCCTGCCCCACTGTCCTTTACTTCCTGACTCTGTAGGGTCTGCAGATGGTTCAGACGAAGCTTCCAGGGCTCACAATACTGAGTAAGTCATTGTTAGCAAGTGTCACTCTTGTCTATAGTGGGCCAAGCAGTGTGCGCAGAGCTGAGAGCCTTGGGGTCAGAAGCAAGGTCTATTGTTACCTCCCGTGTGACCTGAAGAATGTTCTTTCTCTCCTCTTCCTCCTCCTCCTCCTCCTCCTCCTCCTCTTCCTCCTTCTTCTTTTTCATAGGGGAGGAGGGTTGAGACAGGGTTTCTCTGTGTAACCTTGGCTGGTCTTGAACTAGCTTTGTAGACCAGGCTGACCTCAAACTCACAGAGATCTGCCTGTCTCTGCCTCCCGAGAGCTGGGACACCTTTAATTCCAGTATTCAGGAGGCAGAGGAAGGTGGGTCTCTGCGAGTTTGAAGCCAGCCTGGTCTACAGAGTGAGTTCCAGGACAGCCACAGGAGTTACACAGACAGACCTTGTCTCGAGAAAAAAAAAAAAAAGGTGTGTGCCACCATGCCTAGCCTCTTCCCTCTTTTTAACCCCTGTCTGTAGCATGGGGTGGTATAAACACCACGCTGCCTGTGCTTTCTGTTGCTTGCTGGAGACCCTGCGCTGGGCCACCTCTGAGAAGGAAACAGGCGTGGATAAGCTCTGTGGACACAGCCTTCTGGGAGTTTGGGCTTATGTGGTGTCTGCAAACAGGACTTGGACCACAATACAGAATATGCTACTTGGTTGTCTCAGCCTCATAGTTTAGGACCTCTCAAAAGAAGCTAGCTGCCTTATCAGTGAGGGTGTCAGGTCAGATGGGGACAATGACACATTGGGGAGCCTGCTTGGGAGGGGTTCTGTCCACTTTAGCCACCTCTGACTGGTGTAACTGCAGAGCCTCCTGTGTTTAAAGTCACAGATGGGTGGTGGTGGTTCATGCCTTTAATCCCTGCACTCCGGAGGCAGAGGCAGGTGGATGTGAGTTCAAGGCCAGCCTGATCTACAGAGTGAGTTCCAGGACAGCCAAGAATATACAGAGAAACCCTGACTCAAAAAACAAAAATAATAATAATAATAAAGTCACAAACCAATCCGGACACTAGGGCACACACCTGTAACCTTTAACTCCAGAACTGGGGAGGCTGAGATTGGGGAATCATAAATTTGAACCTAGTTGGGGCTTTGTAACTGGACTCTGTCTCAAAAGCAAACCAAATAAAAAATTAAAAAAAAAAATAAAGCCCAAGGCTAGAAACCTAGGACTTTATATAAAGTCCTCTATTAGTACCTGTCGCTAGTCACTTAAGTTTTCAGGCTGTCATGTCCAGTGTCAGCCTGAAGAACCGCTTTGTGATTTCCACAAGAAACCCAGACTTATGTCTTCTGTCCCAACCCCTCCTTCCATTTACCCCTTCACTCACTCATTCCTAGACTGCTGGCTCTTTGCTCCCGCTGTAGACGGCTGGCCAGGCCTAGGCCCAGTGGGCAGTAAGGTAGCTCATTTCAGGCTACTCCATTTTCTGACCTCTGACCCTTCTGCAGACCCAGCCTGTGGCTGCTCAGGTGGCTTGAACAGAACCTGGAGAAAGTGCTGCCTCAGCCCCCTAAATCCTCTGAGGTAAGTGATGAGTTGGGGGTGGGCAGCTGACCAGTAGGGAGGGTTGGGGCCCGGGGAGCTGAACACTCCAGCAGGCCCTGGCAACCCCCAACATCCAGTGGAGCATGGATCTTCTCCTTGAGTGTCGTTCACGGGAGGAGTGACTGACTAGGGCCTGGGGATGTCTGGGAGCAAGAGAGAGCCGCTGTATTCATTTCTTTTCTTAGTAACGAGGCAAAGCTCCTGACAAAAGATGCTTAAAGAGTTTATGTTAGCTCATGGTTTAAAGTGGGTACCGTCTGCCATGGTGGGGAAGCACACGGGTGGTCATATTACATCTACAGTCAGACAGCAGGCAGAAGTGATTGCTAGTGGATCTGTCTGTCTCTGTCTGTCTGTCTCTCTCTTAAACCTTTTTTGTTGAGTCTGGCACCCCAACCCATGGCATGGTGCCACCCACATTCAGAGTGGGTCTTCTCTGTTCACTTAAGCCTCTTTGGAAACTCCCTAAGAGACCTGTTGTGTTACGAGCGGCAGGGCTGCGTCCCTGGCACGCGGCCGCCCGCATGGCTAGCTTTACCCGAAATAATTATACAGAAACTGTATTCTTTTAAACACTGCCTGACCCATTAGTTTCAGTTTCTTATTGGCTAGCTTTTACATATTGATCTAACCCATTTCTATTAATCTGTGTAGCCCACGAGCTGGCTTACCAGGAATGATCTTAACCTGCGTCTGTCTGGAGTGGGAGAATCATGGCGACTCCCTGACTCAGCTTCTTTCTCCCAGCATTCCGTTCTGTTTATTCCGCCTACCTAAGGGTTGGCCTATCAAATGGGTCTAGGCAGTTTCTTTATTAATAAGAAATTACTCCCACATCATTTCCCCTTTTTCTGTTTAAACAAAAAAGAAAGGCTTTAACTTTAACATAGTAAAATTACATATAGCAAAACAGTTATCAAGCAAGAATTACAGTTACAATATTTATATCTATTTTATCTTTTATCATAACTAAGGAAAACTATAACTATCTATTTATTCTTTAACTCCATCAAAGACTCCAGAAGGATATAATACTACCTAAGTAAACAAGAAATAAGAAAACTCTAGAAATGACAGAGACATCTTGCTGCCTGGACAGTTACCCAAAGTTCTTTTGTACCTTTGGGGCATCCATCTTCAGCCTTCAGGCCCAAAGTATCCAGCAGACATTTCCACGAAGCAGGAAATTCCAAAGACAGTTCAGTCACTATCTGCTGTGTCCTGCAGAATGTCTCGCAGACTCTTTCATGAGTCATGAACCCCGAAAGACCATCTCACCTTTAGGCAAGTTTAGCAGTCCTCTCTCTGCGGGTTCTCTGTGTCCATTTTATGCAACAGTCCAGGCAAGAGCAGTTTCTTGCCCAAATGGCTATCCAACTCCATAAGGATCCTCTTCGATGCCCATCTTCCTCTCAAAGTAGATTGGTGCCACCAGGAGCAGATATGTCTCATTGTCATGAAAAGTCCTAAGTTATTAAAACATTAAATGCCATATTCTGCAGTCTTTGAAAGATATGAAGAATGTCTATCTAACTGAAATGTATCTCTATATATCTAGAAAATCTAACTAACATGATTACAAGATTGACTATTATTGATGATTAACCATTAACCTATATTTCTTAATTATACATTACATTTTTAAATGAACTACACAATCACAATACCTTAATCAAGATCAGAAATACATATACATATAACAAAATTGACTGTAAAATCCATACCATTGCAAATTATTCATACCTATATCATATCCCCCTTTAAATGTAAAAGAACATTTATAAACAATATTTTGGAAACATGGGCGCAGTTTTTTCTCTCCAAACTGCTTCCTGCTGAATGGGGGCGTCGTTAATTAGGTCTTTCATGGTATAACCTGTGTGCTAGTTTCATCTCAGTTGGCAGTTGAGCGAAGCAATTTTCTGAAGATGTTCACAACAACCTTTTAGGAGGGCGTGGTCTATCATACCATATCGGGATAGATGCAATCCACAGGGTCTGGTCCTCTGTGAAAACAAAAGAAGACCCTTTCCAAAGCATCATATCCTTAGACCCAAATTCTGAAGTCATACCCTCATGATATCCGTTTTGGTTCCATTTGGCAGCCCATAGAATGAAATGTCTCTCTGTACTTAGCTCCTTCATAGTCAAAAATTTTAAAGAAAACACAATGTACATAATCCAGACTCTCTGTGAATTTTCCATTTTTACGTGGCTTATTTTTCTTTATTTCTTTTAATCTCTTAACTATCTGTATTCTGTCTCTTTAAAGACTTTACCTTTTTTTTTTAAACCATTAACTTTATTCTCTATTTTTTTTTCTTCTCTCTCTCAAGCCTATGTACATTCATCCAACAGTGTGATCCACTGAGGTCTGTTATGTCTGAATCTGTTTTATTGTGAATCTGTAATATTTTTACTATCCAGGAGCATTTCTTAAAATGTTAAGCACTTCTTAAAAACTTAAGTTGCACCGTGTACAGGTAATACGGTACCACCTGTGTCCTGCCCAGTCTAAACCTTAACTGTGCTGTTATTATGGTAATTACGGTAGTTCCTGCCAACCAGCACAGTTCAGCAAGGAGCAGCCGCTCCTGCCTCAGATCCATTTGGTGCCCCTGAGCTGTGCACAGTTCCAGGCACACAGCAAGTCCTCATTGGAGCCGCACTCAGCAGTTTAATTTTGAGACTGAGCATGCAGCACAGAAACTCTTTTTATCCAAGTTACAACCAAATCTGACACGCAGAGCACTGAGCAGTCTGAAAACACGTCTCTTCCACCATGCTCTTCCGCCTGCCTAAGCCTGATTCTGCCATCTGCCCAGGTGCAGGCGGGGAGCGCTGAGAGCATTCTCCTTCCGATCCCAAGCGGGAACACAAACATCCAGTCCCATAAAATCCATTGAAATGCTTTAAAGCCAGAGTTTGCACTGGCGGCACAGTCCCAAGAAGCCGCATTTTAAAATGACGCAGCTTTTTTTTCTGCTGCTGTTGCCGAATCAGGAAATCTCTCTACAGCACGCCACCAACAAAGAGCAAAAATCTGTGTTAAAGTCTCTCTCCCTTATTTTTAAGCCTTCTCAGGTTTTTAAGTGGATTTAGTCCATCACGTCGGGCGCCACTCTGTTGTGTTACGAGCGGCAGGGCTGCGTCCCTGGCACGCGGCCGCCCGCATGGCTAGCTTTACCCGAAATAATTATACAGAAACTGTATTCTTTTAAACACTGCCTGACCCATTAGTTTCAGTTTCTTATTGGCTAGCTTTTACATATTGATCTAACCCATTTCTATTAATCTGTGTAGCCCACGAGCTGGCTTACCAGGAATGATCTTAACCTGCGTCTGTCTGGAGTGGGAGAATCATGGCGACTCCCTGACTCAGCTTCTTTCTCCCAGCATTCCGTTCTGTTTATTCCGCCTACCTAAGGGTTGGCCTATCAAATGGGTCTAGGCAGTTTCTTTATTAATAAGAAATTACTCCCACATCAGAGACCTGCCCAGAGGTGTGTCTCCTAGATCCTGAATCAAGTTAACGAAGGAGATCAGCTGTCATAGTCCCACCACCAGCACCAGGCACGTGTGTATGCACACATGCATATGCATGCGAGCCCATGGGGCCAGGGCACAACTGGTCAAGGTGGGGTATGTGCAGGGATGGCTTCGATCATGACTCACCTCTCTGTCCTCCAGGCCTGGAGAGCTGAACCTGAACCTGAACCTGAGGCTGCTGTCTTGGACCCAGGTACAGAGAAGGAACTGGGAGGGGCTTCCTAAGTGGTCACAGGCTAGGTTCCAGAGGAACCTGAGACTGAGCTGAGACTCGTGTGTGTGTGTGTGTGTGTGTGTGTGTGTGTGTGTGTGTGTGGTCTCAGGGGAACCTTAGTGCTCAACCAGGCAAAGGGACAGTTCAGTCCTTGCTAATACTAGAACCTCACCTTAGATCTGGGACTCAAGCAGCTACAGTCAGCTGAACTTCACAAGCTCGGCTATGTTCCTTCCCCTTCCTGTACTGTTTGGTGTTAGGGTGGTCTCCAAGGGGCTCTTCACCCAGCCATGGCAAGTTTCCAATCTGGCCCTTTATATCCAGGAGGGATGGATGAAATCCTGCTATGGGGTCTTAGTGCTGGTTCTGTTACCACTCAGATCCTCCAGAACTCCCGATGGAGACAGAGCCCACAGAGAGTCCCTTCCAGCCCAATCCTGGAACCCTGGAGCCCAAGGAGAAGCCAGCTGCAGAGCCCCAGCCTGGTTTCCAAGCCTCTTCCCTGCCACCACCTGGGGACCCTGTCAGGTGAGCCCCCTGAAGGCCACACCTCCCACAGGGAGCAGGCTCAGTACTAGTTCGCTGAACTAGAAAGTTAGAATATCCGCTTGGGAGAGAACTCAGACTCCCCCCCCCACTCCCCGGGCAAACCTCATCAGCATGGTCCTCCATCAGCCAGGCTGGGGAGTGTACTGTTCCTTTAAACATATACCAAGTGCACACCTGCAGTCTCAAGAAGCTGAGGCAGGAGGATCATATGTTTAAGGCCAACTTGAACTCCATAGCCAGTTCTTGTCTCCAAACAAGCAACACACACACACACACCTGTATCAAAAGCGAATTGCATGTATTCTTTTTTTTTTTTTTTTTGGATTTTTCGAGACAGGGTTTCTCCGTAGCTTTTGGTTCCTGTCCTGGAACTAGCTCTTGTAGACCAGGCTGGCCTCGAACTCAGAGAGATCCGCCTGCCTCCGCCTCCCGAGTGCTGGGATTAAAGGCGTGCGCCACCACCGCCCGGCTTGCATGTATTCTTTTACAGCTTCCTTTTTTTCCCACTTAAAACAAATAAGTCCCCCAGAGTCTGGAGAATTGGCTCGGTGATTAAGAATGGTTCTTTTGCGAGCATGAGAGACAGAATTCGGATCCCAGTATCCATGTGAAAGGGAGCATGGTCCTGTGCTGGACTGTAAACCCAACACTGAGGCAAAGGATGGAGACGGGGATTGTTTGCTGGCTGCTACCCTAGCTGAAAAGACTTGAGCTCTAGGTTTAGGCAGAAAATCTGCCTCAGGTTTGTGGAGAAACCTTGGTTCAGCTAATGGACAGATGCTATCTCAGGTTTAGGGAGAGGCTATGCCTCAAAGGAACAAGGCAGAGGATGATAGAGGAGGGTGCCTGCCACCGTTCTCTGGGCTCTGTACCTGTGCACAGACATACACACCTGTTCATATGCATATATCACACACACACATAGAGACACACACACCCCAAACTTTTTGAAGAAGTCCTTCAGAGGTGATCTTATACTCCAGTTCTACTTCATTCCTTCAATCGCTGCAAAAAAAAAAAAAAAACAAAAACAAAAACAAAAAAAACTACGCAGAACTTCATTTCTTTAACCACACATGAACACTTAGAATTTTTTCACATTTTCCCTGCCATCAAAAACCTTGTTCACACGTATTTAGTTGGCAGGAGTAAAATGTATGCACTAAAGGCCACATGCATTTGAAATCTGGGTGGGTGCTGCCTGATGCCCATCCCCTGGCTTTTGTGCGAGACTGGAAATAGAGCTGAGCTGAGCTGAGTTCCCTACCAGGGCTGTCTGGGAAGGATGGGGAAGGAAAAGGGGCCTTCAGGGTTAGAGACCTGGGGCTGGTTTCCGACATGACCTGCCTCCTGGCAGGCTTGCTCTGCCCTAATCCCCCACCCTGAGAATTCTCCTCTGGATTCAGCGCATGTCTCCACCTCAGGCTGATGGAGTGGCTGTTACACAGGCTGGAGATGGCCCTGCCGCAGCCCCTGCTGCACGGGAAGGCTACAGAGCAGGTGAGTGGGCAGTCAGGCAGAAAAGACCCTGGCTGGGTGGTGGTGAGGGAGGGGGTCTTGGAAGCTCAGAAAAGGGTCGGATGGTTGACCCTGGGGATGGGGACACAGCAAGAAGGGAGCCATCAGCGGCGACTCAGTCTTGAAGCCTGTCTGTGTGCACACATTTGCTCAGGAACTCTAGCAACAGGTCTACCTGTGAGGAGCTCACAGTTTAGGGTCTTCTACGGGGGTAGAGGAGCCCAGAGATCATCTCTTGGAGCATCAAGGTAGGCTGGCTAGTGGAAGTGACCCCCAAGAATGTACAAAGATTCAGAGACCTGGAATGACCCAGGAAGAGGTGACATACCCAGGAAACCCACAGCCTCCATGAGTATTCCTGGCAGCTTAGAGCTGGGGAAGTGGGGCCTTGGTCACCTCTTCCTTTTCTTCATCAAGAGACTAGGGCCTGATTTTCCTTTCTGGGGAATGACTCACCTCTCCATAGAAGCACCTAGAACTGGGAAGTGGCCATGTGACATTGGTCCTAGTTACTCTGGGAACCTTACTTGATCCCCGAGAAGTGGGTAAACAATTCTGTTATCACCCAACCTTGTGGAGGAAAGAAAGGAAAGAGCTTTGAAAGTAAGTCAGAGCGCAGTGACTGGCCTGGACGGGTCCTACCCAGCATCTCTGAGAGGCAGCTTGCTGCGGTTGTTTCTGGGCACCCTCCCTGTGTCACAGAGCCAGGGTACCATGTTCTTCCCTCGTTGTTGGCACTAGGCCTAGCGGGGATTTTCTTCTCTGTGTGATGGGAGGTGCACAAGAGCCAGACACCCTGGGTCCACACCCAGTTCTGTGCTGTGCTGAGGGAGGCTGAGCAGAAGGTACTGAAAGCCAGCCTTGTGCTCATGCCTGTCATCATGCTGTCTCCAAAGGGCAGAGAGCACTGGCTTTGGAGATTTCCAAGCTCAAAGGGGCTGTGGTGTGGGAACCATTAGCTAATGAAGATGCTGTAGTGACAAAGGACTCTGGGGACCACGGCAGCAGGGGACACAGGTACAATAGGGAGAAGATTTCCAGGTGCTGGAAGGAGAGGATGGCCTTCTCATAGAGTGAGCAGAGGAGAAGGCATTCCGGCCTGAGCAAAAGCTGGGAGCAGGCTGTGGTCCTGGAGGGAGAAGGAACCCGATCAGCGGGCAGCCAATATGCCGTGGTGACAGGAGCTCCAGAGGCAGGTGAGACAGCCATTGCAATCTTCTCTTTTCTCCCCCTGTAGGAACCTGGCTGCCCTGAGACATGTGATGTGCAGACCAGTAAGTATCCCACTCAAGGGCCCCATGTTCACTTCCGGGAGAGCCACCTGATATACTCAGGTCTGAGTGTGAGGCACATTTAGGGTCTCCTAACCTGGAGTTCAGAGAGCCCCCTCCCACTCAGCGTCTCTGGAGAGCAGTGACAGAGTTGGAGGCTACAGCGTTTCCTCTTTGGCTTCCGGCCTCTATCAGGAAAACAACTGCAAAGCCAAGTCCACACCCTTTCCTGCTGGCAATCACCCAGAATGGAGACCAGACTCTGGAAGCTGGGGTTGGCTGAGCAGAGTTGGGAAAGTGGGGGAGGGATGGGATGTTATTGGGAAACAGATTCTAGGGACTCCATAGCCTTTGAATCAGGATTCCCTCCCCTGTGATGAGTTGGAAGGTATGTGGTAGCATTACTGGAAGGCAGAAGATTGAGGTCAGGCAGGGACAGAAAGGGGGCAGCACTACTTAAAGTAGGTAATATACTGCAGATGGCAGATAGACATTCATGCATCCATCCATCCTGTGCTTGACCACTCCTTAGATATCCATCCATTCATCCATCCATCCATCCATCCATCCATTCTCTGCTTGACCACGCCTCAGATAACCATTCATCCTCCATCCATCCATCCATCCACCCACCCTTCTACCCATCCATTCTCTGCTTGGCCTCTCATATCCCCATCCATCCATCCACACATCCATCCATGCCTTCATCCACCCACTCATCCATCCACCCACCCTTCCACCCATCCATCCTCTGCTTGGCCACTCATATCTCTGTCCATCTATCCATCCATGCTCTGTCTGTTCACTTGGGTGCCCACATTTCTGTCACCTCCTTTGTTTCAGGGGTGACAGCAGCTGGAGGCCTCTGAAACAAGGGAAAAGGGGACCTGGGGAGCCCATGGACAAACGGATGGATGGATGAAGGACAGAAGGATGCCTCAAGAGAAGACCTTTTAGGGGGCAGTGACTGCTAATCTCCACCCTTCTTGATTAATGAACCCCAGGCAGGACCGAGGAAAGCAGAACCATTATGTAAAACCCCAAAGCTTTCTTTTGGGGACTCTTGGCCAGGAGGCAGCATCCTGACCAGAGCAAGGGCGAGGAGGACTTCCTGATGGGAGTCTATACAGGGCCCCATTAAGGTCTCAATGTTCAATGTCTAAGCATGCTCACACCAGGGCACCTGGCACCATCCACACTGCCGCAGGACCTAGTTTCCCTACAAGTGGTTCTCCTAAGGTCTGCCCTAGTTCAGGGACCACCCCCAATGGTGATATTGTAATTGACATTAAAGAGTGTGACTTTGCACCTCAAATCTGTGACTGCATGACATTCTTAGGACAAGTCTGAAAGAAGCCTTTGGGTATTTATTTCTTTATTGCATGAAGGTGCCAGGTCTCCTGTAACTTAAGTTACAGATAGTTGTGAGTTGTCATGTGGGTGCTGGGAATTGAACCCAGATCCTCTGGAAGAGCAGTTAGTGCTCTTAACCGCTGAACCATCTCTCCAACCCAGGGTTTTATTTTTTTTAAGACAGGTTCTTGCCGGGCGATGGTGGCGCACGCCTTTAATCCCAGCACTCGGGAGGCAGAGGTAGGCGGATCTCTGTGAGTTCGAGACCAGCCTGGTCTACAGAGCTAGTTCCAGGACAGGCTCCAAAGCCACAGAGAAACCCTGTCTCGAAAAACCAAAAAAAAAAAAAAAAAAAAAAAAAAAAAAGACAGGTTCTTGCTGTACATTCCAGGCTGGCCATCAACTCTCTATCCTCCTGCCTCAGCCTCCTGATGGTTGGAGCTGCAAATATACCCCATAACCCTATAGTACTTAGGTATCACAGAGAGGTAAGTTGAATAGACATTTCCTGGGGTTATAGGATAGAGGAACTGGCCAGGGACTCTGAGGTCCTAGTGGCCCCTAGATGTCTCTATTTAGATTGATTTTCAAACAGAATTGTCAGCCTTTAAAAAAAGAATCAGTTTTCATGCTGGGCAGTGGTGGCACATGCCTTTAATTTCAGCACTTGGGAAGCAGAGGCAGGCAGATCTCTAAATCAGAGGCCAGCCTGGTCTACAAAGTGAGTTCCAGCACACCTAGGGCTATACAGAGAAACCCTGCCTCAATAGATAGATAGATAGATAGATAGATAGATAGATAGATAGATAGATAGATGAATAAATAAGAAAGATTTAAAAATCAGCTTCCACAGCAGGGCCCGGCTTCTGTTAGAAGTGGGGCAGTCTGGCTGTGATGGCCTACATTGTGTTCATGAGAAAGGTCTGAACAAAAGCTGTCACCTGCAGGCAGCTGGCATTTGTCCCTTCATTCATGTCCATGATCTGATTTGAGTTTGAGACCCCTAATGCCTTGGGGTGGCACTGAGGAAGGGAAGTCTTGCCGAGAGAGTAAAGTGGGAAACGCCTGGAGGCGAGGGTAAGGGCTGGGCACATCAGCCAACTGGGATCTCAAGCCCTTGATGATGAAGTCCAAACTCGAAGTTTAACTAACCTGCAGGGACTGGGCTCTAGGCAATGCAGAGCCACTGGAGGTGGTTGAGCAGGCACTGACCTCACAAAGATTACCCTGGGAATGAACAACTATCGCAGGCGGGAGATATACTCAAAGCAGGACTATACCTCGCATGACCAGGCTCAATTATGAAGGCTGTCCTGCCTCCAGACCTCATCATTGGGGGAGGGGCATCCTGGGAATCTGCCTTTTCAAGGGGCTCCTGCCTCCCCATGCGGCTTTGGTGATGACAATGCCTGGGACCATACCCTCAGAGATGTGTGTGATGAGGGACGGCCTATGCTTCAGAGCAGAGTAAGTGGGAGAGATAGCCTGGACTAGAGGAAAGGGGCATCCTGAGTACGCCTGCTAGAGAAGATATGAAACACAGGCCCAGGCTTTCAGGAGCCCTGAGGCCAGAGTGTCTTGCCTGCTGCGAACCTATGTCCCCAGACTCCCTGGAAACAGGAGCTCCTATCTCAGTGGAGCAACTGGCTGCCGCTGACTGGGGTCGGGATCTCACGCAGTGGCCCTGGGGCCAGACAGGTTGCAGACTTGGAGTCTGGCCAGGAGAGACTCCAGGGGTGAAAGTTAAACGGGGCTGGACCAGCACTGGGCTCCTGGGTGGACTGTGGGGAACAAAGGGTAAACTACTTCCTGATACAGAGAGAAGCCACAGCGCTGCAGGCAGCCACTTCTCCCAGAGGCCTGCCAGCCTCCCACCCCGCCACCATATGTGCCGGCTACACCTCGTCCTTGCCTTTTTTGGTTGGCTGTGGCATATTTGGCTGCAAACAGGCTCATTCTAAGGCCCCTTGTAGGCCGGCTGCAGCGATGAAGAGAGGAAATGCCCATGAGGGGCCAACACCCTCTGACTATGCTCCCAGCATCTAAAAAGAGTTCATAAGGAAGGAAACAAGGATGTTGACACTGGGGACAGTACCCAGTGGGGCACCCGGTACTGGGAGGTGCTCACAGGGGCCTTTACTGCCTGGGGTTTGAGGTCAACCTGGGCTGCATAGCAAGATCCTAAGTCCAAAAACCAAGACAGTCACCATTACTAATTCAGGCTTGACTTGAGGGCCACCGACCCCTGAAACTTTTGAGAAAAAGCTGGTGTGCAGGAAGTGTCCCCTTCCCTCCTCAACTAGGGTGAGTCGGGTTTCCTGTGAGATGTCCTGAGCCCACTTCTTTGTTTTTTGGGATGGCGTCTCCCTGTGTAGCCCAGGGTGGCCTAGAGCTCACCATTCTCAATCTTCCCTATAGAAATCCTCTTGCCTCTGTCTCTCCAGTGCTGGGATTACAGGTGTGAACCACCACACCCAGCTGTCTGAACCTACTGCCTAATGGCCCACACTGTTTTCAAGTCAGGGATCTGAATCCATGGAGAAGTGTTAAAGTCACAGGCATCCATAATTGTTTTCCATGTCTCCATGAAAACATCGCGTTGTCTCGGAGAGTGGAGATTCTAAGCCTAGATGGAGGGATAAGGTTCCCGGAAGCAGGTGCTGAGCTCACAGACATGCTGTCACCAAGAGACGGCACCCAGGAAATAGGCAAGGAGCAGGCTTTGTCTGCAGCCCTTGGGGCAATCCAGCCCCTGCAGGTGGTAAAGTGTCTGGCTCCATTGACATCAGCTGTGACGTTGTGACTAAAACATTCTTTCTGCTCTGGTCAACCCTCTAAGAAGGAAAGCCCTGATAGGAAAAAAGCATGGTCAGCTGTACCCAGAGCTCAGTCCCTAGAGGGAAAGGCAGGGAGTCATGAGAAGAGGTTGGATGAGTGGCTGTGTTGTCTGAGGCTGTCCCTGGGGCATTGAGCTGGCTGCTTATGATCCTGTTAATAACACAGCCAGCTAGGGAGCCAAGGCCCCTGGGGTGGGGCTCCCAGGATGGACCCCCAGGACTCAGTGGCACAAGCTACCCTCCTTAGCCCAGAAATGGCTCCTCTTTATCCCCTGCAGTCAGCATCCTCCCGGCGGAACAGGTAGAGCATGATCTTATCCTGGAGGAGGTGGATCCCTGCTGGGAGGACATCCAGGAGGAAGACAGTGCCAGCCAGCAGGAGGGCAGTGCCTGTCAGCAGGAGGACAGTGCCTGTTACCAGGAAGACAGTGCCAGCCAGCAGGAGAGCAGTGCCTGTCAGCAGGAAGACAGTGCCAGCCAGCTGGAGAGCAGTGCCAGCCAGCAGGAGGACAGTGCCAGCCAGCAGGAGGACAATGCCTGTCACCAGGAAGACAGTGCCAGCCAGCAGGAAGACAGTGTCAGCCAGCAGGAGGACAATGCCTGTCACCAGGAAGACAGTGTCAGCCAGCAGGAGACAGAGGAAGCTCTGGCTTATGAAGAAGAAAGCGAGGCCATGGTGGAGATGCCCAGGTAGGAAAACATAGAAGTCCCGTAAAAGGCACCCAGTGCTTGAGAAGGTACCACGCATACAGTGTAGAACCCTAAAGGCATAAAGGGCCTGGTGCAGGACCATACCTACCTCCCCATTCTCAGCACCTGCCCTCAGTCCCTGCGTACAGGGCTACCAGGCCTCATTTCAGAGGTAGATTGGGGACAGATACTCATGGCACCCCTGTTCTACTTTGACACTGTTGCTGTGATGAAACAGTCTGCTCAGAAGTAGCATAGGAGAGGAGAGGGTTTATTTCTGCTTGTGCTTGCAGGTCAGAGAGTCCATCGTTGAGGGAAGTCGGGCAGGAACTTGAAGCAGAAGCCGTGGAGGAGTGTTGTTTGTGGGCTGGGCTTATGTTCAGCTAGCTTTTTACAAAGCTCAGGGCCACTTGCCGAAAGAATGGTACTACCCACAGTGGGCTGAACCTGCCTACGTAGATCAATAATCAAGACAGTCTCCCACAGACATAGTGATCAAGGCAGTTCTTCAGCTGAGTTCTCCAATTCAGTCATCCTGTCAGTTGACTCCAGGCTGTGTCAAGTTGACAATTAAGACCAATCAGGACAATCCCCCTCTCTTTTTTTTTCCCCAACAAAAATGGCATATCATTGCACACTTACCTGCCCGTTGTTATGTTTGGGAAATGATATACTTGAAGTTTCCCATAACTCATTAGATGGAAATCATCCTCTTTGTTTTCATAGTTGTATCATATTCCATTCTATGGCTAGACCATAGTTTGTTTCTTTGTTTGTTTGTTTGTTTTTATACAAGGTCTCATTGTGTAGTCTTGGCTAGCCTGGAGCTCACTATGTAGAACAGGCTGGCCTTAAATTCACAGAGATCTGTCTGCCTCTGCTTCCCAAGTGCTGGGATTAAAGCTGTGCACCCCTCCCCCCCAGCCCAGCTTTTACTTGCCTTCCACTGGTGACCGCTCTAGTTGAAGGCATGAACCTCGGAGAACAGAGCCTAAAAATGAGGCAGACTAAAGTCTTATGCAATAGCCCACTTTATTCAGCGCATCAGATGACCGATACTCTGAGAATGAAGAAGCATCACATGAGCAAAATGTGCAATCACAAGGGTCAGCTGCACGTGGCAAAAACACGGTTTCTATAGAGACCAGAACAAGTGACAATAGCCGGCTGTGATGAGTGAGCTGGAGTGAACTTGCTCCTGACCACTCCACCTGGGAGGCCCATCCCAAAACCAGTTTCATGTTTTTCAAGAAACTGAGATCACAAGACCTTTGTCTTGTTTTCCTGGGGTTTTCTCACAAGCACCCGCAATTCCTCTCACACGGCTCCATTTTTAGACTGTGTCCTGACACTCCACTGGTAACATTTAGGTTGTGTGTTGATCATATTACTATTTTAACCAGATACTCAAGGTCACCAACTTACACAGAAAGAAGGCCCATTTTAGCTCATAGCGTTGGAAGTTCAGTTTGGAAGACAGTGGCCCTATGACTTTTGATCCCACGTTGAGGCATTGGTAGGAAGGCAAAATGATGGATTTCATGTCAGGGAAGCATTTAAAAAATGAGGGGCTGTTATGATGAACAATTCAAGCTCCTGACCTGCATTCATTCACTGCTGAGAAATACATAAGGGGAAACTGAGGCTCACTGAAGCTCAGAGCTGTCCTCAAGTCGCCATCAGAACAGTGTAGACAAGCTGTAGCTTGAAAGAGCTTGGGACTACTGTTGAGGAATCTCAGGTGGAGCTGCAGCAAGTCCCAGAACACACACGCGAGATGGGGTGAGGGGGACTGGAGAGGCCCTGGAGGGATCATCTCTTATCTCTGGCCCTGACCTAGGGAGTTGCCTCAGATTCAAGAGGAAAGAGAAGAGGATGAGGAGGAAGAGGAGGAGGATGGGGAGGAAGAGGAGCCTGTGTGAGTTACTTGTCCTGGGCTGGGCCAGTGGTGGGATTAGGGGGTCCTGGGGTGGGATGCTTTCTGCCTTTGTTCTGTGCTGAGCATTGTTGGGCATTGGCCAGAGGACTGGGAAAGCCGAGGTCCCCACTGTGCTCAAAATGAGACCTCAGCCCAATATTGCCCCCTCCAACTCACACAGATGCATCCCTGTGAAATCTGAAACTTGAACCGGTTGTTTTCACTACCGTATCCCAGATGCCTGGTACACAGTAGGCATGAAAAAAAAATGTAGAATTAATGCAGGTATAGATGCATGACTGAACACATGTACTTCTCTTTTAACAGCAAAGCCAAGGTTGTCTCCCCATGTATGCATGTATACACACACACACGCATGCACACATACACACACACACACACACACACTCATACCAGTGATCCTGAGGTGGCCTCCGATAGTGTCTACAGCTACCTTAGATTCTGCTCTGCTGCCCCGTAATGCTTGATTCTCACATCCACACTGAGGTGGCATTGAAGTCCACACAGTGCATTTTGAATAAAGATTAAAAAATGAAAGGCAGATCCCTGACCTATTCGGAGCTGGAGAGAGACTGCGTGTAAGAGTTGGCAGAGCGGGGAGCTGTGGGCTGGGGCGAAGCAGGGAAAGTATGAAGAGAGAGCCCCGGCCAAGCACAGGACCAGAGAGGGTCAATGCGCAGGGTCTGAAGGACTCCCCCAGTGAAGGGACGTGGGGTGAGAAGAGCGCACAGTCAGTGTTCAAAGCGGGCTGTCTCTGGAGCAGGATATGACAGCCTTGAATCCGGTTTCTCAAATGTCACAGGGAGCATTGAAGATTTGTGAGCAGGAGAGAGAGGGACAGGCAGGGGAGCAGGGAAGCAGTTGCTATGGACCAAGGAAGCCTATTTGTCCCTGACTCTAACCCCTTGCCTTGTTCCTCTGTCATGCTACCCACAGTCCCAATGCTGTCCCAGACCTGTTATCCCTGGCTTGTCTGCTCTGGCCAGTGTTTGCGGCCCAGCAACACCACAAGTGTTCAGAGAATAGCTCTGCTCCAGAAACAGTACCATGCCTGTCAACAAGGCTAGCTGGCAAGTGACTTCCCTCTCCAGTGCCCACCCCCACAGCTGTAGAAGGCTGAGAGTAGCCCTGGCAAAGGGACCACAGGGATGGTAGCCAATGGGATCAGTGGGGTCTGTCTGGAGCAAGGGCCCATTGATGGCTAATGTTCTTGTCCCCACTAAGGGCTATTTCATCCACAGTTAAGAAACAGCTAACCATGAAAACCACATAAGATGTATGTAGAACCCTATGAGCTAGCATCAGCTCTCAAGTCAATCTCGCTCAGGTTACATTTTGTCTTCCCAACCGTGCCGGGGAACCACACTTTCCTCTTGCCTACCTCCAATGATGAGGGAGCTCATCGCCTCACAAAAGCTATCTAGGGACTGTGGAGACAGCTCAGCTCTATCTCCAGAGCCCACAGAAATGCCAAGTGATGTTGTGGCCTGCCGGTAATTTAACCCTTGAAAGGTGGAAGTGAGATTCCCAGAGCTAGCTGGTTAGCCAGGCTGGTTAGCGAAAGTTCTCGATCAGCTGAGAGTCTCAATGCATACAATGGAAAGTGATGGGGGAAGACCTCAGGCCTCCACATCCCACAAGCCTGTGTGTACACATACAAGAACATGCTTAGATATGTGCGCAAATATTGTATACATGCACCCGCAAACAATTTTTTAAGAGTAAAACTTGTTTTTTTTGTTTTTTAAAGATTTATTTATTTAGTATGTATACAACATTCCTTCCATGTATGTTTGCATGCCAGAAGAGGGCACCAGATCTCATTATAGATGGCTGTGAGCCACCATGTTGGGCTCCATGTTGCTGGGAATTGAACTCAGGACCTCTGGAAGAGCAGTCAGTGCTCTTAACTTCTAAGCCATCTCTCCAGCCTGAGTAAAACTTTCTGAGCCAGGTGTGGCTGCACGCTCCTTTAATCCCAGCACTCGAGAGGCAGAGGCAGGCAGATCTCTGTGAGTTCGAGCCTGGTCTACAAAGCTAGTTCCAGGACAGCTGGGGCTGCTACACAGAGGAACCCTGTGTTGAAAACAAACACACAAAGAAATAAACAGATAGAAAGATAGATAAATAAATAAACAAACAAACAAATAAATAAATGTTCCATCCTGTCCCTAGCATTATGAAAGTCTTTCTTTTGGGAAAACAGCCCTCTACCTCTGCCCCTCACAACAGAGCCAGGTGGGAGGGCCAGATGTTGCCTCTTCCTTAGTGCATACAGTGTGTGCTCTGCATTTTACACACACACACACACACACACACACACACACACACACACACACAGTGCTGGCTCGGAGTTACTCCCCCACTGACCCAGTGTGCCTGAAAATTCTGGCACATATCCCTGTTCTTGAACTGAACACCTCCAAAGGCCAGTGGCCACATAGGCCCACACCAATGTATATGTGTGTCTTCAGGCATAGTGACATGAGCATGCATGCATATGTGTATAACACACACTGGCTACACACACTCACATATGTGTTTACACACATGTGTTATCGCACCGGCTCTCATGTGTGCATAAAAGGTACTTGTGTACATGTTTGCATGTGTCTACTCAGTGCAGGTACCCCAGGCACACATACATCCACATAAGTGGTCACCCACAGTTTTAAACTCAGAGAGCTTTGGGGCTCTGTGATGACAGTCAGGGATCCTAGGTACACACATAGAAGGTGTGAATCTGAGGACAGGCTGGCCTGGGTTGTTACTGTCTGGGGAAGGATGCCCTTGGCCAGCTTCGCAGAGACACAGGTTACTGATGACGTGAAGGCCCTGGTAACACAGATGGTCACCTAGCAACCCTGTCTCTGCAGGCAATAGCTCTGCTTTTCCTAGCAACCTTGGCCCATGGTCCCCACCTGCCCTCTCTGGAGCGTTCCTGCAGTTCCCTGCCAGCCCATTGGTGTGGCTAGAGGCAGGAAGGACCCGTGGCTCCATGCTGAATCAGGCACAGCATCATAGAAGCTGTTGTCTCGGCTGACCCAGAGCTCTTCGCAGCTCCCCTCATATGCTCCAGTCCCAGGCTTGGTGTCATTGTCACAGCCCCAGGCTGACCCACTGCAGCATGGCCTCCCCTACCAGCAGAACCCGAGAGAACCAAGTAGGTGGCTGTTCCTGTCTTTGGGCTCTTGTCCTCTCCTCCTTCTGAGCTGGGATTTCAGAGGAGGAACATGTCGAAGGTGATCTACAGACCTGAACTTGGGGGGCATGGCCTGTGTAGGGTGGGGGAGGAGTAGGCGGCTAAACTTAGATGCTGGCATGGCTACTATGTCTTATTACTTAATCCAGGGGCCTGCTGGAGGCCTACCTCAGCCCACCTCTGCTCTTCTGGGCAGAGATCCCTGGGATTTGGGAACTTTCTAGACATTGAGGGGCTACTGCTTCCAGGCTGGACAAGAGGTGAGCATAGGGTTGAGTAGAGCAACATGGCCTTGGTACATGGACCCCTCTGCAGCCCCTTGGTAATGGGGACAGGGCCACTGTTGTGCTAGCAAACCGCTTTGCTAGCCGAGGTTGTTTATCAAAGCGTGTGTACAATGGCCTAACCTGCTGCCCAGGCTGCCCCTGGGATTAGCTGAAAGGATGCAAACAGATAATAAGAGCTGCTAGATTGTGTGGAGACAGGGGGAAAGCCAGGTCCGTTACTGAGCCCACTTCACAGACAGGAACATTGAGCTTGGGAATTGTGTTCTTGGCTGCCCTTCCAAGGAAGTGTAAGGTTGGGCTTGGTTCCTCCAAAGTGAACCGCAGACAAAGCCAGCATCTCACTGTGTTTGGAGAGAAGAATCCAGAAGAATCCTGAGATAGCATCTAGCATTCTTATGGCTTATTCTTATCAGGTTCCCTGATCCTATGACCTCAGACAGTCCACACAGGGCCCTGTCTTTTTGACACAGGAATAGAAGATGGCACCTGGGGTTCCAGGCAGGGTGACTTGCCCCAGGCCACAGACACCTGATGCTGGGAGGATCTGGACAAGGAGGCCTCTGACTGGTGCTGAGTGCTATAGATAAGCCCGGCGACTGTTCTAGAAGGCCCATCTGCTTGAGACCAACTTCTGCTTGTGGTGGGAGACATAACACCAAGATCTGTTAGGAGACCAAGAGAATATTGGAATATTACTTTGACAGAACCTAAGGCCTCATGGATATTAGGCAAGCTCTCTGTCCTAAGAAACTTCCAATTTCTTTTTTTTAAAAAAAAAAACAGACCCAAAGAAGAACTTGCGAGATATGAATTAACATTGTTCTTCACACAAAGCCACCAGGAAGTAATCTTAACATATTTTTAGGGGTGAAGAGATGCATGAAGGATAATGTACTAGGACATGGTCAACGAGACAGGGTAGACATTCAGGATGGCAGCAGGCAGCGGAGCCGTACCTGTACCTGGATTCACCCTGCGAAGACTGTGTGACCACAGGCTGTCTGTAGGCCTCTCTGAATCTGGGCTTTCTAAGATGGAATAATCTCACCACAACCCTGGCAGGGAGATGACAATGTTGTAGAGAGCTTGGCACATGCCTGGCACACAGCTCACGGAAGCTGCCATGGCCATGTGAATACACGCTCATTCAAAATCCTTGGCAGGAGACTTCATATAGACTTTACTATATTCTGTCTCTCAGCCCCGGCTTACCCACCCTGGGAGAACTGAGAAATGGCCCTTTGGACAGAGATGACACCTTGGAACATCTGCTAATAAACCCCTGGGGGCAGGGATCTGATGGGAGGCAGGACTTAGTTCTAACTACAAAAGTCACATAAGAATCTGGGCTTGGAAGTACATGCGTGGAATCCCAGTACCAGGAAAATCACAAGTTGTAGACCAGCCTGCAATACATGGCAAATTCTAGGCTAGCCTGAGCAACACAGACTGCATTTTCAAACATACAAGTGTGTGTGGTGTGTGTGTGTGTGTGTGTGTGTGTGTTGGGGTGTTTGAGATTGATTTCTATGTAGCTCAGCCTCAAACCTGCTATATAACCAAAGCTGGTTTTGAACTTCTTATCCTCCTGCCTTGACCTCTTGAGCACTGGGTAGACACATGCTAACGTAGCATCCAATGTCAAGACATTCTACCTGAAAAACCTGGTTCAGATTCCTCTGGAGAATGAGATCTGATACCCCTGACCCCTCATTCCAAACAGAGTGGGAGCCCCATTCACACAGATGAGAGCCCTTCTGTTGGCCACAGTCTCCTCCCTGCCCCACCCAGGGCCTCCACCAGCTCCGACCCTGTTACTTGTATATACTTGCCAGCTGGGCCAGTGATGTCACGGAGCCTCCAGCACTGTGCTGTTGACACGGAACTCACAGGGAAAAAACAACAAGGGCCTTGGGTTAAGGTTTGTGATACTGGTTAGGTCACTTCACTTCTGTCCACCCAACCCCATACTGGGGATGGAACCCAGGGTTTTTCACAGGTTGGGCAAGTGCTCTACCACTGAGCTACACACCAGCCCTTGTTTTTCTTACATAGGTTTCCTTGCCTGCAGCCACCAAGGTTTCCTTCAGACTTGGGAAAACCCGGGGTTCACCCCAGAGATGCTTCCTTGAACGTCCATGGGGGAAGTCCTCTTTCCTTGTGTAACTGTAGCCTTTACTGCAGTCCCTTGTCTCAGACAGTAGTCTATCCGTGTGGATGTGATCTAGTCTCTTCCGTCTCTATGTCCCCTGTTTCTGGTTGGCCCCCAGCAGGGTTTGGAAATGACGACCTTCACTAACACTGTCTCTTTCCTCTGTCTCTTGGGTCACAGTGTCCTGCTGGATAGCTGTTTGGCAGTACAGGCTGATGTGGACCAGTGCCACCTAGGCAGGACACAGCCACAGATAACATCGCTGCAGGTAGAGAGACCCAGGGAACCTGGGGCCATTAATGATGGGGTTTGCTGGTGAGCTGTCCACAGGACAGAGAAGGCTAAGATTGGATGTACGGGGTGGGGGAGGTGTGGTCCTGGAGTAAAGATTCTGGGTGGGATGGGGGGTTGCTTGGGTAGCTATGTCCCCTTGAGCAGGGTCTCATGGGGATCCCCTCAGCATATGAGATAATTCCTGGGTTTAGGGTCTTGAGCTTCAATGCATACTTCCCTCTTTAGGTGGTAAGACACCTCCTCGGATGGCCCAGGAGATGAGCTGCCCCCATTGGTAGGGGGTGGGGTAGGAGTTGGGAGGCGTCCAATGAGGTACCCACTCTCCTCTCTATATGTCTCTGAAGGAGTTGCCAGAGGAGGAGGAGGCGGAGGAAGTGGAAGAGGAGGTGAAGGAGGAGGAGGCCACAAGCTCAACTGGTAGGAGTGACTTTGTATAGAGATGCCCCAGGAGATTTTCTGACTGGCAGCAGCCTGGGGTGGGGCTCTCTTCCATACCGTCCATCTCCTTCCTGCCTGGGGCACTTCCATTCTGTCCTAGGCAAAGACCCTCCTCTGTATTTTGGGGCCACATGGTTTCAACTAGAAGATGTCTTTCAAAGGTACCGGGGAAATGCTGCCCAGAGTGTTGGGGAGTCTTGCCCGGCCAGCCCCTCCTGCAACCTCCTCCCAGGAAAAATTGTACCATAACCTGTGCAGGGAGACTGGGGGTGAAGGAGCAGAGTCTGTAAATGGCACGACCATGTCCCATCTCTGTGGCTACACCCCATGCTTCTGAGTATGTCCTGGGTGGGGAGCTCCATCTATACCCCGCTCTTTACTGTGGTCTTTGCCATCACAATCCCAGGCCTGGTGTCCTCGTCAGTGAAGAGACACCATGACTACAGCAACTCTTATAAAGGAAAGCATTTAATTGGGGCTGGTTTATAGATTCAGAAGTTTAGTCTATTATTGTCATGGGGCAGGGATGGGGGTGGGGGGAAGCATAGCTGCACACAGGCAGACACCATGTTGGAAAGGTAGCCGAGAGTTCTATATCTGCATTGCAGACAGCAGGAAAGAAGAGAGACCCTGGACCTGGCTTGAGCATTTGAAAACTCAAAGCCCACCCCCCCCATTCCCACCCCTGTGGCACACTTCCTTCAACAAGGCCACACCTAATAGTGCCTTGGGGGGACTATTTTCATTCAAACCACCATACCTGGTAACCCCAGGGATTGGGTGCTAAGGAGGAGGCTGGACCATTGACCCTGGGCAGATGACACTGTGGCCTGCAGGGCGGCATTCCCCCACGTTCTGACCTTCAAGCTTCTGGTCCTAGAGTTGCCCGGTGAGGCTGGTAGATTATTTTACTGATAGCAAAACTAAGGTGTGGTGTGTCCCACTGTAGAAAAGTGAAGGCACAGACTATATCGGCTTCCGGCTCCTCCTTGCTGTGCAACCCGGGTAGCTCTGTCAGAGTGGAGCAGGGCTAGGACCTCCTACCCAGGCTGAATGGCAATGCAGCCTGCCACTCAAAAGTCTTCTCTATGGACATCAACACTCATCTCTAGGAACCTATGATGTTCAGGCTAGACCCTAGACTTCCACAGAGATGTGACGGCTAGAACAGACAGCATGCTGGCTCCATTCCCTTCCTCAGGCAGTCTGGGACAGGAGTGCTCACCCCTACTCAAGCTGACACCTCAGTGTCCTCTAGAAACTGCTTAGAAACATAGAATCCAGGTCCTACCAAGCCCCGCGGAGCCAGGATCTGCCTGCTGTCTGCCTCACTGTCTGGTGACTGTCCTCATGTTACCATTTGAGGCAGTAGCTTTGAATCCCTCTTCTCGGATAGCTGAAGCAAGGCTGGGCATCAGGACCACGTAAGCCTCTTCTAGGGATTCTAGCCCCAGGGTCCTAGTGCTGTGTCTGTTTCTGGCTCGAAGAAAGATGAATTGGTTGCAGGGTTTATTTTTTTTAAATATTTATTTATTTATTTATTATGTATACCATATTCTGTCTGTATGCCTGCAGGCCAAAATAGGGCACCAGACCCCATTATAGATGCTTGTGAGCCACCATGTGGTTGCTGGGAATTGAACTCAGGACCTTTGGAAGAGCAAGCAATGCTCTTCAACCTCTGAGCCATCTCTCCAGTCCGGTTGCAGGGTTTCTTTAAAGAGGAAATTGTCCCGAGCTCAGCACATTGGAGCCTGGTTTCTGAAGTTCCAAGTCTTTCTGCTCCAGATTCTGAGTCTGTTATCTTTTGAATCTGACACGGGGAAATACTATTATGGTTGATAAGCAGACCCATGGCTCTAGGAAGAGCCTTGGAGCTCCTGGGTGGACCATCTGTGTCCCTTGGTGATGCTTTTAAGGTTGAGCGTTGGGAAAGAAAGTGATGCTTCAGACCTGAACAGGGCTGATGCAAGCGGGCAGGTGTTAGGTCAGTCTATGTCAGTACTTGGGAGGAGCCTTACCCTCACTATCTTCCTCAACTCAGCTCCTGATTTTAGTCTCCAGGGTCACGCCTCTGCCTGCCACCTTCTGGACCCAGTACCATGGCTAAACCAGGCCTGAATATGGAACTGAATCACTTGGTCCAGGACCAGCCACCTGGCCAGGAGGGACCCAGGCCTGGCCCCCCAAACCCAGCCGAGCACCTCCCCAATGTGCCCAGCTATCGTCCCACAATCACCCGTATTCCTGTTCTCGTTTCCCGGAGGACAACCTTGTCCAACTCCAACTTCGCCAAGGAGACCAGGAGCTCCATCCGTCGCCTGGGTAGTGTGACCTTGCCCCAGCATGCTTGGGGCATGGCACAGTGGGGTTTCTGCATGGCTTGGGCTGCCTTTCCGCCTATGTGGCATGCTGCAGGAACTTGCTTTGAGCTCATGGAGTTCTCTTTCTTCTAAATACCTCCCTCCCACTTTGCAGTGACTTAAGGGTTAGTCCTTTTCTTTCCATATGCCTACAGGGTCACAGTTGGTGATTTCGTTCTTTGACTACATACCCTTTCTGCACATCATCATTTTATACAGGCAGTTATCCCCACTCTGGTTTAAAAAAATAAATAAATAAATCCTAGCTGGATGGTGGTGGCACACACCTTTAATCCCAGCACTTGTGAGGCAGAGGCAGGCAGATCTCAGTGAGTTCGAGGCCAGCCTAGTCTACAAGAAACCCTGTCTCACACTCCCCACCCCCCCAAGTCAGCTCTTTAGACCATGAAACTTGGGAAGAACGCTGGTAGAAGGGGTAGGGGGTCACTCCCATCCTTAATTAAAGTTCTTTGGACAGTTAATAGCGTCCGTGGGAGTGGGAGTCAGTTTTCTTTAAGGCTATGGCTTCTAGTAGGTTAACCATGCCCCCATGGATGGCCTCCTACCCAGAAGTTTACATGAGGAGCACAAATTGGAGTTGATAGGTTATTTTAAAAAATAAAAAGGACATGAAGGTGGAGTAGGCCTGGGAGGATTTGGGAGTGAATATAATTAAAATACATTGTATGAAATCCTCAGGAATTATAAATATTTTTTTTCAAGATAAGGTTTCTGTGTAGTTTTGGTGCTTGTCCTGAAACTAGCTCTTGTAGACCAGGCTGGCTTTGAACTCACAGAGATCCACCTGCCTCCGCCTCCTGAGTGCTGGGATTAAAGGCGTGCGCCACCACCGCCGGGCTAAATAAAAACGTTTTTAAAGGAGGGAACAGAGGCTATGGAAGGAGGGAAATCAGATGGTGGGGTGATGTGAGGTCCATCATAGCTAGACTTGCCTGACTGAGAGTCTGCTCGGCTTTCTGAGGGTCATTGGTATCTATTTCAGGGACAGTGGAAGCAGGCAGGTGCAGGCAGGAGAAGCAGGTGGGTGCGGGCAGGCCGGGAGAAGGGGTTCTCAGGATTCAGTGCAGATTGAGGGCCTGTCCAAACTAGTCCCTGGGCTGCTACTGCTAACTGACTAATGAAAGATAAGGTACTTGGGAACTACAGGTGCCCTGAGGTAACCTCTGTCCCCTTCTGCCTTGGTGCAAGCCAGTCTGCCCACTCTCCCTTTGATGTGACAGACATTTGTGCTGACACTGGGCCAGGCTGTCTCCAAGATCAGAGCAGGTAGCAGGAACAGGATACTCCATACGAAAGGGCCTGGCTGTCCTTGTCTGTTCTTCCTGAATCATGTGGGCACAGTGACAACCAGGTTCTGTCTGCTGCTCCACAGAACCCCTAACTTCTGCCTCTTTTCTGGACTTTCTTATTGTTTTTATCTAATTGTACGTAAACAGGAAAGCTTTGGATGGCTAGTCAAATGGACAACTGGCGTGGCTTGCCCTAGACAGGTGTCAACAGTTTGCTTCTGTGTTGCAGTGATACAATGTTGAACAAAAGCAACTAGGGTTTATTTCAGTTTATACTTCTAGGTCCATGCCTGAAAGAAACCGGCACAGGCTCTCGAGGCAGGAACCTGGAGCAGGAAAGGCACACCACTTTCTCCCTTTTAAATTAGCAATCAAGAATATACTTTTTAGACATGCCCACAGGCTAATCTGGCGGAGGAAACTCCCGACTGGACTGGAAACTCTCAGCTAAGTCTGGGCTCTGTCCAGTTGATTGGTAAAGCCAAATAGGAAGCTAGGCCTAGCCCAGGCCTCAGGAACACTGAAGCAAGAAACCAAGACTCTAACCTCAAAACAAAAACAATACCCCCCCCCCCATACACCAAAACCCCCACAACAACTCAGAAACAGAAACAAAGCATCAGTAGGAATAACCACAAATACATGAAAGAAAATGGAGCTGTGATCTTCTCATGAGATGTAGAGCCTGCTGAAGGCTTGGAGCCCAGAGGGGCTTCCTCTGTGTCAAGGCCACGAGAGCATTGACCTTGGTGGGAGAGTGAGGACAAAGGTGTCACGGTCTCCTTCTCTGCCTCCCCTTTTCTGGTCTGGGCGTCTGGAACCATCTAAGTCATCCCTAGATCTGGGGACTCCGACTGGGAAATACTCCCAGGGGTGCAGCGAGGGCATCTAGGGGTGCCCAGGGACCAGGATTGAACAGCAGAGCGTAGCAAGGGTGTTGACCCTGGTCTGGGTGTGGTGGTGCCTGCCGCAATCAATCCCAGCACTTGGGAGTTCAGGCTAGCCTGGGCTACACAGCAAGACCTTCCCTCAAAACAAAGCTGGCAGTTGGTTAGTCATGCTAAGGGCTTCTGAGCTGGGTCTGGTCTGCACTGAAGCAGGGTTCTGAGCTTTCCTGTCCCACAGTTCCCTGAGGGACAAGATGGAAACTGAGTAACAACACAGAACAGATGGGGAAGCTTACAGGCCCTGCCTGACTGCTGAGAACCTATGACCCCTGACTCTCTGGGGTGAGGCCATTGGTTGAGCCCAGACCCCATAGTCAGCTCAAACCCCAGCAAGACCCCATTTCAGTGGGCGGTGGAGGAAGGGAATAGATGTAAATATGTAAATACTTAAATTTAAAAAACAATAATGGAAGCCCAGCAATAGTGGTACATGCTTTTCATCCCAGCACTCGAAGGCAGAGGCAGATAGATCTCTGTGAGTTCAAGGCCAGCTTGGTCTACAAAGCGAGTTCTAGGACACACCTGTAAACCAGCACTGGAGAAACTGAGGCAAGAAGGTTGGAAATTCAAGGTCAACATGGGCTACACAATGAAACCCAGGAAGGAAGGAAGGAAGGAAGGAAGGGAGGGAGGGAGGGAAAGGAAAAGAGGGATGGAGGGAGGGGAAGGGAAGGAAGGCACGCTGGCCAGCAAGATGCTTCAGTAGGTCAGGTGCATGTTGCCAAGCCTGGTGATCAATCCCCAGAATGGAAGGGGAGAATTAATTCCTACAAGTTGTCCTGTGACTTGCACACACACACACACACACACACACACACACACACACACAATGGCAAGTGCTTACACACCACATGTAATAAATAAATGTAATTTTTTTCAAGACAGGATTTTTCTGTATAGCCCTGGCTGTCCTGGAACTCTATAATCCAGGCTGGTCTTGAACTCAGAGATCCACCTGCCTCTGCCTCCCAAATGCTGGGATTAAAGGTGTGTGCTGCCAAGCCTGGCTTAATAAATGTAATTTTTAAAAACTTCCCAAGAGAAAGGGAAATGGAGGGAATGCATTGTAAGTGCTTAACAGTAAACATTCTCTCACTATTCTGGAAGTCTTTCTCTTTCTAATATTCTTAGTGTAGGTCAATCTAATATAAACCTGTCTCACCTGAACTGCCCTCTACCAGCTGATTGCTTCCTCCCCCTGTTGGGGGTGTGGCAGTGGGGAGTCTTGCCTAGGGCAGGCAGGGGTAGAGGGCATTCCCTACCTGGCTCCCTGAGTCATACTTGCTGAGAATGGAGCAGACCGTATGTACATGCTGGGCCTGGAGCTGAGGCCATGGGGGCAGCGTTGGGACCCTGAGGTCTAAGTTTTGCTGTCATTCCTCTTGTGTTCCCATGGTGACTAGTGGGCAGTGGATGAGACCTCTCCTCTCCTCCTGAGCCTGGAGGACCTCTTGCCAATCTAGCACAGTGGTTGTCAACCTTTCTAATGGAACCCTTTAGCACAGTGCCCCAACCATAAATTTACTCTATTGCTACTTCATAACTGTAATTTTGTTATTGCTAGGGATCCTTTTTTGTTTGTTTGGTTGGGTTTTTGTTTTGTTTTGTTTTTTGTTTTTCAAGACAGGGTTTCTCTGTAGCATTGGGGGCCTATCCTGGAACTAGCTCTTGTAGACCAGGCTGGTCTCGAACTCACAGGGGTTCACCAGCCTCTGCCTCCCGAGTGCTGGGATTAAAGGTGTGTGCCACCATGGCCTGGTTTAAGAATCTTAATGCAAATATCTAATACATAACCCCTGTTAGGGGTCGAGGCCCACAGGTTGAGAACTGCTGAATTCTAGCACGTGACATAGTCTGCCTCAGTGTTGAGAACTTTGCCAATCTTGCTTGTCCTCCTCCGGGGGAAACATATGACTTAGCAAAACAAACACCCACTACACACTGGACTTTCCATGGTGGCCGTGAGCAGAAGCATCCCAGGGACAGTGATTTCGGAGTACCTTTCCTGCCTTGCTGGGGAGCAGGCTTGTGTCCTGCTGCCTGTAAGGCTCCCTACTGGGTATAGTCAGGCCTCCAGTGTCCTCTAGGTCCCCAAGGTGCCACATGAAGACTCCCCAGGAAGTACCTGATCCTGAGAAAGAAGGCCCTGGCTTTTCAGAGGTTTAAGTAGACAACAGGTGACTCCGGGGGCCTCTGGTATAGACACTAATACCCTCTAAAGCTGATTCCCAGATAAACACGTGACTAAGACAGCAATACCTCTGAATTGGAGACCCTTCAAGAATCTAAGGCCTTGGTTCCTGCCCTCTCTACACACATGGAAGACGTAGTTTCTCCTACCTTGAGATAGGAACAGATGGGCTTGTCTGTGTGACACTTAGTCCCAGCCTCCCCAGGTCGCTGTTGCTTGCCACACTGGGAAGTTAAGAGAGAGATTGAGGCTGGATTTCCAGCTCCTGCGTTTGGGGCTGGGGTGGTAGTAATTAGCAAGGGTCTCAGGCTGCATGGAGCTTGGCTGGGAACTTCAGCGGGGAGGCAAAGCCACCAGAGACCCTCCAAATATAGCCCCAAGGATCTGACTTCTCTCTCTGACTATCCCTTCCTTCCTCTTCCCAGTACCAGGCACAAAGGAGCACCCAGAGCTCCAGGTAGAGGACACGGATGCTGATGCTGACAGTCTCCCCCTCATCCCAGAGGAGAAGGTCCCTTCACCGGAGAGACCACCTTCTCCTACCAAATCTGATACCCTCAGGGTCCCGGGCTCCGCTGCAGCAGTCCACAGGTTAGCCGTGATGATTTGCTTGGGCTTTGGTCCTCGTGGTGCCGCTAGCCTATCCGATAGATGATGGGAAACAGCAGGGCTGAGATCTCCTCTGCCGGTGGTCCGGAGAAGTTCTCAAGAGTCCTAGTCCATATACCCTCAGCTGCGGAACAGGGAGATGCTGCCGAAGAAGGCAAACATTTTCATATACACTAAATGTGACAGCTAACTCCTACCCCCTTTTATTTTGTTTTATTCTACATTCAGAGTATTGCTTCCTAAAGAACACATATGATTATAATCGGCAGAGTGCTAGGCCTTGTTTATTTTTCCTCTTAATTTTTTCTTTTCCAAGCTCAGGACCTCGCACACTAGTCAAGAGCTCACACTCCCAGCATCTCTGAACAATTTAAAAACACATCTATTTATTTAGTGTGTGCATGTGCCATGGCGTGCATGCGGGGGTCAGAAGACAACTTTGTGGCATGGATTTTCTCTTTCTACCTTTGCGAGATACTGGGGGTTGACCTTCAGTCTCCAGTTTTGCGCGGCAAGCACCTTGTCCCACCGAACCGCCTCATCCACCAGCACCCAGGGCCTTCTTTTTGAACTGAACCACTTGACTGTGTTATCACAGTGTCATGGCTAAAGCACACAGCCAGACCATCCTATGGTCCCCTAGCTGATCCTGGTGTCACTGAGTTTAGCACATGGACCCCCATCCTCACAGCTGGGCAAACTTTGTAGCTGCATTCTATCCCATGAGCCCAGGCGTGCTTGAATTCACAAGCTTCCTGCCTCACACCTCTCCTAACCTCTTTTATTTTTGTTTGCCAAAGGACCTTTTTATGTGGGCCCATCTACATGTATTGTCGTGTTATTCTCATGGGGAACACTCACGTTTAGGTCCTAAGCCCTCGTCTTGTTCCCTGCTGTTCTGACCCCTCCCTCGACAAGCTAATACATTGCCTTCATGTGCTAACACGCCTATCTATGTTAGTGCACTAGCATGCCTCTCTATGTCCCCAGACTCTGGGTTCCATGTGTTCACACTGGGTGTTTTGTGTTTATATGCTAATATGAGTCTTTGGGAAATGGCCATTTTTCTCTTCTATGTTTATTACCTCATGTTTGCTTTTAAGCCATGTACTGATGGCATGTGCCTCTAATCTCAGCACTCAGGAGGCTGAGGCAGGAGGATCACAAGTTTGAGAACAGCCCAGGACACATGAAAGGACCCTGTTAAAAAATGGGAAAGAAACCGAGAGAAACACACACACACACACACACACACACACACAGCAGACAGGCACACACAGAGATACATAGACACACAGAAATAATTCCTAACTGTTGACCTGACCTGCATCCTCCAGGTACCACCTATGTGTTTCTGTATTAACTCACTTTACTCCACCCTAAGCAGCTCTTTCTCTGAGGTTGGGAATTTTTTTTTTTTTGGTAATGTTAATAAATTTCCATCTTTCTCAGGTTTTTTAGTTCCTCCATAAAGCAATTCATCCCCACTCTTGAGGGTGGAAAAGTCAAGAGAATTAACCCTAAGGTGCCAGTGTCAAATAGTTTCAAGGGCCTCGCTGCCCACAGCAGATTTAATCAGACAAGATACTAGTGGCTCCAAATGTAGTCCTCTGTGGTCTTCCTGAATGACAGGGCCTCCCCCACAGAACTTAGCTTCATTCTTTAGTTAGGAGCCTAGCAATAAGAAGGAGGGGGACTTGTTCAAGGTCACATTGTGTTCTGGAGAATGAACTCCTCGGCTTTGCCTCACAGCTGAAGGGTGGTATAATATGAGGGTGGGGTTGGGGAAGCTTCAGATCAGAAACAGGAGGCAGAAGGACAGACGGACACTTAGGCAGAGACTTAGCTAAGGGATAGATAGCACCTGTTTATGTCACTGGGTAGATTCAGTGCTGCTTAGGGAAGAAGAGAAGGAGGCACTTTAGCATTTAAGTACTGTGTCAAGGTCGGACTCTTAAGTCCATGCTGTTCACTTTGGGCCAGGCCACTGAGAGGTGTGCAGACCGAGGTCCCAAGATCAGGCCCTCTCTCCTCCCAAGAACCAGCTCGAAGCCTGTCATTTACTTCCATTAGCCGGCCTTCTCTGAAGGGTGTATACCTGTCTGGGTCCCTACAGGAAGAAGCTACCTTCTCAGGACGATGAAGCTGAAGAGCTCAAGGCACTGTCACCCGCTGAGTCCCCAGTGGTTGCCTGGTCAGACCCCACCACCCCACAGGAGGCTGAGTAAGTGGGGGTCAATATGGAGAGCCACGCATTAGCTGTGTAGACTACTCTGTTGGAATAAACAGGTCCCGATGATCCAGCGGCTAGAAAGACAGAATTCTTCATATGTTATAGCCACAGATCTATCTGTGCCTTTCAGGTCAGTGGAAGGGTTTGTTGCATGCAATCATTTAGGGACCCAAGTGTCAGTGATTCTGCTATCTTTGTGCAATTTATAAGAAGTTCTGGTCAAGACTAGAGAGAGAGAAAACTTCAGCCACACATGGTGGCACAGGCCTATAATCTCAGCTACTGCAGAAGCTAAGGGAGTGAAATGTGTCTGGTATTGTCAGAAAAAAAATGGCTGGAGCGGCCTCCCTTGGGCTCTGCTAGAAGTGGAGGCATAGACATTACTCAGCATAGGCCTGGGGTCCTGGGCACCCTTCCTGCTTGGTGTTCATCCTCGGCCATGCTCCCACAGTGGTCAGGACCGTGCGGCCTCCACAGCCAGCCAGAACAGTGCCATCATCAACGACCGGCTCCAGGAGCTGGTGAAGCTGTTCAAGGAGCGCACGGAGAAGGTGAAGGAGAAGCTCATTGACCCCGACGTCACCTCCGATGAGGAGAGCCCCAAGCCCTGTGAGTGGGGGTGGAGGTGGCCGTGGGCCAAGGAGGGTGGGGTGCCCGAAGAACCCCGACACCTACTCATGGGGAGAGTGGCAAAAGCAAATGGTTGGGGTATGAGAAAAGCCCAGAACCCCAAACTCTGGATTTGGGGCTTAGATGTGTACTCAGGAGAGGAAGAAAGTCAAAAGTGAACTTGGTCTTCCCACAGCCAGTGGCTTATAGACTCTTCTGTCTCCTTCTCCCATAGGGGAGGGGGCTAGGATATCTATCTCAGGCTCAGGCTGGCTCTCAGCCATAGCACAACTGCTCTGGGAACAGTCTCTCTCTCTCTCTCTCTCTCTCTCTCTCTCTCTCTCTCTCTCTCTCTCTTCTCTCGGCCTGGCTGTCCTGGAACTCATCCTGTAGACCAGCTGGCCTGGAACTCACCCAGTAGTCCCAGGTTGACTGAGAACACATGGCAACCCTCCTACATGCTGGAGTTACAGGTGTGAGCCAGCGTGCTAGTCTAACGTCTCCTTCCTTTAAGGAGTTGTCCAACAAGGTGATAAATGTCTGGAATCCCTAGCACTTGGGAGTCTGAGGCTGGAGGATCACAAGTTTGGGGCTAGCCTGAACTATATAGTGAGATACTGTCAGACACAGAAACAAAGACAGAAAGAAAATTTACAAGAATGAACTCAAACATGTTTTTCTTTTTCTTTTTTAAATAGAATCTCACTGTGTAGCCCTGGCTGGCCTCTAACTCACTTTATAGACCAAGCTGGTCTTGAACTCACTGAGATTCACCTGCATCTGCCTCCCAAGCACTGGGATTAAAGGTGTGTGCCCCTATACTACAAGCTTTTTGTCAGGGATATTTTCTAGGTTTTTCTGACAAGGGTTGTACACTGGGACTCAAATGCCCAAGCCAGATTATCAGAGACCGACTTCACACTCTTAACACTAGAAACACAGCCATGTTGGACCCCTAAGGGCCAAGGTGCAGCATCACAGACCCACGAGAGGCTCAATCTCAGGCAGATAATGGAGCTGAGTCCTACTCTGAGAAGTCTGAATACACAGGTCCCCAAGTTGGTTGAATCCTTCAGCATTCTGAGTAAGGAAGATGGAAGCATTGGCACAAAACGCCCTGCCCATCAAAGGAAGCAAGGAGTCCACTGACATACAGACATAGACAGACCGACACACATGTGTGTGCACGCACGCACGCACGCACGCATGCACGCACTGAGACGTAGTGTGCTCTTGAGGAGTACCTCCTGGCCGGGGTGTAGGAAGAGCTGCCAGGGACTGTGGAAGAGGGAGCCATGGAGTTCGCTCCCAAGGAACGTATTGGCTTCTGCACTCAGAGTTTATGAGCGAGTTGTGTGTTCGGACGTGTTCCAGCTCTGTGGGTGGGACCCTTTCCCTCATATCCTTCACAAAGCCTCAGGGCGGGGTCAGATGGTCACTAGTGTCATCCCACAGCCCCAGCCAAGAAGGCCCCAGAGCCGACCCCGGCGCAGAAGCCCGCGGAGGCGGAGGCAGCAGAGGAGGAACACTACTGTGACATGCTCTGTTGCAAGTTCAAACACAGGCCCTGGAAGATGTACCGGTTCCCCCAGAGCATCGACCCGCTGACCAGTGAGTCCCCTCGGAGGGGGTCACATTTCCTCACACTTTCCAAAATGATTCCACATATCCCTGGAAGATGTACCAGTTCCCCCAGAGCATCGACCCGCTGACCAGTGAGTCCCCTCGGAGGGGGTCACAATTCCTCACACTTTCCAAAATGATTCCACATATCCTTGCCCGATTCTTTGACACAAGTCCCCGGGCTAGGAACATAGATCGCACCCATTTTACAGATGAAGAAGCTGAGGCACAAAGGAATGAACTACCTGAGAAGTAGCCAATTAGATTCCTCACCTTGACCTTGCCAAGACTTCTTTCTAAGCTGGCCACGTGGGCTCAGAGCAGGGGCAAGGTGGAGTTCATCCTACTCTGGAGTAGATTCCCATGATCCTCTGTAGTCCAGACCATAGTCCCCCAGCCCAGCATCCACCCTTTGTACACCGCACTTTACAGTTTACGCTGGAGCCCCTTGCCTTCTCAGCTGGTGATTTTTTGTGACTTTGAAAAGACCAAGGCAGGTGCCAGGGAGGAATATCTTAGTTAAACAGGGAGCCACCCAGGGGTAGGACTCCCAACCCTTGGTGTCTACTGGGTTTCTAAGATACCAAGTCATCTCTAGTCTGCCCAGGTATCTACCCACATCTGTGTCCATCTGTCTGTCCATTCTCCGTGTGTCATTTACTGCTCTGGAATTCCTAAGACAGAAAATTTATTGTCAAAAACTGTCCATGGGGGGGCTGGAGAGATGGCTCAGTGGTTGAGAGCACTGTTTGCTCATCCCAGAGGTCCTGAGTTCAATTCCCAGCAACCACATGGCGGCTCACAATCATCTGTATTAAGATCTGGCACCCTCTCCTGACTGATAGGCATTCATGCAGACAGAACATTGTATACATAATAAATCTTAAAAAAAAAAAATTGTCCATGGGCTGGTGAGGTAGCTCCGTGGGTAAATATGCCAGCAGGACTTACAACGTAAATTCCATCCCCAGAACACACATGGTGAAAGGAAAGAACCAACTCCCGAGAGTTGACCTCTGACCTCCAAAGTGCTCTGTGGTACCCTTATGCCCCTCCTCCATAAATAAATGGACATAATAAAAAATTCTGCTGTCTGTTATCCAATAACGCCACCATGCCCCCTCATCAGAAGACTGTGACCTTTCAGGGCCCATCAGTGACCTCCATGCCCACCTATCCCCTCATCCACTCATCTACCCGTCTGCCCATCTGTCTGTCTATCTTCCACGGAGTGAAAGCCACATACAGGAGCCCGGGGGAAGCGTCCTGTCTTGCTGGCCTTCAAGCCCATCCCTGTCGCCCCTCAGATCTCATGTACATCTTGTGGCTGTTCTTCGTGGTGCTGGCCTGGAACTGGAACTGCTGGCTGATCCCCGTGAGGTGGGCCTTCCCGTACCAGCGGCCGGACAACATCCACTTCTGGCTGGTGATGGATTACCTGTGTGATCTCATCTACCTCCTGGACATCACCGTGTTCCAGATGCGCCTGCAGTTCGTCAAAGGCGGGGACATCATTGTGAGTCACAGGCCGGGGGAGGGGGTGGCCGGGGTCTTCGGGGGACTGACCTTTGATGCTGTGGCAGGTGATAGAAAGAATGACAAGGAAACCCTGCAGCAGCTGCTCACGGCTATGTGTGTTGGTTCTGGACCACTTGCATGTGTTCACATTACACATTAGATGCCATCCAGGGATGAACTGCGTTCTGGACCACCTGATAGAGTTAAAGAAATGGTCCAGAGAATAGCATCTGGGGCTGGTGCAGCTGCTTCATATTCTAGCTGAAGTCCTATCTGAGCTTCAGCATCATCATCCATGAACGGGATGGTAACAGCTTCCCTATGATGCAAGTATTGCTACGAAACTAGACGTCACATGCAGAGTGCGGGGCTCAGGAGCTGAGTGCCTCCTGCTGAGGGCACAGTGATGAGCTGCTATAGGGAACAGCCTGAGCTGGCCCCTTACTGAGAGGAAACCAAAGACCTGACTGTGACCCTGCTGGTGTGACCCATGCCTAGGACTCAGGAGGTTGAGGCCGGTAGAGCTGAGTTCGAAGCTACACTAGGTTGTGCAGTCAAAACTTGTCTTTTTGTTGTTTTTGTTTGTTTGTCTGTTTGTTTGAGACAGGGTATCTCTGTGTAGCTCTGGTTATCCTGGAACTCACTCTGTAGACCAGGCTGGCCTTGAGCTCAGAGATCCATCTGCCTCTGCCTCCCAAGTGCTGGAATTAAAGGCTTGTGCCACCACTGCCTGGCAAAACCCTGTCTTAAAAACATAGCGGCTTGGGATGGTGGGAAGGGATAGGAGAAAGGAAAGGAAAGAGAGGCAGGCATCCCTGTGAGCAAGTCATTTCCTAAAACTCCACACCGAGGGCTGGGTGTGTAGCTCAGCGGTACTTGCCAAGCTCCCGAGGCCCCGGGGTCCATCTTCACCATTGCAAAGTTAAAAAAAAAAAAAAGTCCACAGTATAGCAAAGCTGGGGCTTTCTTTTCAAAAAGATTCCAAGTGGCCTCTTCTGAATTAGAGTTTCCTTTGATAAAGGATAGTGACTGATTGTAAACATCAATGGAAGAAGTCAGGCCACTAACATATAGAAGGGGGCTGACAAGGAGGCAAAAACATATTAGGAAAAGGTTTTGGCCACTTTCATTATATTGATAAGAATTATGAGGGAGCCAGGCACACACCTATAATCTCGGCACCCAGGAGACAGAGGCAGGGAGGATCTTTGTAAGTCTGAGGCCAGCTTGGTCTACAGAGGGAGACTTTGTCTCAAAACAAAATGAATCAAGGTCTCTGGAGAGATGGCTCAGCAGTCATGGACACTTACTGGTCTTCCAGAGGACCCAAGTTTAGTTCCAGCACACACATCGGGTAGCTAGAGGGAATCCAATGCACACACCTGCACACACACACACACACATGAAGAAAAATAGATCATTTAGCAAAAAGAATAATTTGATAAAGAAAAGAAGAAAATCAATAGTGTTATGAAGCTATTTATTAAGCAGTATGGGGTTTTTGAGTTCCATGTAAGGGGGTAGCTTAACAGTTGGTAAAATAAAATGTAAGAGTTAAGGTCTTGGACATTGTATCATATGTGTTGGGTGTCATAGTAAGGGATGCTAGGTCAATAGCTGCTTCACAGGCCACAAACGCTATTGTTAACAACGGGCAGCATGAATTAAAGTGTAACATGAATCCAAAATCTAGGAGCCCGTGATACTCCGAGACAGCATATGCCAGAAATGAAAGTATTGGTAATAATCGGGGAGTCGTTGTCCAAACTCCTCCCTAGCCCCCATCAGAGAGTTGCCAGCTCTTCACAGATCAAGTGGCTAGTCTTCCTGGAAGGAGCTGAGAGTCCCTGCTAGCCTAGTTGTCCTGGGAGGAGCTGAGAGTCCCCACCTTCCTCCATCCATGAGATCGGAGGCTGGCTGGTGACTTCAGTACAGCTTGTTCCTATGGTAGCCACCCACCTGCGATCACAAATCCTTCTGGGCAGCATGGCTGCATGTGCCTAGGTGGCATCCAGGCTCTCTCTGGTCAGAACTTAATCTAACACCATTTCCCCATCACTGTCTTCTTCCAGACAGACAAAAAGGAGATGCGTAATAACTATCTGAAGTCTCGCCGGTTTAAGGTGTGTACCTGGAGGGTTGGGGAATGATAGTCGCTGGGTCTCTGAGGACCTGGGTATTTGGGGGTCTGTGCCATGTAGTTCCTGGCACATAAAGGGAGGCTAGTCCCATCTCCCATGGGATTGCCCACTGGGCCATAAGCCTCCTGAGACAGCCCAGGCTGGGTGGCCCTCACAAAACACCTTTCTACGTCTGTGTTTCCACTTCCAATTCAGCAGCACAGGGTCCCTTACCTTGGTCAGTAACAGAGCTGCACTGGAGATGGACGCCATACACACAGGCATGGGCTCGTGGGAGGCCTTGTGCCCTTTCATCTGAGGCTGTCCTGAGCATTCTGACCCTTCTCTGGTAGATAGAGGCATGTCCCTCAGCCCCCCTCCCCCCCGAGGTTCTGTGCCTTATTCCCTGCGGTGCCCCATTGGGATTTCAGATGGACGTGCTCTGCCTCCTGCCCTTGGACTTCCTCTACTTGAAACTCGGAGTGAACCCCCTCCTTCGCCTGCCCCGCTGCTTGAAGGTAAGACTGGCCGGTCCCCGAGGCCTTTGGTTCCTCTGTGCTTGGCATGGGCACTGCCACTTGGGGAAAGGAAGGTGTCCCCAAGAGGAGACGTTGGGGCGGTGAATGCCCTCCGAGCATGCCTTAGTAAGAATAAGAAGCTTGTTATAATTGCTGGTGACTCTGGGAAACTCTTGTTCATCTCTGACCCAAAGACTTTACTAATTCTAGTTCTTCAATTCCATGACTTGAATATTGTTCTTAGCATATTTATTTTTATTTTATTTTATTTTGGTTTTTCGAGACAGGATTTCTCTGTATAGCTTTGAAGCCTATCCTGGAACTCGCTCTGTAGACCAAGCTGTCTGTCCTCAAACTCACAGAGATCCACCTACCTCTACCTCCCAGTGCTGGGATTAAAGGTGTGCGCCACCACCGCCTGGCTGTTCTTACCATCTTAAGGGGCACACAGAAGCTAAGGAACTTGCCCAATGTCACACAGCTAGGCAGGAGTGGAGTCTGAATTTGAATGTAGGCAATCTAGCTCCAGCTCCATCCCTACAGAGCTTCTCAAAGAAGGGTCTTCTGCTTTATAATGGACTCCATTGGGGGGGGGGGAATTGGCCCTTGGAAGGGCTGGGTGACTTGCTCAGGGTAACAGGAGGAAGGGCGTGCCAAGGAGGGACTTGAATGCAAGGCACCCATTTTTTTTTATCAGCACTCGGTGTCATTCTGTAGTTTTTTTCTGACACTCACTGGCTGGACCCAGGATCCTAGGAGGATCGGCCATGTGAATGTGGTCAGGACAGATGGCCATTCAGGGCACTCAGGATCCCCTAAACGGACTTTTCTAGCCACCCAATTAAATTTACTATTCCCCTTACATGATACTGGTGTTCTTTCCCAAAGACAGTAAGCAGGGAGAATTACTAACAGGGGGACCATGACAACACCGGTTACCCAGCAGGCACAGGGCTACTCTGACACCTCCCTCTCCCTTCTAGTACATGGCCTTCTTCGAGTTTAATAACCGCTTGGAAGCCATCCTCAGCAAAGCCTACGTTTACAGGTGAGAGTTCTCCATGCGTGCATGCGCACATATGCATGCCAGTGCGTGTGCCTTCCTACACACACACACACACACACACACACACACACACCCAAGCCCCCACCCAGGCCTCATGACCTCTTCTTGGCCCAACTTCTTCTCTGGAAGAATATTCGTTCTGTTTGTTTGATAAGATCCAGGAATGTCTTATTTACCACCACCACCCCCATCCACTATGTCAAGGCCACTCACAGGTTGGCTCAAGTCACAAGTCAGCATTTCTGTGTCAGTCCAAGGACCTGAATCCTCACCCTAGCTCTAACAGAAGGGACCATTGTAAGAACACAGTGGGCACAACATAGATGATCAAGGTAGAGCCCAGAATCAGGTAGTCCATACCCGGGAGCAAGGTCTGTTGTTCCTATTTCAAGGAGTACGTGGCTCATTGCCATTTCTCTGTACACACTGGTCTCCTCTCTGCTGCTCCTCAGGTCATATTTCCCCTTTGACCCCTCAGCTTTCCCAGCCCTGCATTCCAACAAGGCTCCAATCAAATGCCCCCCTGGGTTTAATTCCAACCCCATCCTCAAAGAAAAACCCGAATTGACTCAGTGGTGTGTTGACTCAGTTAGCTCCACTTTAGAATTAAAGGGACGCAGCAGAGGAGAGAGAGGGTGTCTGCCCGAGTGACTGGCAGGGTTCTGAGGCTCCAGCAGGGAAACCTAGGAGGTGGGCTGTGGGGAAACTGAGCTCTAGTTCATGTCCCCGGGGCAAGCTGTCACCTCCCTGGCTGTGTCACACTCTCTCCCTCTGCAGGGTCATCAGGACCACTGCCTACCTGCTGTACAGCTTACACCTCAACTCGTGTCTTTACTACTGGGCATCGGCCTTCCAGGGCATCGGTTCAACTCACTGGGTTTATGACGGCGTGGGGAACAGGTGAGCCAGGCTTCCCCCAGGGCATCCCGTGGGCCTCTACAGTCACAAGCATTGCGTTGGCAAGACAACCTTGTGCCCAAGGAGCCACTCATGGCCAAGGTTGTAGGGCCAAGTTCTCCTTTCCCATCATCTCCCTAAGCAAAGGTCTCCTGGGAACTGTGCCAGGAGAAGGTCTGGGCATGAGGTATGCTAGAGAGATCTCAGCGTCCCCAAGTCCAGTAGGGTTGACAAATACAACACACAGGCTTTAGTGTGAGAAAATACTCGGGGGGGGGGGAGGACACAAGGACTCACGGATAAAGCTATTCCTCATAATGTCATTCGTTATATTAAAAAGACAGAAACACCCGTTAGGACCCACGAAAGAGGACTGCTGGCAGAAGCAGCCTGGCTCCCGAGGATCTATGTGATAGTGTGTTATTTTACCTCCCCGTGGGTGACCTGCTTTTTCCAGACTTTAGCGTTTCTAAATGTGAGGTATATGGATAATCCATGCATATGTTTAACATGATATTTATTTTTGTACAAAATGTTGAATTTGGGTTGAGGATGCAGCTCAGTGGGAGAGTTCTCAGGCACGGGGCCCTAGACTCAAACTCCAGTATCTCAAAGAAAAAAAAAAAAGTGAATGAACTCACTGGTGTGCTATGCAATTGCTGCATCTTCGAACTGAAGAACTGTGACAAGATCGTGTAGTCCTGGGTTTCCTCTCAGAGTCAGCATCAGCAAAGTGTTGCCTGTGGCACTATGCATACATATGTGTCCAGTACAATGGTCTGCAAACAGCAAACCTTAGCTGGTTCCCTACTGCCTCAAGCAAGGCTCTGAAAACTCATACAATATTACGATGTGATGTGACTGATACATACAACTTGAAATGTTTTCGTAGCCACATTATAAACATAAAAGGAGGTGAAATTAATTTTAGTAATGTGTTTGGTTAACCCCAATGACAAGATTATCACTTCTGCGTGTAATTGCTGGGTTAAGCGTGAGTGACAGCTTGTTGACTGGACCGTGGCATGCTAGGCTGCTTCCTCTGCACCTTCCGAACCCTGCGCGCATCCCACATCCACAGCAGGGCATTGTCTGTGCATCTCTGGCCCCTGGCTTCATGGCTTCCTTATGATGTATAGATGTTTTAAGTTCTGGGATAGAGCCCAAGGCCTTCTGTGTGGAAAATAACGTAGATGTTTCTAAGACAGTCTCTCTAAGTTGCCCAGGTTGGCCTTGAGTTCAATCTGTAGCCAAGTAGCAGGGCTACCAACGAGACCCTGTCTTAAAAAACAGAAACAAAAAATGAAAAAGAAAAACAGACTGTTGACAAAACCACCGAAATGGGTCTCAGGATGTTCCATGTTGCCTGGCTTCCTGCTACCCCAGAGTCTTGTGAAGACCAACAGAACACAAAACAAAACCAGCGAGTGTGAGCGGCTGGCTGAGGCCCGAATGCCAGGGCTGTGCCTGCCTCTGCTATAAAAGCCAGCACGCCAGCAAAGGGGTCAGAAATTCTAACAGCCCCAGCCTGGAAACGGAAGTGAAATTCCCTGACTATGTCTGCTGTTCTAGCCTTCTGGCCTTCCTTCAGCTCTCAAAGGAGTCTGTGGGCCGAATCTAAGAAGCCCCTTCTCAGTGGCAGCCCTAGAAGGGACAAGCAGGAAGGAGAGGTCAGGGAATCGCTGGAACCTTCTTCCCAAGGACCGGGGATCTAGGTCTGCTTGCTTTCCTGGGGAAGTCCTCCAGGGACCCTGGATACAGGAACAAAGTGCAGCGACAGAAAATTCTTCAAGACTTTCAATTGCACAAGCAATAACTGTTGGGAATATTTCCTAACCGTGCCTCTCCACCGATGCAAAATAATTCCAATCAGTACAAATTAAAAGATATCCAGGTTTAATTAGATACCTGAGCTCTCAGGTGGCGGGAAACAGAAAGCTGCCCATGCGTGACCACTGGGGAGGAAGAGGGAAAACCACGTGTTTGTTTTCTGGGGAGCAGTTTAAATAGCCTGTGGGAGTGGTCCTGACCTTTCTTGGGGAGAGATCAAGGTTTGAAGGGCTACCTTGACGCTGCTCCCCGGAGAAGGGTCAAGGTTCAATGAGTACAGTGGGGAAGGGCCTTCAAAGATGGAGGCTGGAGGCTGGGATTACAATAACTATAAAATTAGTCACTTCCTGGGGGACTTCTGGAGGCTGGAGCAAGGAACCTTGACAAACCAGTGCCTGCCAAATGGCAGTCCACTGTGTTCTGTCTCAGCATGTACCATGTCTGTGGGAGATTGCTCCAACTAGAAACATTTAGGGGACTTTGAGGTCACCACTCTTACATCTTCTGTGGTTCACTACCTAGGTGCATGAACCCTCAATTTCCTCCACAGTTGGGCGTCTAGATGGCTGATAGGGAAGCAATGGTGGTGGGGGTGGGGACAGGATACGGGACTGCTCATGCGCCCTCTGGTGACGAGTACTGGTATGACATATATTGTCGGGGCAGACTGGCTTGTTGTTCTCAGATGTCCAGGCAACTGGTGACAAGCAGCCCTGCCAAAGACCTCCCAGGAAGCCTGAGGCAGAATGGGTGTGCGTGCACACACGCGTACGCACGAACACACACACACAGCCTGCCACAGCTCCAGCCGCCTGGGCTCCCTCTCAGCAGGAGTGCACGTTGGATGCTTGTCCCCACTAAGGAGGAAATGTCTGGAAGACGTGGGTCCATCTGCTCTGTTCCCCATGACAGGTGCTGGCAGGCACAGGCCCTGTGTGGGGCTTGATGGCTGACTTAGGGCCTGGTCACTGCTCTAGCAGTTCACTTCATCCTCACAGTTGCCTGGGAAGAATGATCCCCTCCTGTGCCCATTTTGTGGACGATGAGGCCAGCTGGAGGGAGTGAAAACTGGTTCACCCTAGAAGGTGGCTCTAGGGCAGTGGTTCTCAACCTGTGGGTTGCGATTCCTTTGGGGGTTGAATGACCCTTTCACAGGGGTCATGTATCAGATATCCTGCATATTATATTATGATTCATAAGTAGCAAAATTACAATGACAATATATCGAGGTAAATAATTTTATGGTTGGGGGTCGCTATAACATGAGGAGCTGTATTAAATGGTCACAACGTTAGGAAGGTTGAGAACCACTGCTCTAGGCCTGGACTTTGTGTGTGTGTGTGTGTGTGTGTGTGTGTGTGTGTGTGTATGCGTGTGTGTTAGTGGGCTCTGAACCCAGCTAGACACATTTTTCCCTCAAATGTTTCCCATTTGCAGCTGGTTGGGTCTGCAGGAGCTAGCCCTTCAGATGTGAGGGCCCCAGTATCTCCTGGTTTTGTTTTCCTTCTTACTTTCTGTGAGCCAACACCACAGGGGAGAGCAAAGAAAAAGACGGGAAACTGATGAAACTCCAGTCACCAGGGCCAGTCTGTCACCCTGCCAGCTCTTCCTTGCTGTCTCCTGGAACCTACTTGTTCCTGCTGGCTTCCCCTTTGCTGGCTTCAGGAAGCAGTCAGCCTAGAGCTGTGTCCAGGTGTCTGCTGGAACCTCAGTTCCAAATCCACGTTTCAGGGTGACATGTTCTTGCATGGCCAGGCCAGAGCCTCAGCCACACGTGATAGCATTTGAAGGCGCTGCTGGAGGTGGGGCCATTTTCTTGTACCTGTGGCTGTATAGGATGGCAAGGGCAGCTGGGCAGTTCCTGCACTGCCCAAGGTCCCTTTTTCTCATCTCTTACTAGTTACATCCGATGCTACTACTGGGCTGTGAAAACTCTCATCACGATTGGAGGACTGCCCGACCCCCAGACGCTCTTCGAAATTGTCTTCCAGCTGCTGAATTATTTCACAGGTGTCTTCGCTTTCTCTGTGATGATTGGACAGGTAACTGGGGTCGCACATCCACCCACCTGTGGCCTCCCTCCTCCAAGCTGGAAACCTCCCTGTGTGTTGTGGTTTGGGGATTGAGCACCGGGAAGATTTGGGCTGAGCCAGAAGCCCACAGCATTTGAGACAGGAGGATGTCTGTGTCCCAGGATTGCCCGAGCTGTCTTACTGTTTGAATGTTGGTCCCTTTGGGGAGTACCGTGAGCCAGGTGGCTACGTGACTTTCTCAAAGGTGGAGGACCTGAGCTGTGCCCCGTGAGAAAACCCTCTGGAGTCTCTGATGTGATGGGTGACTTGTGTTCTAGTCAGGGCAGGGGCAACAAATCGAGTCCTCAAAGCAAACTTGGAAAGGTACTGCTCTGAGAAATAATATTTGAGGCTCAGTGTTCCTCCCTGGGGAGAGTGTCTGTATAATCCCATCAGCCTATCCCAGTGGGACATCCCAACCCAGTATTGTGCTGGGGACCTGAGAAGACCAGAGAAGTCTGTAGCCTTGCCCCCCACTTCCAGGGTCTCTGCTTTATGTGTGGCCATCCCTGACGCAGTCACAAGCATAGGTACCCGATCTACCGTTACATATCCCGACCTGTGTCCTATGTAGCTTGGACCCAGCACTTCCTTAACCTCCCCTCACTGTTGTCTTTGCTATAGATGAGAGACGTGGTGGGAGCCGCCACAGCAGGCCAGACCTACTACCGCAGCTGCATGGACAGTACGGTGAAGTACATGAACTTCTACAAGATCCCCAGGTCTGTGCAGAACCGTGTCAAGACCTGGTATGAGTATACCTGGCATTCACAAGGCATGCTAGGTAAGCCTGGCCAAGCCCCCATACCCCCTACCTCCTCCCCTCACCAACCTTCACCTGATTCCCAGATTGGCCAACTCTTCCACTATCCTCTGTGTCCTGAGAGGTCTCTCTTGGTTGCACCCCCAGCACTGATATTGGAGGGACCTCTTGAGGCCAGTGAAGACCGGGAAGACTTACAGGGCTTGTCCTCTGGACGGCCACTCTCCTCTCGCTTCATCTGCCTTGAGATGCAGCTCCATCAAGGGTAGAGCCAGGCATGGCAGCACGGGCCTCTGATCGCGACACTTAGGAGGGCATCTTAAGTTTGAGTCAAGGGTGGACCGCATAGCTAGACCTTGTCTCTGAAGGAATAAAGTGATAGGTGGGCCGATGAGATGGCTCAGCCAGTGGAGGGGCTTGCTGCCAAGTACGATGACTCAGCTCAGTCCCTAGGACCTCCACAAGTTGTCCTCTGACATCTACTGCTGTGCTATGTGTACATGCGCGCGCGCACACACACACACACACGATGTAAAAAAAAAATTAAAGTGGGGTTGACAAGCGCTACAGAATAGGGAATACTGATACAAAATCTGAGTAGGCGCTTCAAAGTCAGGAGGAAGTGGCATTAGTCCTTCGTTTTGAAGGATGGGTAGGAGTTTGGAAAGGAAGGGATGCTATACCTGATGGGAACGCTCAGAACCTGAAGAGGCTCCCTGTGATGGGAGAACCTGAGTTGGACTGAGCCAGTGCAGGGCCTCACGTGGTTGTGTGTGGTATGAGGGGCCAGACCTGGCCTGAACTCTGACCCGACCGGGTCTCTTTCCCAGATGAGTCAGAGCTGATGGTGCAGCTTCCAGACAAGATGAGACTGGACCTGGCCATCGATGTGAACTACGACATTGTCAGCAAAGTGGCGCTCTTCCAGGTACCCCCACAGGTGCCCTCCCGTCAGCCAGGGGATCCAGGACAAAGCCCCTCCCTCCCTCTAACGGACTCCTTCCCCTTGGTCTGGGCAGGGCTGTGACCGGCAGATGATCTTCGACATGCTCAAGCGCCTTCGCTCGGTTGTCTACCTGCCCAATGACTATGTGTGCAAGAAGGTGAGCTGCGCATGCCTGTGTGCGTGCGTGCGGAGGGGGGGGGGGTGCTGTTTACGCGCGTGGGAGGGGGAACGTCTGCAGAGCCTATGAGGGGGTCCCCTTACCCAGCGGTAGCCCTACTACAGAGGAAGTAGAGGGCAGTGGCAGGCTGAACAGACAGCACCTGCTGCAGAGGGTGCCCGGGCTCTGCCAAGCGCTTCCAATGCTCGCTTCACACAGAGGAGCCCGCCTTGCAGAAAACGGGTAGAGGGGGGCTCTGACCCACAAAACTGCCTCCAGGGTCTCCATTTTCCCATCAGGAAAGCGGGTAGTTTACAGCCCTGCGGTGTTTTATGAATTTATTTAAGTGGAATTAATTCCTAACCTTTAAACGCTGGAAGATCCCACATCAAATTCCAAACGTCTGGATGAAGCAGAACATTGGCTAGTTCTGGGTCTCCGCTTCCTGCAGCAGTGAGAGTCAGCATGAGAGTAGGGGCTGTCCCTAAAGGGGCTGGTGATGCCCTGTTTGATGCCATGGGCCCTACCACTCGGTACCACTCCACCCCAGGTTCCCTTTACCTAGGAGACACCTACGTTAGAATCTGACCCTTGACAGTGCAAAGCCCTTTCTGCTCCTTGTCGAGGGCACTAAGATGTCAGCAAGGTTACCAGGGGCAAGGGTGGGCAAGTTTCCGGTCTTTGTACAGAGATGTCAGTAAGTCTGGGTGAGTGTATGGGGTGAAGATAAGAAGACTTGGGAGCCTCTAGCCCCTGTCAGGTGGGTTAAAATTATTATTTATTATTTTTGAGACTGGGTCTTTCTTTATAACTCTAGCGGTCCTGGAACTCACTATGTAGACCAGGCTGGTCTTGAATCATAGAAATTCTCCTGAGTCTGTCTCCTGAGTGCTAGAATTAAAACTGTGTGTTGCCATTGACTGTTTTTTTTTTCCAATCTTGTAAGGATGTTATTTTTACTTATTTGTGCCGTCCCCTGGAAGAGCAGTAAGTGCGCCTAACTCCTGCGCTCTCTCTCCAGCCCGTCCTTTAAAATTACTTATCTGCTGGGGGCGTGGGTATGCAACGGCGAGCACGTGGAAGGCAGAGGACAACTTGAGGGGCTTGCTGCTCTCTTTCCACCACGTGGGCTCTGGGGATCAAACTGCTCACCAAGACTGACAGCAAACGCCTTTACCTGCTGAGCCATCCCTGAGTTCAGTTTATATCCGTAGGTTGAACAGGTCTGCCGAGCAGTGTGCGAGGCAGTGGTGAAGTTTCTGGGAGTGAATTGCAGAGCCAAGGAGAGAGAGCGAATTTCAGAGCATTGAGCATTTAAAGCCTTGGGGCAGAGAGGAGTTTGGGAATGATAGAGTGATTGCGATGTTGGAGCCGCTTCCTGGCAGTGCGGCTTTGGGCAGGCGGCCTGCCCTCTCTGAGTCCTGTTCTTATGGATGAAGTATAGATACCGTTAGTGCCTTTTTCAGATGTGGCTGGGAAGACTGGATTAAGATGTGCCTGTAGGCACAATGGCTGCCACTGTTTAGAGTTTGTGGCAGGTGAGAGGCGGCTCCGGTGTTGGGGAGCACGTGTGAGCAGCGCCCTCTGCTGTTGCTTCCTCTGTGACTCTCTGAGAAGCTGGGGCTTGAACCCCCACACTTTGATCCCTTGTAAGGCTGAAAGGAGCATTTGTGGGGTAAAGTGAACTGCAGCCGGGTTAGGGTTACCTTCACCCTTTGATAGTGACAGCTGTGATTGACAGGGGGCCCGGGTCTGGGAAGGCACTAGGGTTGGATACTGTTTCTGATTGACTCCAGAGGAAGCCATCCATTCATCCGTTCCCTTGGTCATTCATCTGTTCCCTCATTCATTCATTCATTCCTCCGATTTAGTTTGGGATTCAGGTTACCGTGTATTAGGGCCGGCAGAACAAATGAGTGATCCATTTCCTCAGGTAGCAAGATGCTCATCCTCTCTTTGGCTCTCTTCTTCACTTATATGTGCTTTCTGTGAGAATGTCAGTTTGATCGGATGAGGGCCAGCTTACTCAAGTAAGCCATCTTAATTGCATTACACCTGCAACAGCCTTATTGCCAAATAAGGGCCTAATGGGACGTGCTGGGAATTTCAGCAGACAGAGCTTGGGTCTGGGGACAGAGTAACCATAGCAACTGTGCACTCTGGGTCAGGCTGTCTGGATTCAAATCCCGCCACTGGTTCGACCTTGCATTTCAATCTTGGTAGAGCATAATCTTACAATAGCAGGTTCACTTGTGTGGAAAACGCCCACCAGCATTAACTTAGAAGATGTCCTGGGGCCTGTGGGCCTCCTGACCGCTATTATCATTCCTACCCAACTGACCAAGCTCCTGGGCCACTGGCCATAGGTTCTCACTGGGTTGTGGGTCATGGGGTCATACAAGTGGGAGCTGCAGAATAGCGTCATACCCAACATTCAAAAGAAAAGACGGGGGCCAAGGATGAAGCTACCCCCTTCTCTACACCACACCATGCGGTGTCTCATGCCTATAATCCCAAAGACAGAGGCAGGAGGATTGCTGCAAGTTCAAGACCAATCAGGTCTGTGCTTCAAGTTCCATGCCAGCCAGAGTTTTATTGTAAAACCCTTTCTCAAAATGATGAAGTAAAAATAAAATCGAAAGAAGATCTGAACCTGAAGGGTACTCATTGCTATGGAGAACTACTTGGCTTCCTTGTGAACCCCCACACCTGTGTTCATTAATATGAATATTTCCACATGTATTTGCACATACACAGCACATTGATTTTTTCTTAAATAGTGATGAATTGGTATATCTATGAAGCAATTTCAGAACATCCCCTCAGTTCGTTGGTGGTGCAGGGCTGGGGCAGCCATGCGGTGTGGGACTCCACTCTCTTCTGTTCCAGGGGGAGATTGGCCGCGAGATGTACATCATCCAGGCAGGGCAGGTGCAGGTGCTGGGCGGTCCAGATGGGAAAGCCGTGCTGGTGACACTCAAAGCCGGATCGGTGTTTGGAGAGATCAGGTCAGTGATGGTGGGGGGGTCACATGTACCCTGGGCAAAGGTTGGGGGGTGTCCCCCACCGTGGCGGACCCTGAAGGAGATGGGGCACTGCAGAGTTAAATAAATGCAAGCAAAACCCAAGCCACTGGGTGGCATACGCCTATAGTCCCATATACTGGGTATGCTGATAGAAAATCAGCCAGAAGAAGAGAAAAATTCTATTTCAAAACCTAAATGATGCCAGATGTGATGACATACTCCTTTAGTCCCAGCACTGAGGAAGCAGAGGCAGGAGGATCTCTGTGAGTTCAAGGGCAGCCTGATCTACATAGTGAGATCCTGCCTCAAAACAAAACAACATCAACAGAAACCTAAGACAATCTCTCTAAAACCACAGCCTCCGAATGGTCTCATTCCCCTCCCTTTTCTATTTCAGCTTGCTGGCTGTGGGGGGCGGGAACCGGCGCACGGCCAATGTGGTGGCCCATGGGTTCACCAACCTCTTCATTCTGGACAAGAAGGACTTGAATGAAATTTTGGTGCATTACCCTGAATCTCAGAAGTTGCTCCGGAAGAAGGCCAGGTACAGAATCCCTCTTTCTTTTTTCTTTTCGGGTTTTGAGTAATGACTGGGGGGAGTAGCTTCTCTCATACCGCTGTAATACCATTATGGACATCAGAGCATTTGTGCAGGAACCATACTGTTTGCTCCTCTGATCCATGTTGAGGTTGTCTGCTGGCTTTCTCCGTCCTGCATCCAGTCACAAGCCCTGTTCTGCATTAGTGTGCTGAGTCCCCTGCCTCCTCTGACCTGGGACAGTTCCTTTTGGTGTCTCTAACGGCTTTGATCTCTTAGCAGCCAACAGGCCGGCTAGGTGTTAGAATGCTCCTTGGATTAGATGTCTCTGGTGTTTTCTGGTAATGGCTTTTGGCTCTGCATCTGATGCAGAAACGACTAGGGGTGACAGTGCCCCTCAAAGCAGCATATGGGGGTACATGGTCTGGATTCTTACCAGGTGATAAATTCACCTCAAGCATATGGACAAGGTTTCTGGACCACAAAGTTACATGACAAGCATTAGTGGGGACCTCTTTGGAACGGCATAGATGTCCCTCTTCCCCCAGTTTGCACCTGTTGCTTGGTAGACACCCATCTGCTCATGGCTCCTTGGTCCTCAGTAGTCTCTCTGAGCCATCACTGTTCAGCCTCCTCCTGCCTCCTACTCCTTGGTTCCCACTCGGCTGTAGGGAGATGTAGGCTGTAGAGCCTCCTCTTTTCTCCTGGGGTTTATCTACCACACGAGCAGACATTGCTTGGTTTCATGAGCACCTATAACAGTTTTTCTGAGGCTTCGGTTGCTCCGCTGTGGCCAGTGAGAACTCTTCAAGCTGACTTTTGTCACCCTTTGAAGTCCCATCCTAATTCAACATTTCCTTGTGTCTATGGGGGACAAACAGGCACAGCCAGACAGCCTAGGCAACCTGGGGCTCCCACTTCAACTGCCCTCCACCCCCAGAAATGGCAATTTCTCCAAGGAGCTAAATTTCTTCTAGTGGAAAATGTTTGGAGGAGTTTTGAGGAGTACAGGGGTTGGGGATGGAGCCCTGGGCTTTATCCATGCTAGACATGTGTGCTTTACCATTGAAATATCCAACTGCAGCCCCCCACCGCTTTCTAGAAACCAAGATCTAGGCCTGATATGGGGTCTCATGCCTATAATCCAAGAGTCAGAGGCAGGAGGATTGCTGCAAGTTCAAGACCAATCAGGTCTGTACTTCAAGTTCCACGCCAGTCAGAGCTTTGTTGTAAAATGCTTTCTCAAAATGATGAAGTAAAGGGGCTAAATGTGTTAGGTTTGTTTGGGGGATATTTTCGCCTTCCTTCCTTCCTTCCTTCCTTCCTTCCTTCCTTCCTTCCTTCCGGACCCAGGGTCTTGTGCATATTGGGCAGGTACTTTACCACTGAGCTTAACCTCCAGCCTTTAAGTTTATTGTATTTGACTTGGTATTGGGGCAGGGTCTTGCTCGATTGGCCAAGCTGTCCTTCCTGTTGTTTTGTAGTTCAGGTGAGCACTGCCTTCTCCATCTGCTCAGCCTTCTGGGTAACAGGGCTCACAGGCCTGTGCCGCCTGGTCTGGCTAACCTCATTGGTTCCCACTTTTTCCGCCATGTGTTTACTTTTTCAAAGACAGGCAGGCCTATGGCTGTTTCCTTATTTCTTGTTATATGAATGATAGCGTGTTGGACGGTCATCTGAGCTCACAGAGCCCCTCCCTTTCCCCAGAGTGAGCCTGTGGGGCAGTGCCAAGGTTTCACGGCTGTGAATAGCAATGCAGGTGTATGTGAATGTGTGCTTGTGTTTTGTACTGGGAAATAGGTTATTTTATTTTTAGAAAAGAAGACTTTTGTTTTCTAGTCCTCCAGATGAGGTTTCAAACTGAGTGACTAAGGAAGCCTCTAGGGTATAGAAACCCACACGCACCCGGGGGAGTCGGCTAGGGGGTTAAAGATTCACAAACAGGCTCTTGGTAAAGGGTTTGCTGTTTCCTTCCCACCAGAAAGGGGGGCTGCTCCAGGTGGGCATGGTCAGAGCAGCAGGGTGGTCCGGGTTCTAACAGCAGACTCTTGCAGATGGTTGGTCGGTCACGGGGTCACTCACAGACCTGCATTGGGTGGCTGCAGACTCTGTTGCTCAGGGTGTTCTCTAGCTGGTGTCAAACAAGGTGGCACTCTGTCCCTGAGAAGATCAGCTTAAAAGGAGGAAAAGCTTGTTTTGGCTCTTGGTTTCAAAGGTTTCAGTCCATGTTTGCCTGACCTGAGTCTTTGTATCCATGGTGAGGAAGAACGGTGGGTGGGGACGTGTGGTTGAATAGAGAGAGACAGACAGAGACACACAGAGGAACCCCAGATCCTCTTCAGAGCTGTGCTCCCAGTGACATCTGTTATTTATGGGTATTTGTACCAGTCCCCATTCTCCTGCCTCATGCCCTTTCCAGAGCAGAGGCCTGGACTGCAGAGAATTCCATTCACGTGGGCACATCTATCCACACTGACTCAGAGCAGAGCCGCTGTCCCCTCCACTGCTCAAACAGAGCCTTCCTGCTGCCTGTCACGTATGAATTATGGACTCACGTGACCTAGGTGACAGCGCCCGGGCTGCTAGAGAGCCTGCTTCCAAGGCCTCTGATGGATGATCATGCTTGTGTCTCCTGGGGAAACCCAGAGAGAAATGCAAATCTCGGTCCATTAATAATACCGCACACACTTCAAGCCCGCTGGCTCTGATTAGCTAAGCGGCCAGCAGCGGCCTCATCTAAAAACAAACAGACAAACAGAAAACAAACAAGTTGCGCTGGAACCCTGATGAATGAATTTTCTGATTAGCCGTCTCGCCCACTAGATTGAACACAAAATGCATGCGTTCTTGAGCCAAGCTGTTAATCACATATTCATAGCTTGAAAAATTCCTAGTAAAGAGTGCATTCTCTGTTTGATGGAAAATTCTATATTCAAACAGTGTGCTGGGTCACATCCGAACCTGCGTCTGGTTCTGCCTCTGCCACTTCCTGGTGACGGGGAGCAGGTCGCTCCCTGTCCTTATTCTCAGCTTCAGTTTCCTCAGTTTTCAGGGGTTCAGTAACCCCAACCTTTTCCAGATAAAATCAAGAGGGGACCAGGATCGCTTTCATAACAACCCCTTTTGTGAGAACTAGCCAGGGTCCCAGGAGAACTAGATCACTAAAGACTAAAGACAACAGGCCCTGACTCTGGAAGGTTCCGTGCTCCACCCCCCCCCCCCCAATATCACCGTATGCCTATGAACCCTTCGAGATGCCCTCAAACCATATCTGAACTATAGCTGTGTCTTTCAGTCTATCCAGTGTGACCTCAAGCAAGGTAACCAACCTCTCTGGGTTCCAGTGTTCCCTTCCCTATGGCGCAGACAATAAGCCCCACCTCTTATGGCAGTTCTAATCATCCCATCTGTGCTTAAGCACTCAGCACTGTGCTTGCCCCAGCAAAGTACCCTGAAACCACCAGCCAATGGCAGCACCAACACTATGACCACTGCCACCATGTAGGGCACATGTAGGGTTCTACACAGGCTCCTCCCCACTGTGCTTTGGATGAAAGTGGGTGTGTCTCTCTTTCAGGCGCATGCTGAGAAACAACAACAAGCCCAAGGAGGAGAAGAGTGTACTTATCCTGCCCCCACGTGCGGGCACCCCGAAACTCTTCAATGCCGCCCTCGCTGCAGCAGGAAAGATGGGCGGCAGGGGCGCCAAGGGTGGCAAGCTTGCCCACCTGAGAGCCAGGCTCAAGGAACTGGCCGCATTGGAGGCAGCCGCGCGGCAGCAGCAGCTGCTGGAACAGGTAACACGGTTGGGACCTGGCTCTTCCCACTTAGCAGGCTTGTTTGGGGAGAAGGTCGGGGACCTCCAAGAGCTGACCACACACCCAGCGTCGGGACTTTCTGTCTCCTTTACAGCAGCAGACTTTGTCTGGTCGCAGGTGGCAGAAGCAGGTTCAAGCCAGGCTGAGAAACCTGGGTCGCAGCCCTCATGGGTGAGAAGCTTATGGCGGGATTGCTATGAATTCTAGGCCAGCCTGGGCTACATCATTTCAAGGCAGCCTGAGCTACATTATGAAGCCTTGCCTCAAACAACCCCTAAGTAAGACATTATGTTGACAGGGTAGGAAAGTAAGAGAGGGCTTAATAATTGGCAAATTTGAATATGGCTGAATCTCAAGTTGCAAGACTGGTCTTTCTGTCTGCCGTCTCTCTTTCCTTATCGGATGACTCCACATCCCTTCATGTAGCAACCCTGCCAGGAAGTACATCTTCCCCCAAGAGCAAAGCCAAAGTCCCCAGGACTCATTGTCACTGGTCAGTGCTGGGACACATGCCAATTTCTGAACCATTGCCCGTGGGGCCAGGACAGTGTGTGTCCCACACCTGCCTACTCCTGGACTGAAGTCGTGAGAGGCTTCTTTAGAGAAAGGCATTGGGGTTGGCGGGAGGAGTGGATATAGGCTGGGAACATCTCTCCCCAGGGGACAGTGATGTTCTATTTAATACAGTGTCTGTGACCATTGAAATGATTTGGAAAGAAAAACATAATCCCATGACTTCTACTCCTATGACCCTAAAGGGGTATTAAAATTAGCTCACGGGTCTTTTTCTGTGACTGAAGCCAAGGAGACCTCTTAGAATAATGGCATGAATTTGAACTCCTCATAACAGCCTAGAAGTACTAGTAGTCTGTGTGGCTAACAGAGAAGCCCAGTGAACTCAGCTTCAATCCAGGGATGTGAGTCAGGTGACCCATTCAGGGTTCATTTGACATCAAAGCCACCTGGGATTCCAGGCCATGGCCTACCAATAGCCCCAGACAGAGGAAAAATGTGATCATTGTGTTGGTCAAGGTTGAGGCTGCACAGTGGGGTCTTTTGTGCTGGCTGCTGTTTTGGGGTTGAGTGGACGTGAACTCAAAGACTCTCTCAGACAGCAAAAGACTTCAGCTAAGATGGGTTTCTGCTCCTGTTGCATGAGTGTTCTGACAAAAGCATCCTGTGAGATTTAGAAAGCCAGAGCAGACCAGCAGTGAAGGAGTTCTTTACTAAACAAGCTCAGAGGCTCCGTCACTCCAGGAAAGAGCCCTGCACCCCCCGAGACTCTGAGGACTCATGGTGGCCACATGGGACTGTAGAGGTGAAGCGGCGGTTCCTTCTGCCAAACATTTGAACACCGCAGAGCATGTGACCAGTCTTCCCATGATCCTCCCCTTCCTGTTTGTATCTCTCGGCTTCAGAAGTTGCATCTGAACACCCTGCCCAGGGTGGGGTGTCCTGAGAACTTAGGATGCACACGTAGGGTAGAACATGCGTAGCGGGTAACAAGGAAGCATGGAAGCAGCAGCAGCAGGCCTCCAGAGCTGCTTCTGATTCTAGAAACATCCTGACGCCCCCTCCCCCACTTCTTTAACACCTATGATCTGTACAAACCTCAAGGGTCTCTACTTCACACGAGCACACCGACTACTCTCCCTTGGGTCTTGGTCAGTTGAGGATCTTCTAGATTGTTCCCTCTCCCATTGCCTTCCTTGCAGAACTAGGGTGAAAGAGCAAGCAGGTGAGAATGCAGGGATTTTTAAAAATTTCCCCAATACTTATTGATGGCCAACAACACCCATGGGGGAAGCACAGGTTAGAACTACAGCTGCCCACCAAGCCTCTGAACACAGGGTCACCTCAGCCTCATTTTTCTGATATCCCACTCCATTCTTCCTGTAAGGGTTGTGACCTTTGGAACCTTCTAGAAAGATGGCCAGGCCACGGGTTCTCCTGCACACTCAGCTTTACCTATGTGCTCCAAGTTTTTCTCACTTACCATCCATTACTAAGAAAAACTGTGTGTGTGTAGCCAGGCAGTGGTGGCACATGCCCTTAATCCCAGCATTCAGGAGGCGGAGGCAGGGAGATCTCTGAACTGGAGGCCAGCCTGGTCTACAGAGTGAGATTCAGGACAGCCAGGGTCACACAGACAAACCCTGTCTTGAAAAACCAGAAGAGGAGGAGGAGTGGGTGTCAGGATGGCTCAGCTTTTGACAAGGCCATTCCTCATGGTTATCAACTCCCCAAATAAGTTGGGGGGGTGGATCTGTACTTGACTGCACAACTTAATACAGGCTTTCCAGCCCATAATAGTCTAAACTATCCTAAGAGCTGGGCATGGTAGCTCATACCTGTAGTCTTAGCATCCCATAGGCTGAGGAAGAAGGACTCTGAGTTCGAGACCAACTTGTGCTCCACATCAATTTAAGGTCAGCCAGGGCTACATATGGAGACACTGTCTCAAAATTTAACAAATCCCCAAGACTTACCCCCAAAACATGCTGGCCTCTCTTCCTCAAACTCAACCTGCCAACACTACATTGTTTCTTTCACACAACCGAGCCGCTGCTCTGCTAGGACACTAGCTTTCACCTCCTGTGTGCCATTGTCCTCTGGAAGTCCTAGAAGGCGGGGGCTAATTGGCTTGTAAGATCCCTTTATGCTCCTTTGGAGGAGAAGGCTTCGCCTCACCTATCACACTCTCTGGGTTTCAGGCCAAGAGCTCACAGGAAGCTGGGGGAGAGGAGGGCTCCCAAGCTGCGGACCAACCTGCGCCCCAGGAACAGCCAGAACCCAAGAAGCCCCAGGAGCCCCCAGAGCCTCAGGAGCCCCCAGAGCCCCCAGCCCCACACTCTCCACCGCCGGCCCAGGGGAAGCCGGAGGGTGGCACGGAGGAGGTGGCGGCTGGGCCCTCGGAGCCCCCGGATCCCCCGGAGCCCTCAGTGAGGATCCGCGTGAGCCCAGGCCCGGATCCTGAGGAGCAGACGCTGTCGGTGGAGATGCTGGAGGAGAAGAAGGAAGAAGCACAGTGAGGCACATGCAGTGCCCCATGATCCATGATCCCCATCCCCGGGTGCACACCTGGCGTTAGAACTGCCTGCCTGGACAGTCTCGTGGAAACCCTCAAACGTTGGTGATGTTCTTGCACTTCTACTATGGGTGGAGCACCCTGCCCCCTCCCACAGTTGTTATTTTCAAGAAGAAACCTGCCTTGCACTTTTAAAAGTTTTTAGGAGGGAAGAGAAGAGGGCTCCGACATCACGGAGTGCTCTACTAGAAAAATCAAGGGTTGATGATAAGGCAGGGTCCCCACCAGAACCCATCCTTGGTTTAAGTGATGGGGAAGAGCTGGAATGGGAACCCAGAACTGGGGAAGCTGAGGCAGGAGGATCCTTGGATCAAAGTCAACCAGGGTTACATAGTGAGAATCTGCCTCAAAACAAACCAATAGCAAAACAGCTTAGGAGTTCCAAGTTCCTGCAACACAGGAGTCTCGGCGATGGCAGAGCAGGCGATCCAGGCACTCTGTACACTGCAGGTAACGATTGGCATTCTCTCACCCTTTTAAAGTTTTGCTTATTTTAGAGGCAATGACATTAAAAGTTCTCTGTGCTATTCCTGGCACCCGTCCTCCCTGACCACTCTCGAGCACCAAGTAAAAACTATGAAAAAACCTAGTGGTTCTCTGTCAGCACATAGAGAGCATCCTTGTAGCTGGACATCGTGGAGCACTAGATGCTGAGGCAGGAGAATCACAAGTTTGAAGTCAGCGGGGCTTCATGACAATACAATATGCCAAGAAGGGAATAAGGGAAAATGCACTGGGTCCATTGGTGACGGTGGCATAGTCCCTTGTTCAGATGTGTGGTGACATTTTGTCCACTGTTCATCAGTGAGCATTTGGGTTGCTTCCAATCTCACATTATTAAGAATAACATTGCAGGACATTGAGAGGGCTCAGTGAATGAAGGCCTTTGCCACACCACTGGGCATGCTTGATGACCTGAGTCTCTGAAACCCATGCGAAGGTGAAAAGAATCAGCCCCACAAAGTTGTCTTCTGACCTTCACATATGCACTGTGGCGCGCACACGTACACACACGCACACACACAAGAGCTAACAGTAATAAAACCATCTTGTACAGAATGGGGTTGGCCTTACTGTAGAGCACTTGTCTGGCCTGTATGAGTCCCTGGGTTTGATCCTCAAAACCAAAAGAAAGACTCCCACACAGATCTAATCTCATGGGCACACCTTACTTTTTTTAAGTGGGGTGAATTTGAAGTCTAGTCATATTTTTTTAGCCCTAGTATCCTCATGTATTATTCCCATATCTGCCCCCTAGAATCTAAAGCCCAAGCTTAGTAAATGCTTTCACCCGCAGCAGGTATTTCAGATGTTCCTCTAAAGTAAACATGCCACCCTTTAGTAGACGGCAAATTGTTTTCTGACCTGCCACTGTGACGTTCTACATCTTCCTGACCCCACCACTGTGAGATCCTGCTTCATAAGGAATCTGTTTTCTGTGGCTGCACCTACTCTTTTAGATGCTGGTCCCCGAAAATAGTCTGCTTATTACAGAAAGCAAGAGGTTCTTGGGGTTCCTGGAAAGAACACTAATTCTGAAATGAGATTGCCAGGGTCTTCATTTCACCGAGCTATCTCATTCAGGATAACATTCTCGCAGAACCCAGATGTTAGATAAACTGAGCTGGAGACAGGCATTAATCTCCAAATTAAATTGGACTGGCTGGTCTCTGAGGCGTGAATGACACAGCTCAGAGATCACCCTAATCCCGAAGTCAGAACGGAGCGAGTATGAGTAACTGTTGAATCTCTCCTCTCTTAATCTCCTCAGCGTGTCTTATGTTTTGGTAGATAACGAATCGCACGCCATCTTTTATTTTCAACTGCACAAATATTTTAAATAGAATTAAAACGAAGAAGCTGTTTAAAATTTCGTTATCACACTGTGCCCAGCCACCGGAACTAGTCTAAGCTGTTTTCTCAGTAAACAAGAATGCTTTCTGTACACGCCGACTTTTGTAGTGCCGTGAATTTTAATTAAAGTGTTTAGACAGATGTTCCTGGGTTGTGGATTCATTTTCAAAACTAGGAGTCGGGACCAGGTATGATAATGGCCACCTGGAACCCCACGCAGCACTTAGGGAGGTGGAAGAGAAGCATCAGGAGTTCAAGGCCAGCCTCAGCTACTATTGAGGCCAGCTGGGTTTGTGATACCTTGTCTCAAAACAAACAATAACTCCAAGCAAATGAAAAGCCACAAGTCTGGCTAGGTGGCATATACCTGTACACCTAGTATTTAAGAGGTTGAAACAGGAAGATTGAGAATTCTAGGTCAACCTGGTCTACCCAAAGAGACCTTGTCAAAAGACAAACCAAGCAAAAGGGAGCCAGTGAGAGAGGAACTAGCAGCAAGGGGCTGTGGAGCAGAAACAGAAGCCTCCAATAAAGGTAAGCCAGATGACCGTAGAGAAAGACAACTGGCAGACCTATCTATAGGACAAGCTCAGGGTCCGTGAAATACCAGTCAGGAGTTCTGGTGAGATACCGACTGCTCCTGAGGGAGGGCTCAGCAATGAATACCAGCTCTGGTTTACTATTTCCAAGTCTCAGTGAGTTGTGGCTGGCCCTGTCTCTGAGAGGGAGCCTATTGTTTAAGACCGAAATTCCCTACAGGCCTGATAAAGGGGACTAGCCACAAGGTACAAAGCTTGTGATCAAACCACATCCCCACCCCCATTGGACTCCTGAAGCCACAGGAGGCTGTCACAGAGACGGGGAGGGCCAGTCATTGACAGGCTGGAAGGCTCAGGTGGCAGGAGGTTTGGCTTTGGTGTGACTGAGAGCTGAGCCCATCTCCTGACTATAACGGAGAGTGAGTTTGGTGGTTTGGATGAGTTTGGCCTCCACAGGTTCATGTATTTGTGTGTTAATCCCCAGCTGGTGAACTGTCTGAGAAGGATTAGAAGGATTAGGAGAGGTGGCCTTGTTGGAGGAGGTGTGTCACTAATGACTCACTTGGAGGTTTCCAAAGCCCATGCCAGGCCCAATGTCTCGGTCCCTCTATCTGCTGCCCGCATATCAGGATGGAAACTCTCAGCTTCTGCTCCAGCGCTGTGCCTGTTTGCTTCCTGCCGTGATCATCATGGACTAACGCTATAAACCTGTAAGCAAGCTCCCAGTTAAATGCTTTTGTTCGTAAGGGTTGCCTTGGTCATGCTGTCTCTTCACAGCCACAGAACAGGAACTAGGACAGTGAGGTAGCTGGGAGCTGGAGGATCAGCCCCTAGAGCCAGACCTGCTGTGAGGTTTGCTGCCTGGGGATCTCTGATGCTCAGGTAGACGACATGATCACCCATAGCTTTATCCGTTCAGTGGTGGATTTAACGCTGAGTGGGCTCTGAAGGTACAGAGACTGGCTCCCCACGCAGATCTAGGCTGTGTTTCCACTTCTCTTGGGAGGCATCCCTGGCCAAGCATCTTAGCCACCCTGTAGGGAAGAGGGGAGATGGGGACCTCAAAAGGGTGAGAGAACCTGCCAGGCCCATAGACTGCAACACTAAGTGTGGCCAGCAGAGGCCGCTAAAGAAGGGAACCTGAACCAACTAAAGCGAAAACAGCTGTGTTAAACGCCTGTCGCTATCCTGGCTCCACACCTGCCTCTTTCCATCTCCACGTCTACTGGGAAGATTCCAATTTTAGATGACCCAGGAGGAAGCAGCTCAAGTGCTTTATTCTGCCCCCCTCCTTGTTAAAAAAAGGTTTTCTTAGTGAGCACACTGTGCACACTCAGCCTTTCACATTGCAGTACAGTTTTCTCTTCACAGTAGGAACCGTTTCGCTATAATTTTACATTTATTTTCCTTTCATTTTTTTAAGGATTTCGTGTTTTTAAGCCTATATTCCCCTTCTTACATTTACCTTGGTTATCTTCCTCACTCATTTAAAGTTGCGCCAGTGTGCCTGGCAGCCTCTGTATGCACTTCCGGGCTTCCTACCACATACACCTGTCTACTGTGTACCTCTCTGACGAGCCTTGGCCCCCTGGAACAGCCTTGGATTGAGACTCTAGCCTATGGCACTGAGCTCTTGCATGTCACCCTCCCTGGGTCTCCGTTTCTGTGCTGCTGGGATCCTCCTTCCGGCAGGACTCTTTTTGACGGCCCCTAAGACCTGGACTTGGAAAGGAAAAACCCTTTTCCGAGTCTCTCCCACCTCCCCTTTGAGCTGTTTCTGGGAACTCTTGACTGCCACCTTTTCTTCAAGGGAGTCTCCCTTTCTCCCTCTAACTAACCACGGGCTCCTTCCATTTGAAAGTAGACTCCTCTCATCTGCCCTAATCTCTTGCCCTCCTTGTACTCAGGTACCATCAACCTTGACACCTTGTTTTTACTTTTATACTGCTGTATAGCTTGGTCTCAATACGAGCTCGATAATCAGCCTCAATGGCCCGAAAACGGAGCATTAGACTTTCAAATTCTCACTGCTCTTGCCAAATTCTGCCGACGCTTCGGCAAGGGGCCCAAGACTCTCTATGTCCAAGCCTTCTTTGCTCTCCGCTCTTGTTCCTCTCTGTGGGTCTCCTGTTACAGCCACCAAATTCTCCTGGCAAAGACCAGACCTCCTCCCCAAGCTGACCAGGACCTCAGCTCCCACTCCTTTCAACTTCGATGGAGCACATTCCCTGTGGGTGCCGCCTCAGCCGGACCCACTGTGGGCATCACCCTCTGTGGGCTTCACCCACTGGCGCCCTTACAGCCTGCTCCACCTTGCTTGCTTCATCACCCCTGGCTAGTCAAACCTACTCCCATATAGATAGTCTTTATCCCCTCAGGGAAATGGCGGGCCCTAGCAGCATACTCCACGTTCCTTTTTCTATGGCTGATCTCTCTCAGGGAGAAAAGCGTCTTGGTTCTTTCCCTAGCGACCCTTCTAACTTCATCAAAGCATTCAGTTTCCTCACCCAGATCTATAGCCTCTCCTGGCGTGACCTATGTTATTCTTTCCTCTACTCATCCCTGAGGGAAAGGAAAGGGTCTGGACGGCTGGCTGTGCCTGCGGTAGTTTGAAAGAAACTGGCCCCCATAGGGAATGGCACTATTAGGGGGTGTGGCCTTGTCGTTGGAGACAGTGTGCCGCTGTTGGGGTGGACCTTGGGGCTTCCTATACTCGGGATACCACCCACTGTGACTGTCTTTGAACTTCAGCGCTCTCAGCTCCAGCAGCACAGCTTACCTATATGCGCTGTGCTCCCCGCCATGATGGTAATGGAGGGAACCTCGGAAACTGTGAGCCATGACCTCAATTAAATGTCATGGTGTTCTCTTCACAGTAGTAAGAACCCAAACTAAGACAGGGCCCACGCGGATGATGTCCACGGAATGGACCATACCTACCTGTGGTCGCTGCAGCAGTAACCCAGGTGGACCCCTGCTGGGATTACCAGGCTAACAATAAACATCAGGCAACCAGTAGGGAGACCCAGAATAAAAGAGTTTTTATTTATTTATTTGGTTTTTCGAGACAGGGTTTCTCTGTGGTTTTGGAGCCTGTCCTGGAACTAGCTCTTGTAGACCAGGCTGGCCTTGAACTCACAGAGATCCGCCTGCCTCTGCC